CCAAAAGAAATTTATGGATGATAATAACTTGGTACTTAAATAAATGATGTAATTATACAATGAAATCGAAAATTCTCTGTGTATGAGATTGTTTGATCAAATTATAATACATTGTGTGTTAAATCGGCCATATAATATCAACAACTCTAATGAACTTGGGAACCTATCTCTCAATAATTTCAAAAAATTAAGTATATGTTTACTCAACAGCCTAAATTCTTGATTACGTGTATTTTATTAGCTACTAGATTGGCCCTCCGCCTAACTTATTTCCCCCCTTTTTCTTTGGTAATCTAATCTACTCCTTTCCCTTTCATGTTTTTGACACATGAGTACATGACTAGACTACTACTACAGTACTACTATACTTCCTTCTGATTTTTCCTTTTCCTTGGCCCTTTATGTGGGATTTTGCATGGCCAATTCTCATTCGATTGACGTCCTTCCATTGATAAAACTAATTAAGCATTTATCTCCCAACCATTTGTATGGGAAGAGGAAAGGGTGATCTCTAAGCTAATGTGGGACCTAATTATTTATCTTCACTCTCTAAAGGATAATCAAATCAATACTGCAGAGCATATATGGATAAAAACAGTATGAAGTGGGAAATTCAAAGAGATGAAGTGATGGATATATATATAAAACCTGTTTTCATAGGTATATGGGGATGATTTAACTCTTTATTTTGAGTTCTTGGTAGATTTCGATACTTTTGATTAATAGTTGAATCAGAAGGAATGTTTTAGACTATAGTACTCCCGAATTTTAATAATTGTCTTCTCTTTCAATGTTCCACAAGAACCAAAAATGAGTAGCCAATCTCACATAATTTTAACATATATAATATCGAATTTTGTAATCACCAAAAACAAATATTCCTAACGATCTTCTTTCTAATAATCGAGTAAAATATCATTTAAGCACACAATGCAACAAGCTTTCATCTATTTCTTTTTTTCGATTTTCTATAACTAGAGAAAAAAAGAATTTTGGATTGATTCCAAATTGAAGAAAGAATCGAATATTAATTGATCAAATAATTTCCTCCAAAGTCTGATACATAACAAATTAATCGAACGAGAATAAAGACATATGTGGGAGAATTATATTAATTTATAAATTGTTTGCACCATCTTTAATTTTGTTTTTGCTTTCTTACAAACATGCACGATTGGGTTATTATAATGACAATGAATCTCAGATTTACTTCCTTGACTTAGACTCCCACTTAACTTATTGAATCAAGACTCGACATCCCCATGACCTCAAACTCAACTCAAAGGATGTAGGAAATTGTAGAACCAGCATTTTTTAATAAATTCAATAAATTGATTGCATCGTCATTAATTATACACGTCTACATTGATAAAAACATCTAATACCATTTAATAAATTAGTTACTACTTCCTTTTTGATTTCCTATACGTATAACACTTCTACAGAGCAAGAAGATGATCATCTATCTATATCCATACATAGTACATACATAGTGTATATTATGACAATTCAAAAGCAATCTCTTATTACATAAGCACTTGGAGGATCCACAATTTGACAAGTTGGACAACTTTTTTATAAACACCAAATAATTATTAATGTATTTATTGAGTTACCTCTCACTTCTTTAAAATTTCCGTTTCTTTTATCTAATTTTTTTTTTTCATTTATCCATTTATTCTTATTTTTTTGCTTTGATAATAAGTTACATGTTGATAAACTTAACTAAACACACATAAATAATAATATTTTGTCAAGTAACAAAATATAAATAAGAAAACAGAGAGTGACATATATCACATTTTTTAAAATAAAAATATTTTTTTTTATGGTTAAATCAAATCGCATTAAGAACCGACACCTATAGCAAAGTGCTATGGAGCCCTCAAAAACTGGCAATTCTGTACATCATACCTCACAGAGTCACTCACCAAGACAAAAACAAACTTAGTTTGCTAACTATCTACCCCAAGCCCCCTAGCTTCAAAACAATCAACTAAGCATTGGTTTAACAGACAACGACTCCAAATACTCCGTTTTGCATCAACTAGCAGCTGAGAAGGACTTCTAGCCGCAACAGAACCATATAACCTCGCACATCTCTCCCGCCAAACAAGACTGATAAGAACACTCCAGCTCATCCTATTCAAAGAATGCTCTGGAGAATTTCTCGGCCACTTCATGACACACCACTCCAACACAGCATTCCAGCTTCCAAGCACAGGAGGTGATGCCTCTTTCAACACTTTACAACTCAAATACTGAAAGTAAGAACATTCCATGAACAAGTGATCACGACTCTCCATTCCTCCAGGACATAACAAACAGTGTCCAGAGATCGATTTACCCCACGCAATCAGCTTATTCAGCAGTTTTAACCTGTCATTAATCACCAACCATAGGATAAATCCATGCCTGGGGATGACATGTTTATCCCAAACCATTTTAAACCATCTGCCTCAATGACTCCCACACCCTCGAAACAGAGTAAGAGGGCATAGCCAAACCATCCCACTGCAACTCAGATCCTACTACAGATATGAAAGGCTTTATCAAGTCCTTACATTTGAGTAAACGGTCAAACGAACGGAAAGTTGACGATTTTGATATTAGATTGTTTTCGAAAAGAGTTGGCTATTATATTATTTAAAATGAAAGGTTTGGATATTAAATTGTATTTACCCTTATATATATATATATTAATATTAAATGTCATGTTATCAGTGGCTTGTATGTTACAACTTTAGGTCACCCAATTCGCCCCTCTGCCCTCCACGTCCCCGCTCCAAATCGCCGAAACGCGATTTTTCGGGAGTTCGTCAAAAAACCGCGAACTACTTTTCATGAGAGCGCGACTTTGGATTTTGAGAGCGCGTTCTCTCGATGAACTCGGAAGGAAAACATTGACCTTCTTACTCTTCTTGTCGTTTGTCCACTTTAATTACATTTTGAGCCTAATCGCCACAACCAACACTCTGTTCAGTTTTTGGGTCAAGTCTCTCTGGTCTCGAACGATAGATCAAGAGGAAAGGGGAGAAGGAAATCTGCGAGTTCTATGATTCCTTGGCGTTAGAGCTGCATGCAGCAACACCAAAGCCAACAGTGGGGAAGTGCTGCTTGGAATTTGTTGTTTGTGGTCGAATGATGAGGCAGGGGAGAGCTTCTTATAGTTCTACGTTTCTTGATATATAGCAGATCCTGCAATTGGGTGGAGAGCTCCGACCGGCAAAAGGAAAGGTGAGCGAAGAGGGCTTCTCACCATAATCTGCATAGAGACTTTCTAAAATTTATTTCTTAACTTCCTCATCGGTGATTGCTTGATTGAATCAAAGAGATGTTCTCATCACTTTAATTGTTCTGGTCCAGAAGAGGAAGAAAGGTAAAGGGGGAAGAGAGAGAGCAGAAAATGGTGGGTTGAGGAAAGATGCGAAGAGATAAAGAGAGATGTTACTCTAGTTTGTGGGACTTCTTTTTATATTATAGTAATAATTCTATAATTATTCCAATTGTTTAGGTGGTGAATATAAGCAGATATGTTGACTAAATTGGAGTTGTTCTTTCACAAACTGCAAGTACATTGGTAGTGGTGGTGTATAATAGAACAAGTAATAGTAATATGCAATTATTCGCATCACATAAACTTATTTTGTAACATTAAGTTGTGAATATTGCTCTTATTTTATTTAATATATTGAATAATAATTAATTAATATAATATTGACGCTCTATGCACGCTTTCAATATTGAATTCTTCAAAAGTTAACGCTCTGCCGCTCCCGCTCTCGCTCCCGCCCCCGCTCCACGCTCTGGTTACCTAATACAACTTACTTGCGTATGGTATTCTCCACCTTTAGTAACCCTCGATTCGTCAATCTCATTAGCCGATATGGTAAAAATCAGAATGATGAGTGCGTCATGAAAATGATAGGCCAGATAGCATATATATTTTTATATATATGAGCTCAACACAACTTATTCCAGTTAATCATTCCTTTCATGGTTAATTTTCTGACCATGTATTATTATAATTAATTGATACTTGTAGAATGTTCTACTCACCAATCACCATACACAAAGTCATCATATTATAAAATTAATAGCATTTATATCAAACCATGAACCATCCAACACCATACTTTAAATTTAGCATTCTTATAATAAATCGATGCATATATATTTCTTACATACACACATTTGAAGGATCACATGAAAAGATAGGAAACAACATTGTTATGTAATCTATCATTCAATTCACCCGTGTTTTAGCTCACAAAATGTTGCCCTCTTATGGACTTATGGTGATGGTGACTCCTTTTAAAAATTGCAAAAATAATAGTCATATATGTGTTAAGAAACAAAGAAAATCGGTTAAGAAAACGTTAGAATTATTCTCATAGTTAAATATGAAAAGGTTTATATATGCTTTATATACTCATACACTAATATTTAATGTACAATTTTTGTCTATATGCCAAATCGAAGGGGTGGCTCGATGTTGAAATTTCAAAGGGATCAAAGAAGAAGCAAACAAAAAACAAAAAAAGAGCAATTGGCTTTTATGTCAAAGCCAATGACACAAACACAACCATTGTTAATGCCACACTTTGCACGACTTTCTCAACAATTATGAATGGGCAACCATTCTTTTCCTTACAAAACCGAATATGATTGAACCAGACCGATTGATTAATTGGTCAATATTCATATTTAAACGATTCTGTTTTAATTTGATTGTTCGTGTTTTCTTAATTTATCTTTATCATGATATGTTTTACTTTCTTTCCTGAATAATCATTTGAACTAGTCTTGAATGAATCTTCTGAACTTTAATGTGAATAAATTAGCTTTTGATCAATACTTTGTACCCATGTTATCCTCATTTTGAATCGGATTCTAGGGACCCTCCTCTAATTAGTTAATTGATTGGATCACATTGTGAAAGTTGTGCTAAATGTGCGCTTAGATCAAAAGAATATAGAGAAACTGAATTAGACTTAATCGAATGAGCATATTTAATCTGATTACGATATTCTTGCTCATTTTCTTCTTCAGTTTGATGAAGTCCTATACCACTTATACTTATTTCACATCTTTAGTTTATCCCTTAGTATCATATGTTGCATAATATAGAAAAGCTGATTTATGATCGATTTCAATCACTCCTTCCATCTTCAGTTTGATATAATCCTATACCAGATTACCAGTTATACTAATTGCAGCTTTTGGAGTTTGTCAACAAATAGCACAAATTGAATAAATTACATTCGAAAACTCAAACCAAAACAGTTTGTCGTAATCGGATGAGGATTTTACACATTAGTTCTATTATGTTGATGTGCGATTTGGTGAATATGGGTTGGATTAGCTATCAAACCAGACCGGATCATCGTCGACCCGGTCAGGCCTGGAAGCAACAAGTATTATTTTAGAGAGAGTCCAATTTGGGTCGCTTTCTTTCCATTTTCCCCCATTCCCTCCTCCTTTCCCCAACTAAACAAACTCACCAGATTTCCCCATTTTCCCCTTCATCTCTAATCCCTTTCTCTCTTCCCTCTTTCACACCATCGACTAATTAATGGCGAATGCATCGACGGCGGACTCCCCCGGCCGCTGCGACAGCGAGGGAAGGGATCGGCAGCAGAGCAGCAGCGTGTGGGAGATCGAAGAGGAGAGCGAGCTGTTCGAGATCAACCATGGAAGGGCGGCAATGGCGAGCATCAAGGAAGAGATCAGCCTGACGGACGCCGGGAGCATGTTCTCCGTAGACGTCAACGGCAGCGGCGAGGGAGCGGAGGAGTGCGTGTACGTGGGAGTAGGGAAGGGCGATTCCAGCCTCGAAGCGGTGGCTTGGGCGGCGGCCCAATCCAGCTCCGCCACCGTGGTTTACCTCATCCACGTGTTCCCTCAAGTCCACCACATTCCTTCTCCCCGTAAGTTACTATAAATCCGGCTTATTAATCTCTCAAATGAATCAATCTTCCTCTCCCTCTGCTCAATAATATGAAAATTTGTTTATCAAATTTGGTTTATCGTACAATCGGTTAATTAGCTAGTGCTTAATAGTGATTTTTCGGGGGTTAAGTAAGTAAACTATATATTTTTTCTTTTCTTTTCTTTTCTTTTCTTCCTTCCAACAAATTATTATAATAAAAAAATAAAATAGGGATATAATTGTCTACTAAGTACTGAAATGTCCTTCCCTTCCCTTCCCTGTATTAGTATATATATCTGGGAGGGTCATTAAGTTAGACTTCTGTTGAGAAGTAGCTGGAAATAGATTACTCAAGTAATTTATAGGCACAACCAATTTTAGAAATGAACTCATTATCTGAATATAGTGATAGATTAACATGAGATGAGATGAGATGATGAGCCATGCTCTAAGAATTTCGTGCTAAATTATTATATTGTATGTCCGTAAGCATAATAATACTGATACCTAGTTATCCATTCGGCTATAAAATGAGTTTGGACTAATTTTGACTAGTAAGAGATTTTTGAAAAGGTGTCTTGTAAGTTTGTGAGCTCGATCATATCATATTCATATGGCAACGGGTGGTGGTAATGACTGTGAAATGGTGGGTTTTGGATTGGTGAACAGCTAGCTATGGCTCTCTCTTTGTATTTTCTTTGGCTAAATTGGTGGAGATGACGATGACGGATTAGAAAAATTATCGAATTCTATAATCAATCATCAATGACTTATTATTATTATAATAATAATAGAATTCAGTTCAACGCATATATCAAGCAATGCCTTGTTAAGAAGTTTGATTATATCAATAAATCCTCCCTCATTAATGTAATGGGTGTTTACTAATTGGAATTGTCGATTCTTTTCTATGAATATGAAGTGACCGCTTGACCTTTTCAAGGGGTAGGTTAGGCCTGGCCCAGAAGTGTTAAAGTATGGGCCCAACCCAAGTTTACTCTCTCTCTCTCTCTCCTTGGTTTGGTCTGGATATGGAAATGGAATTGTGGTCCTGATTAGATTGCTGTGTTCAATTTAAAATAATAATAATAATAATAATAATAATAATAATAATAATGAATTAATGAGCAGTGGGTAAGCTGCCAAAGAGCCAAGTGAGTGGAGAACAAGTGAAGAAGTACATGGCAGAGGAAGGAGACAAGAGAAGAGAGCTCCTCCAGAGATTCATCAACAAGTGCTCTGCGACTGCTTCCATTTCCAAGGTAGGTATGGCCGTATGGGTATCTCATCAAGTACATTAGTACCCGGCCCGGCCATTTTGTACATCCAGTTCCAAGTAGCGGTCGGTTTATAATATATAATAATAATAATAATAATAATATTTCTAGCTACTTGGTGAGTGAAGGTGGAGACGGTGCTGATAGAGAGCGACTTGGTGGCGAAGGCGATGGTGGACTTGATCCCGATCCTCAACATCAGGAAGCTTGTCTTAGGAACCAACAGATCCAACGTCAAGAAGCTCAAGCACAGAAAGGGCGGCAACACCAACAACAACATCGCCGCCCAGGTGCTCCAGAGCTCCCCCGAGTGGTGCGAGATCAGCGTCATCTCCCAAGGGAAGCTGGTCCTCAACACCACCGCCTTGCAATTGGGAAGCAGCCCCAGTACAACTGCTGCCGGCTCATCATCATCATCATCATCTCCTTCGCTGCCGCCGCCGCCGCCGCGGATGGATAGCAGTAGTACTGGTGATCAGATAATCAATGCGGCGGCCATGGAGGAGCTGCAGCAAGTAATTACTAGTAGCAACCACAACGACGGGGACGCCTTTGCTTGCATGTGTTTTCGCTCGCCCAAGGTGGCCATCTAGCTACCTACCTACAACCTACTCTTCTCGATCTCGATCTCGATCTCTCTAGTTTTAATTACTACTTGATCCATCGTCCTCTATATCTGTCCATATAAAATGAGTTGAGTTCAAGCTTAATTTGTTTACTAAATAGATTTGAACTTGGGACCTCTGGGTTGAAGACTATATATGGATATTACTAGTAGACTAGGCTCTTGTACTTAAGGACTTAAACGTCATACATAATGAAATATATAAATTAATGAATGTATGAACTATCATTAACCCAACACATAAGCTATAGGCCGATGCGACAATAAGCCGTTAGTCTAGCCAAGTCATCAGCTCAACGGCCTACCGTTTAGGCTGACTAACGAGCTCAACAAATGTTTAGATTTAACTAGTAAATGAAGTTTCTATAGTCGAACATTGTTCCGCTTGTGACCAATTTGACTCATTTTCACTCTACCCGTATTAGAGCGGGGATAGCTCAATTGGGAGAGCGTCAGATTGAAGATTTGAAGATCGTGTGTTTGATCCACGCTCAGCGCATGTTTAGTTTGCAGTAACCATACGTGGCAACAACTCCAACCAAACTATCAAAGTTACAGACTTGGAGTTGGAATTCGTTCAGGATTGCAGATACCAGCTACAGCAGCCATACATTTTTCCTTATCATCAACTGTCATTCAGGAAAAAAAACATAAGGAAGGATGAGAGAGAGGAGAGAACAGGTGAGGGGGTAGCAAGACAAACAAAAAACAATTACTGTCTCTCAATTGCTGACAAATGTTCATCACAACAATAAATTCTTCCCCCTACCCATATAAAAAAAAAAAGATACAATCTTTCCATCCTTACAATCAACATCATCATCATCAACCATACATGTACTTGGAACCCTTTCAGAAGAAGTCAAACTCCAGATAGTTATCACCACCACCACCACCACCACCCTTCTGACCACCACCTGCTCCTGCTCCTGCTGCTGCTACCATCGCTGCCTTTTCGCTCGTAGATCCTGCCAATGGTGCCGGCCCAGGAATCCGTTCCAACTCAACCGGCCTGGGTATCTCAGGTGGTGTGGCACATCGTATCAATGCCCAGTTCACCCCTTCGAAGAAAGGATGCTGCTTTATCTCAGTAGCGCCCCTCTTATACGCCAACCTGTGCTGTGGCTCCTTCACCAGCAGTCCCCTTATGAGGTCCCTTGCTGCAAAGCTGACTACTGGGGCTTCAGGAAACCGGAGAGGCTGACCCACTACATTGAACAATGTAGCTCGGTTTCCAGACCCCTTGAATGGCGTCTTACCAAAAAGGAGCTCGTAGAGAAAGATACCATAAGTCCACCAGTCGACAGCACTTCCATGGCCTTCCCCCTTGATGATCTCGGGAGCTAAATACTCGTGGGTTCCGACGAACGACATTGACCTCGCCTCAGTAGGCTCCGCAATCAATTCTGGTAAGGGGCTGACCTGGTTTCCGAGATCGTTTTTCTGTTTCCTCTCCTTTTTCGACTTACTGGAGAAGAGGCGAGGCGAGAAGCATGTCGTAGGCCCCACACAAGAAGGTTGGATGCAGGATGGCGGCTGAATGCACGCTGGCTGGACACAGTAGACTGGGTTCTTTCGTAGTGGGTCGGCTCCCTCGAGAGGCGTGCCTTTGACGAGAGTTGGGCTTACAGCGCAACGGAGGGAGAGGTCGAAGTCGGAGAGCATTATGTGTCCATCATCTCTCACCAATACATTCTCGGGCTTGAGATCGCGGTAGATGATTCCCAGCATGTGGAGATACTCCAATGCTAATAAGACCTCTGCCACGTAGAACCTGAAGAATTTGAGGAGGACGCATTAGATGAAAGATTACAATTTGGCAGGTGAGAAAATCAATAATAACACAAACTAGTGTTCTAAGAATGCTGGAGGCAGAAACAGCATCTAATGTTACCCTGAAACAAAGTCCAGAACAATTTCGAAAACTTGAAAGTCAAAAACTTCAACAGCTAATTACTCAAACTCATTACTCAAGAGCTAGAAGAATGCCATCTTCTGATAATCAACGTTACAACTTGAGTACCCATAAAGGCAGAACTCATTTCATAACAGAGCTTTCTGCTGAAAACTCTTGTCAGTGCAATCAAGGAATGAACCAAAATTTCCATGAAACAATGGAGCAAGCTTAGGAAACTTAGGTATCCTTTGAACAACAGGATTCTAGGTGCTAGCAGGCTTGAAATGGTGAGTGGCAGACAAATCATGTTCATCCAATTGAAACAAAAACACCATGTACTAGAGATTAAATGAAACAAATCGACAGCAGGTTCGATATCAAATTTTCTTACTTTACTGCCTGCTCGGTGAAATGCTTCCCTGGCTGCCTCTGCCTGAGGGTGTGCAAGTCACCACCAGGGCAGAACTCCATAACCAAACAAGAAAACTTCTCCGTCTCAAAGTGGGTATAAAGTGAAGGAAGGAATGGATGGTCAAGAGATTGTAGTATCTCTCTCTCTGTCTGAGCTCTAAGCAGCTTCTTACGACTTGCAAGGGAGCCCTTGTCCATCACCTTCATGGCAAAATAACACTTGGTCCCACTCAACTCAGACAAATACACACTTCCAATATCGCCACAGCCTAACCTCTTCAGCAATCTAAAGTGATTCAAACCCAAAGCCCCATCCCTCATCCTAACAGCCTGGATGGCTTCCCATCTTAAATCATTTGCCTTATGAGGCTTACTGATGCTGCTACTAAAGCTGCTACAGGTACTCTCATCGCTGATGTCACTGCTCGTGCTGCCTCTGCACATGCTGCTCTTCCCACTTTCCACATACTCAATTTTCGTGCTCCCACTAGTCTTCCCAAGACTGCTAGCTCCATCACTGACTTTTCCTGAAACCGAACTGTTCTTAACAGATGTTGCTTGGGACCCTCTGGTATCATTGACGGATGAGGAATCTACTCCTCCTGACCCTTGTTCTTCAACACTAGCCAATGATATCGAAGTGGACTCCAATTTGCTGATTAAGGAGTCAGCAGTCAACACCTTTCTGTTGGAGTTTGGAAACTTCGGCGTGTTTCCTAATGGCCTTGGCACCTGGCCATGAATGTTCATCTCGACTGGAGAAGGGAGCTTGAGATCATCTAGCCGCAACTTATGAACCTCTTTTGAGAAACCTTTACTACCTGTTCTGGAGGCCATGGAGAACTATCTAACTCTTTCAAAATTACATCAGAGGTGATGAATTCGCGGCAAAGCATCTAGTACCAGAAATCATATCTTTCTGCAGAGGCCCAAAGGTATTTTTCTGCCTGATTCTTCTTCTAATGCCCACAATCGAACCTGTTTGAACATAGCTGAGTAAGTCCCAGATGCCCACAAAGGTATATTTCAGCTGAACATTATTAAACTGAAAAAAGATGCAAAGAGATTAATTTTGATACATGCAATCTGATGAAGAAAGAGTGCGTTGAATCTATGGAAGAGGTAAGATAGTTTAACCATGGATTGAAGTGGTAGCCCCACCAAATTAAGTTGCAATTAGCACAAACAAATTGACATAAAGGTGAGATCTTGGCAACCAGAGAGGCTAAAAATTCAACAGTGGGGGAGATTGATTTAATTTTCCTAGGGTACTACCTCAGTGGAGCTAAACTATTCAAGTCAAAAAAGAGGTTTGAGGAGAAACAAAAGCAACACAGTAAAGTTCAACAAGGGAAACCAAATTCACTCATCTCCCAACACGGAATCAGTTTGAAGCAAAGGGACTGCTGTATGTTTAACCTTGATCAAGCAAATAGCCAAGTGAAAAACGTCCCTCAGCAAACAAATAAAAACAAAGAGAAGGGAAGAATTCCATAGCAGCCAAAAAAGCTTGGGGAAAAAAAATCTCCCCACGAAGAACAAAGAAGTTCATTTCAAGGACCACTATCTATAAAGTAAAGGAAATCAGTCCATCAAAGTCAGCTGCCCAGGAAGAAAAAAAATGCAGTTTGAATCAAAAGGAAGGCAGGAACAAACAACTGATCATCACAGAATGACACAACCAAGCAACCAAATCATAGAAGTTAACAAATTCAGCCTTATAAAAATCAGATCTTGACAGCAAAAACCACAGCTTGAACCAAACCCCAGAATAGATCGAAGGCCAAAACAGAGCACCCAGATGCCCAACGAAGCAGATTGCAATCGCCTACCAATGAACAAGGTATAAGAGGAACAAAAAAGTACCTAGCTTGAAAAGATCAGGAACTTGAAGGTGGGCTTTGCTTGCTTTTGCAGTGAGGGGCGAGAGAAAAAAAAAAAAAAAAAAGAAGAAGAACAAAAAGGGAAAGCACTGTGGAAAGGAGAGAAAGCAATCGAGAGAGAGATAGAGAGGCTAGGGTGGCTGCTGCTACCAATTAATCTGCGTGTGAGAGTTAGAAGAGGGAGGGAGAGATCTAAAAGCAAACATGGAAAAGAAAAGCTTGAGATGGAAATAAAAAGAGTATTTAAAATAGGGGGGAAAGAAAAGAAATTGGTGTTTAATTATAAGCTGGCTTGGCTGGCTGGATGGATCACTGGACTATGGTCCTCCTGGTTTGGCTGAGAAAGCTTCTTCTGCTTTCCTTGTGGACCATTGTTGTGCAGAGATAAAGAGTCGCAGTAGAAGAACAAGAGGTAGATGAGTCAAACTGTCAAAGACATCAAAGCCAATGGCTGCCTAAAGGTATGAAGAAACAATAATCGATTTTCCTTTCTATTCCTAAATTATAAACTTTCCTTTTTACAATGGAAAATGATGCGGTTGGTTGTGTCGTAGCGTTTTTGTCTCGGAGCGGAGTTAGCAGTTTGGATGGTCCGACGACAGCCAACCATGAACGAAGGAGGGCAAGGCCAAATTATGATTTTGGTTTGGTAGAAAAACAGAGATCTTGCTCTTTGAACTCATCGTACATTGGCAAAATCTCTGATGGTGGCACTAATCTAGTTCGAGTTAATTTGCAGGCTTCTTTCCTAAATGGTGTGATTCTTTTCATAGTTGACATGTATTTAGGCAATATGTTGTATCTAAACTAAAGTCACCAATATATAATACTAGTAGATAGTATCATTTTCAATTGTATGATCATGATTCACGCCCATTAAAAAAAAATGTCTAATCACGAAACAAGTATTACAATTAATAAGAACCAATTGCTATTGTAATGAGAAGACGACGAAAATTAATAGTAGTAACCAAGAAAATATGTGGTAAACCACTTCTACTTAGGGACACACTAACTGAGAAAAATTCTTTTTTATCCAAGGTTCCCCCACAATAGCCATAATAACGTTGTAGAGCGACACATCACTCTTTAAGGTACATCGCCTTGAATAAGAGGCCTTCTTTCTCTTTAAAGTTAGTGTGGTCCTTGCGAACGCAGTAGCGGAATCGGAAGGAAGGAAGGGCAAATCAATTACGTCAGTAAAAGAAAGAAGCAAACTGACTTGATTAATGAACACCAATCAGTCTACCAGGAGCAAAGAGCTCATCTATTATTAGTGCCTATTTCTTAGGGAGTGACCGCCTGACCGGAATTAAGCCGCGTAGCCCGCGTGGACTATTCGCTAGGGTCGGCCTTTCATACTCAAATCCGTAGGGGGAAATGAAAAAATTTTCAGAGCACTAAAATATAGCAGCTTTGGCTAGCTATGGTCCTGCTCTAAGAATCGTAACCAAGTTTGCTTTTTTTTTGGTCAAAAATATCCCAAGAGGGAATACAACAGATACGGCATAATAAAGGGACCTTTGTAGGTCAAATGTACAAAGTATAATTAAGGAAGAGTCGTTGATCGACCAATCAATGATCCAACGATGAGAGGGCTTGTTTCGCCACGAGATGGGCAACCCTATTATACTTACGCAAGGCGAAGTGGAACGATGAACGCTATATGGAGGCTCGATAAACGCTGTAATTAAATTTGAAATTATCAAGAAATTTCATTTTCTATGATTAATTAATGTTTTTTCTTTTGTCTCATAGAAGGTTCAGATGGTGGTGATTGATTGAAGGGGTAAAAGCATGCCTAGAAGCGGCATAATTGGGTTAAAGTAAAAATGATGGGTGCTTAATTAGCACGGGTCGGTCATCACTGCTAAAACTTCATACTACATTGTGAATAATTAGGCTAGGGGGAATTGAAGAGTAGCTCTTTGCCTCTTTCCATGCTTAGCTTCAAGTCATCAAAATTTTCTCGAGGGACGGATGTCTTGTGCTTTATTCGTCTTGTGATCATGAACTATTGTTATTATATGGATGAGACTTTTTTTTACAAATAATGCCAACTTTTATTCCAACCACAAAAAAAGTAGTTACGAGTCTCCGGCGTTGGCGCAGTTCGTTTTCTACGTGCTCTATTTCGTTTACAACTTCAGCAAGCCTTACTGCATCTGCAATAGTAGCCATACGTGCTATTACTAAATTTCTTTGATTTGAATTTGATGAAGTGAAGACACTTATCGAGCCTCCATTTATAGAGTGGTAGAATAATATCGCCATGCAGTACGAATTGCATGGCTGGCCTACTATAACCACGCTGCCTGTATGAACAAAGAAACTTTTCAGAACCGTTTCACCTAATCGATCGTGGTGAAGTCAGCAATGGATTCGGCGGATCATCCACGTCACGAATTAGATGGCAGGAAAGAAACATGCTAAAAAGCGATTACAATCTTAAAGGAGATAAGAAATTAGATTAAGAATATTAATCCAGTCATCTGGCAGAATAGATCTAGCTTTTGATCATGTAACCCAATCAGCTTTGACGTTCAACGCCCTCAGAACCTCTTTCACCGAAATTGCAGGGTAAGACCTAAGGATATTGACCATTGTTCTAATCCAGACTGCACATCTCGAGAGCCATCGAGACTGACTATGATTCAGGGTAGAGGTGTCAATTGGGAGGATTCGGATTGGGTCTAATCGGGTTGTGAGTTCAATCGGGTCGGTTTCAATTTGGATCGGGTTTAATTGGGTTGCAGGTCAATTAGGTTACAAGTCAATCAGGTCACTGGTCAATTGGGTTACGGATCGGGTTACGAGTGCATCAAATTACGAGTTTATTAGATTGCGGGTTAATTCGAGTTCGGTCAGATCGGATTATGGGTTATTCGGGTCAACCCATTGGATCATTTACTTGTTGACAGAAAATAATGTTTTACAAACTATCAATATATGAATATAAATTGTAGGTAATGATACAAAATTTAAGAATATGATAATATGATAATATTTTACACATACAAATTAAATATCCATTATGTTAGTATAAAAACTAAATATAAATAAAATAGTGTACATAAAATCTTTATTGTTGGTTGTAATTTTTTTTGTTTATGGCAAGAGATTGTAACTTCACTTATTTTATTAATTTGTAAAAAATTGAATCAGTAAAAATTTGAGAATGAAGTAAAAAAGGTAGACTATATGCTTATACATCTCGAAATGAACCGTCTTAATTAAATATAGTATAAACTAGATGAGTGTCTCTTCATTTCCACAAAGACTTATGAACATCATTCTGAATCACCCACTTATGTATCTACTGATATATCTTCACAATTTTTTATATATTCACGGTAACATCTTATCCTAAAACTCATGGGTCGAACAACGGTTCGCTCAAATATGATATTATCATCTAGTTCGAATCGTCGATTTATTAACTTATAAAAATAAATAAAATCATTAAAAAGTTGAGAATGAAGTAAAAAGGGTAAACTATCCACTTATTTATCTTGATAGGGATCATTGATTTTGGGGATTTCATTAATTTTCATGGGGTTGATTTTTTTAATATAGTTATGGGTGGTGGAGATACTAATTTGTGTCTAACTCTCCCTATTATCTTCAAAATTTTATTCTTTGAATTTCATAAAATAAAAAGTGAATGAAAAGATATTTCACATATTATTATTTTAAAAATTAAATATTTAAGAAAAAACCTCAATTTATACCATTAATTCTACAAATAATTTTCGATTATTATGAGGACAACAGTTCTTTCTTGGTAAATTTTAAAATATAATAATGTATACATTGATTTTATACAAGCATTTGGGTCAAATGGGTTATTCGGGTTATTCGAGTTGGGTTCGGTTACGAGTTATTTGGGTTATGAATCATTCGTGTTATAGATGGGTCGGGTTATGAGTTGGATCGGATAACTAGTTCATCGAGTTATGGGTTGATCGGATTACGGGTCAATTGGTTTCGGGTTACGGGAGGGCTTCGGGTGGTTGACTTTTTGTCAAATCGGGTTACGGATGGGTTGTGGGTCCGGTGGTTTGGACGGGTTAGCCGGGTCGGGTTCAATTTTGACAGCTCTAAATTCAGGGCCTTCACCAGCATTTGACAGTCAGTTTGCACTGTACATACTGATCCATATTCTTGTGCTAATTTAATTCCTTCCAAGAGAGTCTTTGCTTCCGCTTCAATCGGGGTGGAACAAAGAAGATTTTCAGCTCTCCCATCACACACTTGTCCATGGTGGTTAACGACAACAACATCATATGTCGCCGACTGGGAGTCGCTAAAGAACGACCCATCACAGTGAATCACTATCGAGTGATTACTTGGCGGGGGATTCGTAGTAGGATCACTACAAAAAAAAAACTGTATATGTCATCATTTTCAAACGTTGCTCAAAGATGTCAAAATGTCGGTGTAGTTTTGCGCCGACAATTATGAAAAATGACGGCTAATTGAATTAAAATATCGTTTTTTATTTTGTCGCTTAAAGTTATTATGACATCTACAGAAACTGTTGGTACCTACATTGTGCGACATTTATTTCGGCATATGAAAATGTGACTATAGAACCTTACGACATCTACAAAAAATGTGGGTACATATATCTTCCGACATTTTATTTTGACATATGAAAATGTGACTATAGAACCTTGCGACATTTACTAACAAGTGTCGGTACATATATCTTCCAACATTTTATTTCGACATATGAAAATGTTACTATAGAACCTTGCGACATTTACAAAATGTGTTGGTACATAAATCTTCCAACATTCTATTTCGACATATGAAAATGTGACTATAGAAGCTTGCGACATTTACACAAAGTGTTGGTACATATATCGCCGACATTTTATTTCGACAGATTAAAATGTGACTGTAGAAACTTGCGACATTTACAAATGCAGTGGTTAAGCATATACTCTTATGGATGAGAGTTCTATTGATGGTTATGCATGTACTCTTATACGACTTAGTTATCTTTGTTTTGTTTTGTTTTGTTTGGGAGAGGAATACAAGAAAGATATTGTTTTTGTGGTGTACAACTTACTTTTGGATTATTACATTATGAAATTAGGACATCTTTTTACTTATAGAAACATTGCATGATTGTTTCCATCTTAGAGGCAGTATGGTCTAATTTGTGTCAAAATTGAACTAAACTAATATAAGGCTGCATTGTGAATGTAGGGAACCCTTTAATTATTTAGTTTTGTTACAATTTATATTTTGCTTATTTTCCTTTCCTCCTCGTTGGACAACTTAGTTGCTTATGTGGTTCCATGTGTTTCCTCAACAAATAAAAACAACCAAATAATTGAAGTGAAGTGAAGAAAAATTATATTATATAAGGCTCAATCCATGTTACTGTTGCCTATACTTTTGCTCTCATTGGTTCTTTTTTTTTATGCATATGTTTTCCCATTTTAAGATTTTGCAACTTCCACGTAATCCATAGTTGTACGTTTTTTGCATGAGATATTTGGATTCGCACCTGTTCTAAAAAATATTTCTCAATTTGAGAGTTGTGAACTTCTGATAATGTTGTAACTGTGGAAATAAATTTGCAACGGTGGTATCCACCCGAATCTGACTTAATCAGATAGGGTAAAATTCGAACTCGAGTGATTTTTAGTGGGTGTGAAAAAATTTGAATCCGAATATTACATCAATGGATGGGCATGATTTTCTCACTATGCAACCCAAATATGCTCGATTATACACATGCATATGTATTTTTTCTAGAAAGCTCATTATTTTTCTCTATAACCTTGATATTTATTATAATATATAATATTTTCGTGCAGTTGTTTTGTTTTAACTAATTTTCTTCATTTTAGTGATTTTTATTGTCGTACGCAATGTCATTATACGAGTGAATGTTAACATGTTGGTTAGATTTATATATAAATAAAAATTATTACCCATGGATAACACGTGAAAACCCGAATCATCGAGAATTGGCTTGATTTTAATTTTCTCCTCGATTCTTCTGTGAGTATGAGTAAACCAAACTATTCTAGGTAGGATAATTGATATGCACTATCTGCCCCCCAACACGATCGATTTCCATTCCTAATTTTCATTAATCCTTATGTGTTATGTCATCGTATTAGACTCATGTTACCAATCAAACTTCAAAATTAGATGTCTTAAGACTACTTTTAAAATTAGGTGAATAGTATTTACGCATTTTTGTAATGTAAGATGTAATGATGTTAGATTATTAAAACAAAATAATACACACAAATGACTACCCAACAAAGTAAAAAAAATCAACTGCAGGCCGTTGCAAAGCTCGGCCACCACCTAGCTAGTAATTATATATTTTTGACCTCTATTTGGATTAGTTAACCTAAACCTCTGAGTTTGAGTGAATTAAGTGTAGATGATAAATATTAGTGCACCTATTCTACTACAATAAGGAGCCTTGCCTTAACCACTAATCGGCCCTACAGTCAACTAAACAGCTCAACTTTATGGGTAGGGGATGATGAAAGGGTATTTATGGGGAGGGCAAGACAATTAGGTTGGGGTTTGGCCAGAGGTGTTCCTAACGTTAGCATCTAAACTAAACCTCTATAAATTTCATGAACCTATACTCAATTTTGTGCTAGAGAATTCCTTATAGAAACACATTGAACATCTATCTACCTATCTAATATTTTTCAAGATTTTGGACCAATTTACGATAAAATAAGTCTTTCATTAGGCTGTTGGGTCTTATATCTTTTACCCAACATGAATCATACTCGCATAGAGCTTCATGTTAGATGAATCATTTCACAGGCTTCGGGATCAAGGTATCATTAGCCGAAGAAGAACCTGGTCAATCCACATGTCCTGTTCGAAGAGAGTGAACGACGAAGACATCTCAAATTGGTCAAAATTTCATGCGAAATCTCAAGCGCACAATCTCACATAATAACATGGACTTATCGGCAGTGGCGGAGCCAGGAAATTGGCCAAGGGGGTGTCTTTATCATATCATAAAAAATCACCTATACAATAGAAAAGTCAACTTTAAATTAAACAAAAAGTCAACAACGCAATACTCTAAATTCACACAATTACATTAAAATAGTTTCACGTACACCGGTTACAACGTCAAACAAATAAGTTCAGTACATACAAATCAAGACTTCCATTCATCAAATATTACAAATTAGAACTCAGAAGTACCTTGGAATTGATTTTGTGAAACAAACAAGTGAACTTCAATTGGTACTTCTTCACTTTCAACTTTGTTTAAACAAAAGACAAGAAATTTCTCTGTTGTAGAGCTAAAAAAAAATGAGCGAGTTTAAACAAAAGACAACAATTTATTACTATAAATAAAGACGAAAGTGCATTACATAACAAAACTCACTCGATCGAAATGATAAGAAATTCTTCCTGCAACTGAATGGTCATTGGTTCGAATTTGTATATACCCCTACTCGGAAATTTTTTCTCCAAACCCAAGGGAGGTGCAAAGCATATACGATATAATTAGGTATGGTATGATGAATAATGTTAATTCCACAAGATAAAGTGTATATGGAAATAAAACACACAAACACATTTAAGGAGACTAGGAGAGGGAGAGGGCCCAAAAACTCTAATGTTCTCATTCAATATTTGATGGGACAAGGAATCCCTTTTGGATCACTCGAAATTTTTCATTGGTTGAGTGTGTGAGATTTCAATGTTCTTTCTTGTTCCATAGCTCTCCGTAGTGTGGAAGAAGGTAGTTCCAAAATGCTATCCAATGCCTATTGATTTACATGCAACAAGAAGCTAGTTTCAGTTCATCCTTATGCAGTTTAATTTCTCTAAGAATCAAGAATTTAGTTATGTACATGTAAATAAACATTTCGATTGAACCTATGCTTCATTGCTAGAACTACACTTCATTTTCCGTAGGACAATGATTCATCCATCCGATATTGTTTTCTACACGTTTATTAAATTATTATGATTAATTAAAGTAGGTAAGATCAAGACAACGATCTATCAATTATGAATTATCACTCACATACACAAACTCAATTTTAATCCCCACCATTCTAATGCATCTATAAATTTAAATTTCGAAACTAGCGAATATGATGTATGTGAAGGATTTCAAGGCAACAAATTAAGTGTATGGATTGGACGGTAGTTAACCTAATAATACTGATGGGACTTCAATGTGTACATGTATTAAGGAGAAAGAGCACATCAGAATTTAATGTACATGAAGAAGGAAGGGTTCGTGCATGCAGCTAAGTTAGCTGTCTTTGGTCCCCGGTCGACAATTCTGTCTTTGGATGGTGCAGTTTTACCTACGTTTCATAATATTTATTTAGTGATGAATAAGATTTTTTTTTTATATATCCTGCTACTCTAAGTTAATTAGAATTTGATTTTTTTTTGTGTTTGGTTACGTTTTTATATATATTTAACGTTTGTATGTCCTTGTGCTTGCTAACAAGAATACTATGAAGGCAACAAGAAAAATGTTATTTTCAATGCTGAATAAACACATTGACTAATTGCACAAACTGGTAGTTTAATTTTGAAATTATTTTAAACTTAGATGTTATCAAGACAGTCGGCACATAAGCAAAGCAATTGTAGAAAACAATGTAAAAACAATTTGTTAAGCTAAATTATTACAAATCAGTGACACCTTTAGATCGACAGGCACATCTCATTACAAGTGTGTTCAAATAAACATCTTGCTTTGTGACTTGTGAGCTCACCTCTGACCCATTAATGGTAACCATATATATATATAGCTGACCTTTGAAATTTTCTAATTGAGGAAGAAAGAAGTACAAATTTATAACTACTACTTGCCCAATATTATATGAAATTAATTGATTATAACGGGTCGGGCATATCTACATGGCAACGTTTGCCTACTTGAATTCTTCTCTGATTATCTTTTAATAATCTAGTTCATACTCTATTAGAGTTCATTTTTTTCTCGGGTCCTTCATTACGTAGTTTTATGTCACGCTGTTTAGTTTGGAATTAGCACCTAAATTTTCTTGCTAAAATAAAATTGTTAATTTTTTTCCTTCAAAAAGACATATGATACTAAGTCTATCTCTTACCCATTTTTACAGTCAAATTATTCTTGACTGACTCACATTATACTCTGACGAAGCTAAACGATGCCATATGGGGAGAGAGAGGTGAATGATTAGCCTTTTTTTTTGTGTGGTGAAATGAAAACGATTATGATTCTTTCTTTCATGGCAGAAAAATAAACAGTAGAGGCAGGCAGGGCTCATTCTGTTTTTCGGCGGCGAGGAAAAACTGGTGTTTGAATTAAATGATTGCACCTTGACTTCTTGAACAACGACAATCAACATGGTTCACACCTCTCCGAACAATGTTCGAACGAGGGTGTTTGATGTTTTTGATGGTTTTTGGGAACAATCTAAGTTACTCTACTCCTATGGAGGTTCAGTGAGAGCTCCGAAAACTAAAAGCTGATTTGCAGAGAAAAGATAAATTTTGACATTGTGCGTCAAATGTTTGGTTGTGGAACCCTTGCTTCTTCTTCGTTTCTTCTATTTATAGCCACTAGGAGTAACTGCCTTGGTAACTGCTAGCCGGCTTATTGCTCCAAACGCCTTAGGGACCTCTTTTCGTTGCCTTGGTTGCCAATTGGTAACCGCTGTCTTGGTCTTTACCTCCATTGCCTTGGAGCTCCTTGTCCAGTCTTGGGGTTGGTGGGTACTTGATGGCCTCGATGCCGGGTCGGGTTGGTGTTGAGCCTTGTCGCCCTGTCATAACTGGATGGGGTTGAGGCTCTTACCTTAGCCTCCATGAACCATGATGAGGTCTTGATCTCAACGGCATGCCACCAAACCAATGTAATCCTTACTACCAAGCCAGTCCTGGTGGCTTGACCTTAGGGGTGGGCATTCGGTCGGTTCGGTTCAAACCGAACCGAAATTATACATACCGGGTCCCCGAATTCTATCAAACCTCAAACCGAATTCGAACCGAATTATAATTCGGTTCGGTCGATTCAAACCGAATTATAATTCGGTTCGGTTCGGTTTTCATACAAAACCAAAATAGTGAGTTAGCTTGTATTTTCTCTTTTTTAAATTATTTTTCACCCTAATGTAAACAATAAATATGTATCATCAATGATAAAATCAAACATTTCAACACATAAGTCATAAAACACTAATATAATTCAAATATTTAAGTCTCATAATAATTAGAAACATAAAAATCCACCATTTAGAGGTTGCAATTATAATAATTCGGTTTTTCGGTTCGGAATTCGGAAATTCGGTTCGGTCGAAAGGACCCTGGTTTCCGAAATATGCCCTTTTCTCTTCCGAATTCCGAACCGAATAACATTAATTTGGTTTCGGTTCGGTTTATATTCGGTTCGGTTAGGTTCAGTTCGGTTTTACGAACCGTATGCCCACCCCTACTTGACCTCCATACTTAGTTTTTGTAGCCTCGTCAAGTGGTAAGTTGCACCCTGCCGGTTTGGTACCCTGTGAAGGTGCTACCAAGCCCGTCTTTGGACTTTGTCTCCATATGGCCTCATAAGGGCTGAGCTCGACATCCTGGTAGATCCATCCATAGTTGGGTGGCCACCTCAGCTAGTCACCATGCCTTAGTCGAATTTCTTGTCTTGTTGGCTTGACACCCCCTTGGGGTCATGATACCAAGGGGTATGATACCCTGTCGCCTTGCTTGGCTGCCTAGCCTATCTTGCCGACCCCGTTGGCTTCATACTTAGCCAAATTCATGCTTTTCATGTCTTGGTACCAAGCCCTGCCTTGCCGGCTTGGTACCCTCTTACTATGGCCATGTCTGGTTATCATGCTTCACACCCTCCTTGCACGGTGTCATGCTTGACACCCTCCTTGCACGGTGTCATGCTTGACTGCCTTGACGAGACCCCCTTGGACGAAACCCCCTGGACGAATTCATGCATGACCCCCCTTGGACGGTTGGATCTCCATACTTAGCCGAATTTTGGCTTTCTTCACCACAATGGTCTAGGGACTCGCGTTGCGCTTCTTCCCTTGCCAACATGATTGATACCCAGTAGGTGGCTAGACCCCCTTGCGTCTCGTTATACTCGACTCACCTTGTATGGTATCATGCATGACCCCCTTGGACGATGTCATGCATGACCACCCTGGTGCAAGGTAGGTAGATGGCATAGTGCTTAACCCCCCTGGGATGATGTCATGTCTGACCCCCTTGTGCTATGGGTCTCAACACTTAGTCAAATTTTGGCTCTCTTTGCCACCACAGCTAGCTCACGCCTCGTCGTACTCGCCTCACCTTGGATGGTATCATGCTTGACCCCCCTTGGACGAGACCCCCTTGGACGATATCATGCATGACCCCCCTTGGACGAGGTCATGCATGACCCCCTTGTAGTTGGGTCTAAATACTTGGACGAGGTCATGCATGACCCCCTTGTGGTTGGGTCTAAATACTTAGTCAAATTTCATACCAAGGGGTGGAAGCATCGTCCGACTATGGGGTCACGAAGACGGGTTGGCCATCGTATAGAGGAGAAGGGGTTTGGCCACCTAGGCCCAAAAACCCAACCCAACAAGGCCCAGCTATCTCTTTTAATCATTAATGTTGAGCTGACCTTATAAATCCATTAATCCTCTTGTAATTAATCGATGTGGTACAAGCTGATTTTTTTATGGGTAAACACATTCATATTAATAATATTATTATTATAATACCCATATTTACATCCTTGGGCACATCTGTTGGTAGGTAATTATCATAAATGGTTACAAATCTATTCACGGAGAGAGAGGTGAATGATTAGCCTTTTTTTTGTGCGGTGAAATGAAAACGATTATGATTCTTTCTTTCATGGCAGAAAAATAAACAGTAGAGGCAGGCAGGCAGGTGGGGCTCATTCATAATAATAATAATAATAATAATAATAATAATAATACCCATATTTACATCGTTGGGCACATCTGTTGGTAGGTAATTATCATAAATGGTTACAAATCTAATCACTTTGTACAAAACGGTCACAATTCTTTAATTTTGCACATTTTGGTAAAACAAGTTTAAGCAAATAATAAAGTGGTCAATCCGTCCAATTCCGTCCAAAATTCTATTACCTGTTGCCCAGTCAGTATGACATGTCATAAAAATATTAATTAAAATATCAATTAATCACTCCACTTAGCAGAACCCAACCGGTAGTAAGTCTTTACCCACCCCTTCCTGAATTACCCACCCCCTTGGGCAATTTTTTTTTTAGCAAAGACAAACATAAATTCAATTTAATTCCCCCAGAAGCATATATTTAGGCCCAAGGAAATCAATTAGTCTTCCCTGATTCTGCCTCACCCGAATAAATTCTCAGCCCCAATCCGAGGCAGACGAACTTTACCATCATCGGTTCTCCCTTCTCTCTGTCTCTCCCCCATCTACGCCGGCCACCGGAGATATAAAAATCAAACCCGCTAGTTGCTGCTTCGAATTTGGATCTTGGTTTCCTTCTCGTCGCTACTAGCGCCACCAGACTTTGGAGTCATCGGAGTATCCGCAGCAGTCAGAAGGCCTTCGAACTCGTCTTCGTCCCATTCGGCGAAGCTGGCGTCGTAGTAGCGCCAGGGTCGACGAATCGAGTCTCGATTCGAAGGCATCTGAACCCGTAGTAGCAGAAGAAGGGGTTGAAACGGGTTAATTGGAATCTGGAGTTGAGGATGCGGGTGGGGAGTCATCGTCACCGTCAAGGGAAGATCGATTAGCTTGAAAGAAGAAGGGTGAAGGGAATAGCATTCTGTCGATTTGCAGCCACAAACTCGAGACGAGAAGGGTCGTTGGCTTTCTGCAATTCGGGAAGGGGTGGGTAAAGAGCTTGTTATGACCGGTTGGGTTGTCCCGGTTAAGTGGGGCGATTAATTGATTTTTTTATTAATATTTGTAATGACCTGTCATGCTGATTAGGAAATAGGTAACAAAATTTTGGACGGAATTGGATGGATTGACCACTTCGTTATTTGCTTAAACTTGTTTTACCAAAACGTGCAAAATTAAAGAATTGTAACCGTTTTGTACAAAGTGAATAGATTTATTACGATTAATGATAATTATCCTCTGTTGGTTTATGTCTCCATCCATCCAAACAAACACATTTATTTATTAGCTACATTCATCATTATTTTTTATTAACTTACAGTTCTTTCTATATATATAACTTGAGGCTTAATTGCAAGTTTGGTCACTCGAATTACTATAAAATTTCACGTTTGCCACTCAAATTAATTTATTTCATTTATAGTCACTCGAATTAGTTGAACATATCAAGTTTGGTCACTCTCCGTTAACTTTGACTGATGTGGCGGTCAACTCTGACAGTTGACCGTTAAATGTGTGACGTGGCAAATAAAAAATAATTAAAAAATAAAAATTAAATATTTAGAAATTACACATCATTATAAAAAAAAATTATAATTATAAAAAATGAAATTATCACAAAGGGGGGGAGGGGACAGGGAAAAAGTATTCCCTTTTGCACAAGACCACATAAACGAAGTCAATCTCTCTGCCTGCACAAAATTATGGAGGAAGGAGGAGGATCTGCTTCTGGACTAGGCGGCGCATCTAAACAGGTTGACGACAATGTCGGTGGTGATCTTCTGGCCGTGCTGAACGAGAACCCGGCGGCACCTCCCGTTGAAGGCGAGCAGCACCAGCACGATGATCCAAGTGACCATGACTGCCGTGCTGGCGACGACGACAACCAAGGAGGCGAAGATGAAGCCGACGGCGAGGACGAGGGAGCTGTGTACATTCGGGGAGTAGGCAGCAGCAGCAGCAGCGACGATCACGATGACAACGGAGACAACGAATACGATGATGGAGTAGAGCAGCACGAAGCTTGAAAGTAGACAAGCACAAAGTACTGAAAATTTTGAGTAGGCAAATAATCGAACGGTCGATAAATGAACTTTGCAACCGACTCTTATTATGAATAGCGCAATTGGTTGATTTTGTCGTTATTGAACATCCCAAAAAAACAGAGGCGGCGGCGACTTACCTGAGGTTCTTGCCGTACGTGAAGAAGAACTACGACTACGGAGTCGTCATCTTCCTCCTCACCTTCAATCTCATCACCGTCTCCAGCTTCCGAGTCAGCAACGTCATGAGGATCTCCCACGAGCGGTTCGTCACGATCGCGATCGGCTGCGGGATCTGCCTGTTCATGAGCTTGTTGGTCTTCCCAATTTGGTCGGGGCAGGATCTCCACAACTCCACCGTCAATAAGCTTCAAGGCCTTGCCAATTCCATCGAAGGATTCGCCAGCACTCTGTCATGACGATGTGCCATTTTTTTTGTGATAATTTCTTTTTTTTTCATTTTTAATAATTATAATTTTTTTATAATGATGTGTAATTTCTAAAAATTTAATTTTTATTTTTTAATTATTTTTTATTTGCCACGTCACATAGTTAACGGTCAACTGTCAGAGTTGACCGCCATGTCAGTCAAAGGTAACGGAGAGTGACAAAACTTGATCTGTTCAACTAATTCGAGTGACTATAAATGGAATAAATTAATTTGAGTGGCAAACGTGAAATTTTATAGCAATTTGAGTGACCAAACTTGCAATTAAGCCTATAACTTGAATTTGATTTGAGTTTGTTTTGTGTTTTGGGCCTATTTTGTTTGGGTTTGTGTTTGAACTTTGTTTTGACCTTTTCCTTGTATGTTTGGGAAAATGTGTTTGGTTTTCTGTTTGGGATTAGGAGAAGAGTTCTATAATTACTCTTCATCACCCTAGTCTGTAGTAGGGGTCAGTCATGTTAGTTTGTTTGGTTTGTCCGTTTGGAATTTGGTTTGTAACCTGTACTCTCCTCAAATTAGTGAAATTTGTTCTCCTTTGCCCGTGGATTAGCTAGCACACATTGTGTTAATGAACCACGTTAAATTTGTGTTTGTTCGCAGTGGCGGACCCAGGAATTTTTCGTAGGGGTGTCCTATTTTAAAAAATAAATTTATTAAAAATAAAAATATAATAATTAATAAAAATATAATTGTCTCTATATAAAAATAAATAATATAAAAATAAATTAGAAAATACCTTACTCGTACAGTGGTAAAAAAATTTGTCTCTATATAATCTAATAGACAATCATTCACGAACTTATCGCATATTCGATTTGTAAACATGTTCTTGATGTAAACCAAAGCTAAAAGAATCTTTCAACACTTGTCGTACAACCATAAAATCAATACAAATTAAGGGTAGATTGAAACTAGTTTAATTGCTATGTTTTAAAAATAATTAGAAATAGGGAATGACATTTTACTATGATACAATGTTTAAAATCAAACAACAAATGAGTTGTAGTTCAACAGAAATTAAGTTTGTTAATAATAATAGTGCTCTAGATTTGAATTACCCAACCTATCACTTATATTCTCATACACAAATTTAAAAAATGATATTAGAATAATCATTTTTTCAAATTTTAGGGGTGTCTCTCACTACCAATTATAAATTTTTTACCGATACGTAAATTACTACCGTGGGTTGAATAATCGTTTCCCCAAAATTTAGGGGTGTCCTGGGACACCCCTAAACCTCCGTGCGTCCGCCCCTGGTGTTGGTTTGGATTATCGATTCCACACTTCTGTTCTGACAATATATATATATATATATATAACCAATCCAAGACTGAAAAATGTTTTCTTATACATAGAGATAGAAGAGAAGACTATGGAGATTTTATTAATTTATATTTGGTATTACACCGTCCAGTCTTAATTTATCTGCAATAAAATTTAAACGGTCTGTCTACCGAATCAAACCAAGTCTCCTGTCTGTTCCATTCTGCGAGGCATCAAAATGCATGCGCCACTTTGTTTGCGACACATGTTGCCATTGTACAAAAGCATTCCATCTTATTAGTTATATAGTCTCCTTTTCTGTCATAAATTAATCGAGCCAGCTGAAAAACAATCCCCGCAGCCGCAGGGACGACTTTTGGGTGCACCTGCCGCCACGCCTTCTCCAAAGCATATACTATGCAAAGCCTGCAGATGGATGATGTTTACAGTCTTCAAGGAAATTAAGGCTCCACAATCTCCTCCTCCGCCATTAATAAACTTGGGCATGCATTCCTTTCCTTCCTAGTTCCTATCAAACCACAGCGAGCAAACCACTACTCCATTCCTCTCTAGCTACTTCTTCCGTCGACAAAAGGTTTACTTAAGGCAAGGGTAAAAGCTCTATTAATTAACACTCTTAGCCGAAGAACCATACTTATTTATTTATTTATTTATTGTGTCTAAAGAACCAATACATAGTTTTTGTTTGTCTGCAACCAAGACAGCTACTAGCTAATTAGTTCCACATAACTATACCCTGTTTCTGTAATTCGAAGAAACCCAGCAACTGTGGCGGACGTCGGCGATGAACCCGACCGGTGACCCACTATTATTCCTCGGATCGTGAGACAAAACTGTTAAAACAGGGGAGCCTCTGTTTTCAGTGATGCCGGACACGGAGGAATTAGCTTCGGCGACTAGGTAAATCGATTGCCCACTATTCAACATCGGATCAAAGAATTAGAATTGACCGGGGAAGGAATTTTCTTCAAATCTCCCTCACTCCGAGAGGCAACAAGCGAAATAGCAGATACTCCGGAAATTTATGGCTGGGGAAGGAAGCCAAGGCAGGGGAGCTCCGGCGGCTGTCTGGGAGGAAGAAGAAAATCTCTTAACCGGCAACCAAAACCACGACCAGCCTCCGCCAACTGCAGCAGGAGGAAGAGGAGCCCGCCAGAGGCTAAACGGCGCGAGAACGGGCCACGGAGCAGCGGAAACTAGCGCGAAAAATGGGAAATACGGGTGCCCGAAACGGCGAAACGCAATACGTTTCGGGTCCTCAAAACCAAATTCGAAACGCGATAAATTGACGAGAAAGTGAAATTGACGATTTACGATATATGGCGATATTTCGTGATATTTTGATGATATATTGACTTTCTACGATATATTGACCCGGTGCCGACGACCTGGACCATCTCTGCCTGAAACTGAAACAGAGGGCGGGAAACAGCCGGAAAAACACAAGAAAACAAGCAGACCTCACTGCTGCTGGCTGAGGAAAGGCAAATGAAGAGGAATCGAGCAAAGGGTAGAGTCGATTAGAGAAAACTTAGTGAGAGAAAGGTAACTGATTTCCGTCTCCCTACGAACGCAACTCAATCAAACATTCAGTAGCTAGCCTCTGTTTTCTCTTCCGACGACGGCGACAGAGTGGGAATTTAGTTCCGGCACAACGAGTACAGAATAGTTACCCACTAAGCATTATTATCAGATTGCGAATAGTATGCTTTTGGCCGACGAGATATAGCTCTTACTTAATTAGCTTGGCATCACAGTCACAGGAAGATGTTCATTGTTAAGAGATTGAAGCTCTGTGGAGCCTGCTTGAGTTGTGGGAACACACACACTCTGTTACAGCTTTAAGTCGGTATGCAGACAAGAACTATCTTTGAATCGAGAGCCCTTTTCTATAGCTTCTATGCATGTCAAGAAACTACAGCAACAACCCAGCAGCAGCAGCTACCTGTTGATATGTCAAAGGCTGAAGCAACTAATTGATTAGACTCAGGGGAAACAAACCAGTCAACAAAATAACCGGCTTAACCCAAGGAGGGAAACCGAACCATAATTTTTCTTTCTCAACAAGACTGTTTACAATCAAAGCTCAGGGGGAACAAACAACCAACCAAAACAACAATATTCTCCAGGCCCTTGGTAAAAAAGCGAACTCCAAGCTAATAATTTCAGCTAAGAATCAAATTCAAACAAACAAACAAACAAAAAAACATCATCATCACCATTATGATGTTTTTGCTTTTCCCCTTTCTCCATGGACTCTCTCAAGAGAAACAGTTCTTTCTTCTCACACTTCCAAAAAACCCCACATTGGGTAGACCCGACTTACTACTACACAAACCATATACATTTCTTTTTTTTTAGGGCACAGAGATGGGAACTGGTGACCTTTTCTTCCTCTTTGGCCTACCTCTTTAAGGAACGAAACCGATGTCCTTGAAGTACTCATGTTCTATGGCAGTCCTGGCTGTAATTCTCTTGACAGGATCCAAGCACAGCATTTTCTGTATCCACAACAACGAAACAACCAATATGATAATCATCAACAACTCAAATTACACATGTTACTGCCAATCCCTGGGGTTTCATAGCACGAGAGAGCGAGATGGAACTTTAACTTACACGTAAAAGGTCAAGACCAGCTGAATCGAGAGTCGGAACCACATTAGCCAAGTCCTGGAAAGAAAATCATTTGTTTGCCAACTTTAGGAAACATTTTGGAGTTTGTAAACTTGGATAGGTATCAGTAAGAAGGAAGCAAGGAAACCTTTGAAGGCCACTTGGGGAAGGTAGACTTGAAGTCAGGCAAAGATGTTACTCCCGGCCAGGTGTCTTCATTTGGTGTGCCCATGATTCTGTAGATAAGGGGAAATATGAGTGTAAGCATTCAGTGTCTTTGAGCGGACAAATGGTGGAGCATCACGTCAGATGTCTACAGAAGAATTGTTGATGGAGAAAATGTACATTAAGCAGTAGCTACCACAATGTAATCACATATAGCCAACCAAAATGACAATTTAACTTAAACAAGGGTCATGCTTAAGGAGTGCATCATTGGTGTCAAATGCCAATGCAAAAATTAGTTAAAGGGAGCATTACTGATGGCTACAACTAAATGAGGCAGCGAAAAACAAACCAGCATAACTTATTAATGCTACGTATCGAAGATTCTTAAGCAAATAGAAACAAGAGAAATGCATACGATGAGGGCTAACCGCTAAGAGAACAAACTGGAAATTGGGAAGGCACTTGACCTGAAAATCTTAAATAGCTCATCAATCTCAGAGTCCCCAGGGAACAATGGGCGCTGGTTCACCATTTCAGCAAATATACATCCAACAGACCAAACATCGACTGGTGTAGAGTAGTGTCGAGATCCAAGAAGGATCTCAGGGGCTCTGTACCAAAGAGTCACCACCTATTTTCAGAAAGGTGGAATCAATCAGACAACAAGAAGATAAACTGCCAATCAAAGCAGGAAAATAAAACTTTTAGCCACACATCACTGCTAGCAATAGGGCACTCCTATTTCCTATTACTAGGTATTGTTGCTTACATGAATGGAGATTTGTTATTAAAATGGGCACGCTAGGAAATCTAACACACATTCATAATCAGCAGATATTGCCTTGTCCTTTCAAGACACCATCACCGAACCATTAAGTGAAGCTTAATACCTTACATAACCAGGTAATGAGAACGTGGATATCGTACCACAAGGTACAGGAGATACTATAATGAACAATTGCAACTGCTCAGGTTCCAGACATAGCTACCACAAGCAAACCTAGTTCATCAGTACCTCATGGGTAAATGTCCTGACAGGGATACCGAAAGCTCTGGCCAGGCCAAAATCTGCAAGTTTCAGCGCATTGGTACGACGATCAATAAGCAAATTCTGTGGCTTCAAATCTCGATGAAGAACCCTGAGAGAATGGCAATAAGCAATGCCACGGAGGATTTGATACAGGAATGTCTGCAAATAGAAAAGAATGATACATGTTTAACATTATGTAGCAGGATGAGAGGACATCCACAATCCATGCCATTATTCTCTGTTATCACTAGATTGGAAAAGTGCGTAGGAAAAACAAAATCAAATAAGTGTCCAAGAGCTTTAACCCCCCACCCCACTAACACAAAAGAAATGTCAATTGTTGGGGAGTAGAAGGAAGACAAAGTTCCAATCACTTGCGTGCTATAACATTTGCAAGTGCATAGTTGGAAAAGAGAGGAGAAACAGTAGCAAACCCTGTCTCTAAGAATTGGTCACTAACTTTGACTATGTTCGGGTCCTTAGCGAATTCAGGAGAAGAGTCCATGTGCTTCTTCAAATCTAGGTCCAGGTACTCAAATACCAAATACAAACGCTTCTCACTATGCACTACATCCTGCAACCTGTAGGTCAAACAAACCACAAATCAGCAGGAGAAAGGACAAAAACACAGACCGCGATTGGGAAGGAAAGGAAGTTAGCATAAAAAACAAGGTAGGATGAGTATGCTTCAGTTACAACATCCAGTTATTTTCCCAGAGACACAATGCTGTGCATATGAACGTGCAATTTGAATACAGACACATGCATTGCAAGCTTCCATGGTATGCAAAACTTAATTCCACATAATCTCCAAAAACAGCAACCCAAAACATGCACCCTTGCCCCAATCAGTTCATTCAACATAACCCACTCCGCATACAAAACTCGATCGAACTAAGCACACACACCTAACAATGTTACCGTGCTGCATTTCTTTCAGAAGAGAAATCTCTCTAATGGCAGTGCTGGGGACTCCCTCATCTTCCTGCTCGAGGCGGATCTTCTTCAAAGCTATAGTCTCATTGGTGAATCGATCACGAGCCTTGTATACCACTCCATAAGTCCCCTCCCCAATCTTCTCCACTTTCTCGTACTGGCCACATCACAACCAAATTACAATTAACTCCGATCCAAACAGGAACAAAAATAAAAGTCATCCAGCAAAATGCTTGACGAAGTAGTACCTGCTCCATTCAATCCAGTTCAGCAATCCCTCCCTGTAACCAAAGCGAAGCAAAGATAAACTAAAAGCAATCAGATCTCCATCAAAACCGCAATCTGAAGCAAACCGAAAGAGAAACGCCCAAATCAAATCAATCATAAGAAAAAAGTGCAAGATTAATAGCGAGGCAAATGCTGGAACGCCAACACCGGCTGCACATCAACGGGACCCGAAAATTCGAAGAACAATCAAGGAAATGGAAGATAGACAGCGAATCACGACCATCAAAACGAAAGCAGAGCAGTTACAGGCCCATTTTTCCAGGAAAATACACACACATAACATAAAGCGTAGCAAAACGAGAAAATACAAATGGAGTTGGACGGATGGCGCAGTTACCAACTCGCCGGGGCTCGTTAACCCGGCGGAGGAGTGCAGGGTGATAGAAGAATCGGAGTCCGATGGCGGCAGATGCAAGCGGAGCAAATTCCCTCCCAGTGAAGTAAAAGTGAGGAGATTTCTGCTTGACTTGAGGAGAAACAAAAGAGCAAAAACGAAAGAGAGAGCCTCACCAAATAATTAATACTACCGTGACCGTGAGGTTTAGTTTTTACTTTTCGGAATTAATACTTTTTTTTTTCAAATTTGATCTTTTCGGGGAAAAAGAGTAATTAATTAGTTAACGATATATAATATGGCAATCATCATGTATAAGAAATAAATTAAGCGCTAATGGCGAAATGTTTTCCAATCTCCATTGGCGCCATTTCTCTACCGTGTTTCTTTAACAATGAGAATGAAGTTTGAAGGGGTGACTTTCTTTATGCACCAGATCAAGGTTGTCAACCCGTGGGTTGACCCACTTTGACCCTGACCCGATGAGAAAAATGGGCCGCATGTACTTGTTGGGTTGACCGCTATAAGGTACCGAGTTGGAGGTCAATTTGTGCAATTTTTTCTTTGTTTTGCGAAATGCGCCTATTTTCCGATTTTTCTTTTCGCCTAACTCAATCTTTGGAATCCTAAGTTGAACATTTGAATATTAATGTTATATAAGTGTGTGTGAATTTTCACTATATGTTGAATCTAAGTACAAAATGTTATTTTGGTGTAATATTATATGTTATAACTCATATGTTAGATGCGATTTGATATAATTTATCAGGATAAGTACAATATAATGACGCTTTCCATATTTCCGGACTAAAATGGGTGACCCATTAACTCTTGACCCACTAGCTCAACCGAATCAGGGTCAACCCCCGGTGACAACCTTGCACCAGACAGACTTACGTTGATGTCTCAAGAATGGTTGGTTGGTTGCATAGTTTTTTTTTTTTTTTTTTAAGGGTCAAGTCAAAAGGAGAAAAGGGGGGAGAGAGTGGGATGTGAGCTATAGATAAAAAAAGTCATTGGAGTGGGTTAGATTTTTGCTTTGTATGTTTGCGAGCAGTGGTAGTAGATAGAATAGAATACTCAAAACAGTCAAAAAGCAAATGGGCAAACTTTAATAGAGGAATTGTGAATTGTTGTGATGGGGATTGGAGAGTGAAATGGTCCAGTTGAGTTGAGGCAGGCTAAGGCGCTCAAGTCGTGTGCTCTTTTCCACCTCTTCCTCTTTTGGGACCATTCCATCGAATTGGGCCTGCCCCAACTGTATTCTGAAATAAACCAAAGGACCAGATGGGTCATCTAGCATGAACTGCTGATTGATTGCAAACAAGTTAGGCACAAAATACCTATAACACCTACAAATTTCACGCACTTTGTGCATAGGAAAATAAACAATTCGTTGCCAATTTTTACTTATACTTGAAACTTAAGAATGCATATGGATCAACGTGTATTTTTTAAGAAATTACTTTGAATGGAACTTCTTGTTTAAAAAAAAATTAAATTAAGATTCTTAATCTCTTAGTTCTTTCTCTAACATACTAGTATATTTCATTTGTTTTTAGCATTGCTCATTTCATTAGTTCTCGAGCTAATATATATTAAGATTGTTGGGCGACTCATCGAAATCATTATTATCAATCAATACTCCATCTTCCTGTCACTCGCTAACAACCAATATAAAATGATGAAATTTAACATCGGTCTAAACTTTGTTCATAAAGAAGAAACGATGAAAGAGTCTTGAAAGATATTTTTTTATAGAGGGAAAAAAAATTACACAATAGTGGTAAAAAACAAAAGAAAAGAAAGATAAAAAACCAAATTGTGTGAATTAGTAATTTGTTTAGCTTTTTAGTTAGAGTAGATAATGAATTGAATTTCGACAAAAAAGTAGGCAACGACAAGTACTTATTGATAACCACAACAATCCTTTTGAGATCTTTCTTGATTTTGGTCAATCTCTAAACTCAACTCCTACTCGTTTGTTTTGCTATTTTGGTCAAAATGAACTAGAAATATTGTCATGCTTGCATAACATGTATTCTGACCATATATAAACTCGAATGAAAGCATGAGCAATTGTTGAGTTAGACTGGATCGTAAACGAAACTTTGCAGTTGCTACCGAAATAGGTAGCTCTTCCACCTCTTTCCATCTACCATATTCACGTTTATCACTGAGTCACCTCCCGCTGGACGGAAGAGAAACTCCCACACCATTTTCAAATGAAACCCTCCGTTTCAGAGATAGAATGATTGATTATGGGCTTGTCCAAGTCCGAAGTGTACACAAAAGTAATCATGCTCTTGTTCAGGCCGGAGATCTTTCTCTCCAAAGAGCAAACGATTTCGACTACCAACAAGTGGTTTTCAGCTTGTTCAAGTTTGAGGAGGGTGATAGATGTCTGTACATTTATCATGATTTCAATTGTGATTTAGACCAATATATGAAGATGTTGGTATCGAATGGCCAACCCCTTGCTAAAGAGAAGTTATATATATATTCACCGATGAGTCCTTCCAAAACGATCTCGAAGAAGGACAAAATGTGTATTTCTTCTTTTCTATTATACCAGTATGTTTCATTTATTTTTAGTATTGTTCAATCTCGAGCTAATATATATTAAGATTTTTGGATGAATCACCGAAACTATTATTATCAATCGATACTTCATCTTTCATATCACTCGCTAACAACCAAAATAAAAAGATGAAATTTAACATCGGTCTAAGTTTTGTTCATGAAGAATAAACAATGAAAGAGCCTTGAAAGAGATTTTTTATAGAGGAAGAAAATATACAATACGGGTAAAAGAAACAAAAGATAAAAAACCAAAAAGAAAGTTTGAGAATCAAGAAAGCTTTTTATAGACGAATTCTAGACTAGTACTCTTGAATGCATATTTTATCTCTCCTCTCATCTTTTAGTTGTAGTTTCATTTCTTTTTGTAGGTCATTGGATGATAATATATACATATAGTTTCTTGATCATGTTTATAAGAACTATATAAAGGCAATTTGGATTTCACACCGTGCTCACTATAACAATTTGCAACTATAAAATCCGTCATAGTAATTAATTTTTTGTATCATAATTGTAGGGACGACTTATGGAATACGTGGTTCTAATTCTGAGTGGATGACGGGAGGGGCAATGCTTTCTACATCAATCAGCAATGGTGGCACAAGTCGGAAAACTCTTAGCTCCAATCTTGGTTGGACGCAAAAGTTTCAACCAACCACATGTCATTTTTTATTGGTGATTTCATCATTTTTTTATATATTTTTATTCTTGATTTATTTAGCATAATTAAATATTAAGAAAAAAGGAAGGTGAATCCACCAATAACAAACTGACACGTTGGATGGTTGGAGCTTCTAATTTGCTGCAGAAGTCTATTTAATTTGTGGCTATTCACATATGCAATTAATCCTTGTTAATGCTCTAAACCTTGGGTTGTATCTTCCCAAGTATTAACCCAAAACAAAATGACAGTACGTCTAGTTGGAGACGTGGAAGGGAAGGATCATGAGAAGTACAAAGTAGAAACTAATACATGATGATCATGATCAATACAGCACTCTGAACTAACCCAGTAATTAACTTGTGAATATTCCAAGAAAGAGCAGCTGCTGATCCCGACGAACTACCAGTTCCGCCGGCGCCGTTGCCACCATTAATAACGCCTGGCCTAGTTCCGCCACCACTTCCCCCTCTGCTCCCGCCGCTACTGCTTCCCCCTCTGCCGCCACCACCTCCTCCTCCTCCGCCGCCGCGTTGAGCTGCCGCTGATATCACCATCACGGCCAGGACGATGGTGATGATGAGTCGAAGAATGACAAGCTGCTGCTTCTTACGCTTCATCACTAAATTATTCATACTTTGTGCAATGATGATGGCCAATTTAATTAAGAGCTTTCTCTGAGACGGAAAAGCTTGAACAATGTACTTCTATACGTTTGAAGAGCTATGTAGATGTAGATCCATCGAGATATAAGAGAGAAGAAAAAAGTCAAAGGCGAGTTTTTCTTTTGCAACTAAGTATTACTAAGACGTGTTTAATTATGTGTGGCTCTGGATAACATTTTTAATTAGGGGGATTACTCCTTGATTAGCCAGGAAATTTAGTAAGTAATTTCTGACGTAATTCATGTGGGACGTGTTTGGTCTGGAGAGTTAACTAAGACGTGCTTCTCATTTTCCCATAATCGTCGAACTCTCATTCTTTATTTCTTTCCCCCGCCCCACCCACCCAGCTACGTCATTTTAAAAAATAAAATAAAATATTATGGTAAATAGTATACGGCATTCATAATTGGGTGCCATATATAAAGGATGATATTTACCTGCAACCCAGTTTGCAGGCTCCGCCTACAATCTATATAGGTGGAGGTACACTATTGGTTGAATTCTTTTCTTTTTTTGTTTGCAATTAAATGTTAACGGAAGCATATTTCTTTTTTGTTTGCAAGTAATATCTTAATCACCATCAACAGAATGCGGTAAGATCACTTTTAAAAAAAATATTATCGAATTAAGTGGACTTTGATCTCGACTACTTGGGTACGTACGTAGATAACCAATTGGTTCAAGTCCGACTAACAAATATTCTCAACAATTTTAACATGTAAGCGTTAACACTTCAAATCACAACTTTTTTAAATCGAACTACGTGGACTTTAATCCCTACTACTCGGGTACGTAGGCAACCAATAGATTCGAGTTCAACTAATAAAAAACATAATTAATTAAATTATATAATTAAATACGTAAATAAGACATAAATTATTATGCACACTACATTAAAAAACTTATCAACTTAAGTAGTACTATTTTTTGGGCGTTGTGGGGTGTGAATACACTTTCCCACACGTAATCGTACTCCCGAACCTAGAATCTTCAATTTTGCATACCACATCTCGATTTTGATCCCAAGTCTAGACCGAACAGAAATGTGTTGATCCACAACAATTAAGATCGATTGCGACTCCGAACAATTGACGATCGAATTCCCGATTTCAAGTAGCGGTTGCCACACCACCCATAAAATTTGATTATCTCAAATACTATGAATGGATAGGGTTGAATTGAACCATGTCAAAAAGAAATAACCATAAGAAAAGAAGGGAGAAAAAGAGGAGCGTAGAGAGAGAATTCTGCTGTGAAATGGTAGCCGCTTCCATTAACCATTTAACTGCAAATTAAAAATAGATGAAATAAAATAAACCCAACCAATAGTATGCCTCCACCTGTAGAGGTTGTAGGAGGAGCCTGCAAACTTGGTTGCAGGTAAATATCATCCATATATAAATTCCTTCATTTTATTTAATAATTATGACCATTAAGTAAGGCTGACACAATAACGACGACCATTAAGTAATGCAACATCGATGGAGGTGTGAGTTTAGAGATGCGAAGAAGGTAGGGGTGAGGAGTTACGTTCATAGATCATTAGTGACGGCGGCCACGATCACTGGCCGGGCTGGGAGTAGGGATGGCAAAAATATTCGTAACCGTGGATATCCACCCGAATCCGACCTAATCGGGTAGGGTAAAACCAGAACCCGAATATTGCGGGTAATGGGTGGGCATGGTTATCTCACTATCCAACCCGAACCCGCCCGATTATACACATGCATATGTATTTTGTCTAGAAATAATCATTATGTTTCTTTAGAATATTTTATATTTAGCATATAAATATAATATTTTCATGAAATTATATTGTTTAATTAATTTTCGTCATTCTAGTGAATTATTGTCGTACTTTTCCTCTTACGTAATGTGAGTATACGTGTGAATGTTAACATATTGGTTGGAATTATAAGGAGAAATTATTACCCATGGATAACCGTGGATACCCGAAACCCGAACGGGTATGAGCATGGTTTTGATTTTCTACCCGTTTCTCGTGTGGGTACGGGTATGGGTAAAACCCGAACTACATTGGGTAGGGTAACGGATATGCACTATCGGCCCCCGACCCGACCCATTGCCATCCCTAGCTGGGAGACCCACTTTCGTTGCCAGCATCGTTGTTGTGCAGGACGAGTGGGAGCCCCACCTCCGGCGGTGTGGCCGGCAGCTTCGCCATTTTGCACACCGCTAGCAGTAAAATATTTGTATGAACGCGGAAACGAAAAACAATGAACAAGACACAGTGTTTACGTAGTTCTTCTCATTCGATGTGAATGAGTTTACTTCACGGAGAAGTTTTGCTATCTCAGCTTATTATTCTCATACGTAACCATATACAAGTACATGTATATAAACCGAAAAACCCTAATCACTAGCTAGCAGCTAGGGTTCGGCCATCGCATGGGAAAAAGACCCATTTGTCCCTTAAGGAACGTATGGAATTTTATTTTACAGGAATCCTATAAGTAGGACCAGGATCCGCACTTTGGTCGCCGGTATCGCTGCCTGCAGGGTAGTACTCGCTACGTACGGTGATTAGCATGCATGAGATCAGGAGCATTAATTTGGCTGCATTCTTTCTGGGGTTGTAGTGGTTAGATAAATAAAAAAAATCCCCAAACAACAAGAAAGAAAGTGCTGCTCTAGCTCTACTAATTAACAGCGAGACCCTAAGACGCGACCAATATATAAAGGGCAGCAGGGGAAGAGATTGAGATCGAGACCCAAGGAAGGCTGCCTGGTGCCTGCGGCCTGCCTCTATAGTATAGGATATATCCTTCCGTCCTTCCTTGTTGTGCTGGCGTACGAAACGATGGGCCGAGGTCGCAAGAAGAAGCGGGCGTACTAAACTTGCGAGTGAGCGAAACCCTAAGACGACCATATATAATTGGGAAGAGCTTCGGAAATAGGGTTATCGAGATCGAGATCCAGATCCAGATTCAAGGCTTTCCTATACTTTGTTGTGCCGACGATGGGCCGAGGTCGCAAGAACAAGAAGGCGGACAGGAAGAAGTTGCCGGCGGTCGCGCTGGGGGATGATGATGATCAGGATTGTTTCCCCGAAAAAAAAATTGATGATCAGAATTGGAGAGGTAAGAACTTTTACCTGAGGTGTTTGCGTACTACTCGGATTTGGGGAATTGAGGCTTTCAAGCTTATCGATGGAAACCAGTTGGGCGGAAAAGTGGCCGATAGGTTTGGTGAGTTTGAATATCTATTGCCAACTGTTGTCTGTGATTGGGATTACTTCAAACAAAAGCTCCCACTAGAAATGGGGGTCTTCACGTTTGATGGTAAAGCATACATGGTCGGCGGAGAAACTACTGGGGACTTACGTCCGGAATTCCTTTCTCGAAATATGCATCCTTGGGAGAAATGGGTTGAACCAAGTGACAAAGTCTATGAATTTCTTAATCCTCCGGATTTTACCCTCCACGAGCTCCCAGCTTATCTTCGTTTGCCCAGCCCTATGCGGTCTCCGATAGTTGCAAAGATTGATGGCAGCGTATATGTCCTCTATGGAGATCATTGCTATAATAAGGCTGCAATGCCGAGTGACTCCACCCACTGCTTTGTGGTTTTGGAAAAGGATGATGGCAGACCTATCGATCAGTGCCGTTGGAGGCCACTTCCCACTCCTCCCTTCTACCAGAAAGGCACCCCTGACTATTCTAGATGCAGTGGTTGCTACAAGTTCAAGCTGGGTGTCATTGGCCACAAGCTTTATGTATCTGCAGGCACTCGTGGATATGCCTTTGATGCTCTTACTGGAGAGTGGGAATTGATGGAATTTGGGTATCCACTAGGCTCTGAATCCTTGTCGTCAATGTTGAAACTCAATGTGGGTTGTGGCCAAAAGGATTGTTTTGTCGTCGTGGGTGCTGAGTGCTTCCCAGGCATTGGTGCCTTTGTTGCATTGGTTGATTGCAAGACAGGCTATCAATTGCACAAGCAGCTACTTCCTGAAGCATACGATGTGCGTCTTCCGGTCTCTGCTTTCCAAGTGATTGAACTACAAGAGGAGGAGCATGATGATGACCGCCAATTGAGTAGCACATTCTGTTTTGTTTACACCACAGGAAATCATCTTGTAGGGCTTACAGTTTTGAGATTCTCTTTGCCAGCAGCATCAGCATCATCTCTACCTCTTACAGTGGCGACCAAGGCATCTAAGAAGGCATCTAAACAGAAGGTTGCAACATCATCAATGAATGGGAAAACTGCTGATGGTGGTATTCACTTGAATGTTGAAGTTCTGGAAAAGTGCCTCTATATAGATTCAGATCCTAGTTTCTACCCTGCCGATTTTCATGCCTTCTTCCTCTAGCTAGGTAACTCTTTTTGCCCGTCAAACTCCCCCAGCTTTCTTCTGATTGATTGTTGTATTTGATTTATTGTCGTTTCTTTGTTTAATTTGGATGAATCTTCTATATGTTCCTATCAAGCGCAGTTTGCTTTTACAAGTGGTATTGTTTTAATGAGATCGAGTTGAACTCGGAAGTTTCAGTCCGATTTTATATCCGACTTACTAAGCACTCAAAGACAAATATTTGTTTTTGCATAGAGGACACAATATGTATGGGATTCCTTGTGATGGATGAGCAGTTTGTCATGGATAATGGATTGAATGTCCGAGTCAAGAATGTGGTTAATTACTTGTGAAAGGTGAATTTGCAAATTCGAGTTCGGTCTAATATTTTATGTACTATAATACTGTTACCTATGCGACCTTACTGATCTCTTTGGCTCATCAATAAAGGTGTCCCACCAACTTCTTTCATATTCTGTTTCCTTCTAGTCCTGTTTTCTTCTGCTTTTCTTATGATGCTTTCAGTGTTTCAAGCTCATAGACAGAGTTCATTCCCTATAACTATTTGCTTAATCTTGGTATTTGTCTTCTGTGCTAACCAACATTGTCGCCTCTACATCCTTCTCATCATTGTTTCAGCACTTCTTTCAGAATACATCATTGATACGACACCGGTCTCTGAAGAATTCATGCTTAATTTGAATAGACACCAAACTGAGTGGGAAGGCTGGATCGAAACAGCTCCTATGTATACTATTTATTTTCACTTAAGAGATCTTAAGTTTTGTTGGGTAACAATTTGTCTCCCTATGATGATAGGTGCTGCTGCTGCAACGGAAATTTATCTCAAGCTCCAGTGGTGGAGGAGACATCTATGATCTAACAGGAGGAGGGAGGGAACCTAGCTTCTACCCTGCCGATTTTCATGCTTTCTTCCTTTAGGTTGACGTTGGTTGTTGAACTTGCTTTATTGTTATTTCTCTGGCAAATTTGGATGAATGTACTATCTGCACTTAAGTAACCTAATTCGCCTATCCACCCTCCACTATCCCGCTCTAGATCGCTAAAACGCGATTTTTGGGGAGTTCGTGAAAAATTCGCGAACTGCTTTTTGAGAGTGCGTTTTCAGAATTTGGGAGCGCGATCTCCCGTGGAACACAGATTGAGACAAGAATCTGGAGAAAAAGAGTTTTATAAATACTCTTCATCACCCTAGTCTGTAGTAGGGTCAGTCAGGTTAGTTTGTTTGGTTTGTTCGTTTGGAATTTGGTTTGTAACCTATACTCTCCTCAAATTAGTGAAATTTGTCCCCCTGCCTGTGGATTAGCTAGTGAACCACGTTAAATTTGTGTTCGTTCGTGTTGGTTTGGATTATCGATTGCACGCTTCTGTTCTGACAGAGATCGAGATCCAGATTCAAGGCTTTCCTATACTTTGTTGTGTCGACGATGGGCCGAGGTTGCAAGAACAAGAAGGCGGACAAGAAGAAGTTGCCGGTCGCGCTGGGGATGATGATGATCAGGATTGTTTCCCCAAAAAAAAAATTGATGATCAGAATTGGAGAGGTAAGAACTTTTACCTGAGGTGTTTGGGTACTAGTCGGATACCCTCCATGATCTCCCTGATGATGTCCTTCGTTTGCCTAGCCCTATGCGGTCTCCGATAGTTGCAAAGATCAATGGCAGCGTTGGAGATTATCGGGGTCATGAGAGGCCGGCAATTCCGAGTGCCTCCAACCACTGCTTTGCTATTTTGGACCTAAAGGATGTTGATGGCAGCAGCAGAAGTATCGATCAGTGGCACCACAGGAGGCCACTTCCTACACCTCCCTTCTACCAGAAAGGCACCCTTGACTACTCTAGTTGCTTGGGTAGGTACAAGTTCAAGCTTGGTGTCATTGGCCACAAGCTTTATGTGTTTGCAAGCAGCGCACACAATTATATATGCCTTTGATGCTGACACTGGAGAGTGGGAATCGGGCGGGTTTGGGTATCAAGTAGGCACTGAAACCCTGTCGTCAATGTTGAAACTCAATGTCCAGATGGGTTGTCACTTGTCACCGGCAACACGAGTGTTTTGTTGTCGTGGATGCTGAGATCTTTCTATCTGACTAGCACAGAGGTCGGCCTGTTGGCCGGCAAGTTGTTGTTATTGTAGTACTTTTTATTTTTTCTTAGTTTTATGAAAGTTTTTAGCAGCATAGAGTTAGTGGGATTAATTGACAACTATTTCCAATCACTGACAACTGGCAAAAAGAAGTCGAGGATACATAATTTCTAAATAAATTGCAGCTCTTGAGCTTGCTCGGTTGTTCAGTGGTAGTAGTTTGGATTATTGATGTAGGAAAACAGACAAAGCAATACAGGGGATGCAATACAAAATAGATAGGGCAACGCCTGCAAGATAAAAGCCTTTTATCCAACCTTTTAGAGGATTAATATCCTTTAATCATCATACGCTGAAATCACTTGCTTCTTGCCTTCATATTAGGTTGTGTAGTTGCAATAAATTTGCAACTTCACCTATGTCACCTTGTTGTGATACATGAGAAGCTATCTCTGATATCTCAATGCCACAACGAATATATTGGGAGGAGCTGTCTTTTGTAGAGGGGGAGTCATTTCCTGAGACAGATAAGGCAAAAAGAATCAACAACAACATAGGTCAAAGGCAAAGACATAGAAGCATCGAAATTGTAGTATCGTGACAGATCCAACAAACCTCCATCATTCCCTAGCACGGGGACCGGCCCATTGGTCGGGAGAGGTTAGACCGAGAACATGGTATATAATAATGCATATGTTAGATGCTCATATATGCATGTAACGTTTGTGTATGCATAATAAGAAAAGGAGAATATGATCTAAGAATAATTATTCGATGAAACAGAATACAAATAATTAATTGTCTTTCAATACTTAAATAGACTATACAATTGAATATTAGAGGTGCTTCTTATAATAAATATGTAGTCGCAAATATGATCGGCAACAATGTAATAATTTCCATGCAACAAATACTTTTTTGATGAAATAAAAAAAATTATGAATATAATATTGCATTGAAGGTAGGTCTATGCGACGAATGAAGATTTGCAAACCTCTTATTAAGGAAGAAGGGGATAATCGAAATGAAGTTAACCGGTTAGGTCTACAATTGAAGAAATGTTAGTATTTTGTTTGGCAATTTTGTATGAGTCCTCGTTAATAGTGTTTTTCATTTCGCACAGTCTGACATAAGCAATGCCATATATCAAAGTTATATACATATGGTTTAGGCTAGCATACGCCTTACCGTATGATTATCGAGTTTTGTTATTTAGACCATTATTTAACTGGAATTTGAGACATGATACTATGACCTAACATCTAATGGGTGAATCCAAGTCCCCAATTTTTCTAACCCAAAACATAAGATTCATTCTATCTTAAAATGAAAATCAACGATTCTGATTCGCCGAAATCACCAAAGTACAATAATAAGTGTGAACGCAAGCGTATAGCATATGTCAGACATACGCTAGCTTCTGTCATATATATACACACAGACACATACACACACTACCAATTTAGTAAAGGGAGCGACGATAAAGGATGATTCAAGTTGAATTATATTTAGATGTTAGCGATGCATCAAAGTAATACTTTCCTAGGAATGATAAAGCAATTTAGTAATAGGATTATGCTAATTGTAAGTGGGAATGGGAATATAATTGTGCAATAGTAAACAAACTTTCAGAAATTACATGCCTCTTGTTTGTTCCACATATACTGAAATAGGTACACAAACCACAATTGATTGAGGTTCATTGTGTATTACAACTTTAAATTCATAAATTAAGGAGTATTTTAGTACCATAACGATCAAATGTCTCCTAATGTGTAGAAAGTGAATTGGACATAACATCTAAAACATTAAAGAAGACTTCAAATGACATTAGTAGTGAAAAACTAACTCTAATAGTTTTAGGTGTACATTTTTTGCCATTTCATGGAAAGTTGCCTAAATGAGTATCTGGAAGTGCAAGAAGATAGATCTGATCAAGAACCCAACAATCTAGTGCAGGGAGCCATCCGAGTGGGCGGATTTCAAAATAACTGTCGACGATACATGTCTGTCGGGTCGGGGAACATGCTTTGGCGTGGTGATCATGGAAAGAAGTAGAAGATTCCGAGCCACGACGGTCAGGAGAACACACTGGCAATGGGAACCCCCTGTCCTGTGGCAGAGGCTTTCGCATTGTAGGTCGGTATGGAAATGGTTGAACGACTTTAGATCTAGTCGGTAGAGATACATACGGACTGCCAGGTGGTGGCAAGGCGCATCACAGGCCGAACGACCTCAACGATGGAATTGGGCCAAATCTGCAAAGAAATTAAGGACTCGGCCCATTCTTTTGGTTGGATTGGCTAGAGTTATGTGGGACGAAGTGCAAATAAATCTGCTCACTGTGCGGCCCATAATAATTGTAATTGGGAGGAAGATGAGCATTGGGTGGATAGACCACCAATTTTCTTAGTCTTTCTTCTTAGAGATTAGGACCAAATGTTGATTTCACATCATTAAGAATATAATCAGAAGTACTATTAAAAGATTACATGACATGGTTTGTATTTAATTAATGAATTGAAAGAAGAAACGAAGGTCACATAAAGGTTAAAGGGACCTAGTTCCGAATATGAGCTCTAGTATGCTTTTGGTTACCACGTCAATTAGGATTTTTTTCTTCTGGTTGTTAGTATTCTAAAACACTATCTATCATCCAATTTAAAAATATATCATTAATTAGTTGTTTCTTCATTTTCTTTATCTAACTGCGATTACATATTCTGCATGCCCTCAATGCTCAAATTTCGTACTTACCCCTAATATTCATATGCCAAAGATAGGAATACCTTCCGGAGATGATGAACTATCGTCATGGTAAGAACAAATAAAATTCAAATTAATTTCCGTAGTCTCCAAACATATTACCAAAACTCATGAACCTCAATATGCTGAAGTTGTGTGTTAAAAGTATCAATCCCTCCGCATTCAAAGATTATTCATCTCAAATTAAATAAACTAAAAATCAACAAATTTAAGTAGATTAGTGTACGAAACATTAGACTAAGAAGTACTTTGGTTAAGGTGGTCCCTTTCAATATTATTTTGATGTTTGAACGGTGCTTAGGCTGCATGAAAATGGCTCTCATCAACTCCGAGGAAGAACAAACAATCGCAAATATGTTATGCATTGGAAAAGTAATGAACATAAGCATAAGTATAAAAAAATTAACAAATTGTGCCCGTTGTGAAAGTACGTTGGTCCCTTAAGGGTCGAACACGAAGACTAATTGTTATAGAGGATGAGAGCTTGATAGTAGATTGATTATGAACCACAGAACCTAGCCAACACGGCGTAGGTAGGGGTGAGCATTCGGTTGGTTCGGTTCAAACTGAACCGAACATATGGATACCGGGGGCCTAATTCTCAATGTTGTCAGAACCGAACCGGAGTATCAACCGATATAATGAACGGTTCGCATTTTAATGGTTTAACCGCTATTAAACCGTTAAAAATCCGTTAATGAACTGGTACTTAATAATAAAAACATTATAATTACTACACACTTCTTAAGTATAATAAACCACACGTGCATTACTATTAGTTAACAAATTTAAAACATCTACAAAGAAACACCCAATTTTGAAAGTTGCTCCATTGTAGACATGAAATCCATAATTCAAAATTCTACTTATAAATGGCATTTCATATGTTTTTTTTGGGTAAACCATTTCATATGTTCAATCAAAGTGTAGATGAACATTTGACCGAAATAAAAGAAATTAGTTCTCAAATATAATCTGTCAATTTAGTTTTTAGAATAAACAAAAGTTAAAAAATCTAAAAAAGTCACCTAATTAATAGAAACCGCATTTCTTAAATTGTTTCCATATCCCAAGACTAAAATAGGCTTCCAACAAAGAAAATCGAAAAAGAAAAGTTGTTTTTGATCTTTCTAGTTTATTCTGTTTTCGGAGGAAACAAAAAGGGAAAATCATAAATGATATTCCAATTCCCAAAGACCCGGCGAATAATCCGACGCGTATCTCCATCTTCTGAATGGGCTGTTAGAGGGATTCAAACCGGCTTCCCGGTTTTAACGGTTCGAATGGTTAAGCGTTCAAACCGTTAACCGGCCGGTCAGTTCAACCGAAGCGTTTTTATAGCTGTTCCGAGCTGGATTGGTGGTCGGGTTTCGGTTTTGCCGGACCGACCGGTTCGGCTCGTTTTTAACAAAACTGCTAATTCCAGCTATAACCCAAACCAATCCCGAACCGAATCATAACTCGGTTCGGTTCCTTCTCCAAACCCGAAGATGGAAGCTGCTTGCGTTTTGGCCACTTGACTCCTGCGTTTTGTGGACACCTATTTGGAAAAAAACGACAACTCTCTAGGCCTATCTTCTTATTTCTCCCCTTGACTCCTCAGATGCACTCTCTCTCTCTTTCTCTCTCTCTCTCCAATCAACAAACGATGTAGCGACGGCGAGCACAAGGTAGAGCTCGAAGCAGAGCACAACAGAGCTGCATGACGACGGATGGTAGAGATCTCTCCTCCTTCTCCGGTCTCGAAGCAGCGTAGATCATTAAGGGTTCAAAAAGGAAGAAAGTAAATCGGCGGACGACGGCAGTCGGCAACGGCGATTGAAGAAAGCGATGGTGACAACTGCGGCCGACGACGATGAAGGTTCGTATAGCTTTAGATCTAAGCATGCATGTCATTTTTTGGCATACTTTCTCTCTTTCGAGGCTCCAGCTTCAAATCTTCAATAGCATCGTCTTAGTCTCTGTTTCTGTTTTCAATTCAGGACTTCAGGTGGAGAAGAGGGCGTTGCGGCGGGGAAGAGAAAGCGGCGAAGAAAGGTCGATACCGGCGGACGACGGCGAAGGACGGCGGTGAAAGGTTGATGCTGTCGATCGTTCGAATTGCAAGGATGATGGATAGCTGGTGTGTGGTGGCTGCCCGCTGCGCTGCCTGTGAGAGATGAGAAGAGAGCTGCAGCTGCTGCCTCTCTCGTTCAATTCATTAGGTTTAGGGTTGGGCTTTGGACTTCATTTGGGCTGGGGGGTGAGTTTTGAGTATTTGGATTTTATTTGGGCTGGGGTGAGTTGAGTTTATTTGGGCTTTGAGTTAAAACGCAAAGCAGCATTTAAATGAGATGGAATTGTCAGAATTACCCTTCCGTGAAGCTCTCTATGGGCAGCAAATTCAAAATGCTGCAATTTGGAGTGGGGAATCTGCTTCATATATTTTATAGACTTGGGTGCCTATGTTGCATTGGTTGATGGCAAGACGGGTCGTCAATTGCACAAGCAGAAATTACCTGAAGCATACGATGTGCGTCTTCCGGTCTGTGCTTTCCAAGTGATTGAACTACAAGAAGAGGAGGAGGAGGAGCATGATGGTGACCTGCAATTGAGCAGCACATTCTGTTTAGTGTACACGACATATAATCATCTTGTAGGGCTTACAGTTTTGAGATTCTCTTTGCCACCACCACCATCATCGGAGACATCTAAACAGAAATTGGGAACATCATCAATGAATGGGAAAGCTGCTGGTGCTGGTATTCACTTGAATGTTGAAGTTCTCGAAAAGCGCTTCTATAGATCATATTCAGAACCATGCCCTGCTCAGTTTCATGCCTTCTTCCTCTAGGGCCCCTAGCTTCTTTTTTTTTCTTCTTTTCTGAGTTGACGTTGCTTGTTGAACTTGCTTCCTAGATAGAGTTGTTTCTTTGGTGAATTTGTATGAATTTGCTATCTGCATCAATCAATTTATCCATGTTTGATAATGTTTGATCGATGTTCTAGCATGGCTTCTAATCAGTGATAAATTTAGTAAAAAAGCGTCTAATATTCGGAGAATTGGCCTTAATATGGTATGCCGAGACTTGGATTCATCCTGTGGTCCAAGGGCCCAATTAGGCACCAACCCTGTCGGCCCATCCTAGCCATTACCCTCGCGCGCTGTCAGCCCATTTCTCATCTGAACTGAAGCAGCCGATCTACTTCTTCTCTATCCCCTCGTCGTCGTCGGCAACAAAAAAAAAAAAAAACAAAACAAAACAAAACAAAAAAAAAGGGGAAAACCTTTATGTTGCCTTTATTCCCCCCTCCGTTCATCTTAACATCCCAATTCCCATTGCTCGACGGCGAAGGAAAGTGAACATACTAGTTCATTAGTTCTCACGGCCGAAAACTTTCTGCTTTCCAATTCAGCTTGTCATCTACAGGAATGAGAGCTCTAGCTCCGCTGCTGCGTTCGGCCCTCAACAATGCCCCAACTGGACGCATCCAGTTGCTGGATCCATCCTTCGCATCCGCCAAATCCCTCTTCACCAATGCTGCTGCTGCTTCGGAGCCTACCGATAACTTCGCGCAGCGGTTATTTCGAAAGTCAGACGAAGGTGGGATGGGCTTCTACCGACAGCTCGAGAAGGCGCAGAACGCGCTGCACCAGCGGCCGCCGTCGTCCGCGAGCGTTGGGGGCGCGGGGGATAGCGGAAGTTACAACACTTTGCAAGACGGGATGGATCAGAAGCTGAAGAACAGCGCCATGGACTTCAGGTTCGATTCAGTTTCTGGTGGTGGCACCTCCTTCGCCAACAAACAGGATCCCGGTGGTTTTCAGCCGAACCCGAGCTTGTACCCTCGCCCGTTTAATGACTCAAGGGTAATGATTGATGCACAGAAACATAAAGCTTTTCGTGTTTTCCTTCCACCATCGAGTTGGTTGTTTGGTCTAGGCATTTTGGATTGGTTCCCCCAATATGATAACCAAAGTGAATATTCGATATAACTTGATGCATTGATGACAACTTGTATCCCTACTATGTAATTGATAGGGAACTTACTTGGTTTGGTAGCCATTGTGCTTATCAGCTTGATCCTTAAATACTTATTTGCATTTGATCATCAAAGTGACTGAAGGGCTTCTTATTTTTGTCCATGGAAGCAACAACGACCCTATAGACCGCGACCCAGATATGAATTCAAAGTAACTACCGAGGAAGTTCTGAAAAAGGCCGATTTCAGGGTGAGCAACCACTGATGTTACTTACTCCATTTTTCTGCCACCCTTTGCTTTTGTTCACATATTGCGGACTGTGAGATGTGAAATTGCAGATCCTAGAAAGTTACTTGTTTGGTACTATGCAAATTAAAGCATAAGATGAGTAGATTAGTCGGTTTTGTGTACATAGTAGCTCTTATCTGTTCTATTAATGGTGAAGTTGGCCTTGAAGTTGTTTCAAGGTTTAAGCTTTAGTTCATTCTTGTCTCTGTTTATTTTAACTGGATAGTACGTGTTTTCCGACAATCTTGTGGGAAAGAACTAATGGTTTCTGTCATCCTGAAGTACATTTTGTGACTTCCTGTGTTCATCACCATCTAATGCTTTTTTTTTTTTTTTTTGCAATCTATTCACTTTAATCTCACTGTCTACTGCAGAATGTTAGGTTCCTTGCGAACTTTATAACAGAGGCTGGAATCATTGTCAAGAGGAGTAAGGTAATGCTTTAGCCCGAATGCAGATTTTGTTTAAAATTTCATGATTGCTTTGACATGCTGAACAAATCTCAAGGTAGAGTGCGTTCATATATGTCTTTCACATCAAGTAAATCTGTGCATTTGTGATTGGATTACATTTTTTGTCTGGTGAAATGTGGAAAATCTGTTAGTATTTCCATCGGGACACAAAACTTGATGCTCAATTCGGAAGTAAATAACTCAACTGTGTATGCAGCAGAAATCTTGCACTTAAGAGACATCATCACAAACTATGTTCTTCCCTACTGGTCTTGTGCCAAATGTTAGATAACTCAACAGAGTATGCAGCAGAAATCGTGCACTTAAAAGTCATAATCTTAAACTACTCGTTCTTCCATATTGGTCATGTGCGAAATGTTAGACATCCTGAGATCATTAGCGACGGATGCTCCGCTAGTTACCATTTGATATGTGTATTGCCTCGCTTGACTCTTCAACTGGCAACTCTTATTGATTATTCTTCTTTTGTGGTAACAGACTGGTATAAGTGCCAAAGCCCAGAGGAAAATTGCCAGGGAGATTAAAACAGCTCGAGCTTTCGGCCTATTGCCTTTCACAACCATGGGGACAAAATCATTCGTCTTTGGCCAAACTATGGATGAAGCAGAATCTCCTGTAGCAAAACCTCCGGGCTACTAGTAGCTATAGCTTCTAATTAGAGCAGAACAGTCATTGTTGCCTTAATCCTCCCCTACAACCGTTGTTGCATGTTCATATGCAAGCAATGTTTCTTCGTTTCTTTCCTTTAGTTTAGTGTGAAGTTGAGGGTCCGAGTCATCGTGGGAACGAGATTAATTTTGTCGAGTGATAATATCCCTTGTGCACTTCTGTAACTCTTGAGTTCAATGGCCTCTTTGATATAGGTAAAGGGAAATTTTCTGTTATCTGGCTCTTGACATTGTTTAGGCATTTACACTGAACATGTCATTTCAGCAGAGTCTAAAAGAAATAGAAGACCGTTATGATACTAGATTTGCCCTTTTCTTTTCCTTCTTCTCTATTCCATTTTGATGTCAATGGATCTTGTATCTAAGCCTGCATCTAACCGACCCTATTCATGCGATGACCAATGCTTTTGCATTGTTGTGCATCTAGGGGTAATTATTATCTAGGTACTCCGAAATTCTATCGAGCTGATGTAGGACCGAATGAAATGTGAAGGAAAGATGGGTACTAGAACCAAATGATATGTTATGTTTCATTCTAATCTATTCATCTAGCATACTTGTTTGTTTTTAAGGAATCTTATAATAAGAACCGAAATAAGCTTTAACCACCAGAATCATAGTCGAATTTCAGTTTCAACTGATATGATTCGAATGTGAAATGGTTTTGCTTAGGCCTAACCGGGCCGGCTAATATCTGATTGTTACCTAAAGCCCTAAAAGATAACTTAATTACACGCACCGTTTAGGGGTGCGCATTGCGCAAGCCTAAAACACAAATCAAAACAGAATCCCTAATTCTCTCTCTCTCCTCCGCGAGAGTTATTTTTCTTTCGCACACCACAGAACAGAACTTCCCCCGACCTCGGCTGTCCCGTTCGTCGGAAGAATCCCGCGTAATCTCCGGTCCCCTTTGCACTGCGCAACCTCCGAATTCCTCCACCGTCAATCAGCTCTCTGAGACTACCGGATACGGTGAGTTCCCCTATTACCGAGATCTGCTGCTGCCGACAAAATGACTTCTGTCCTCTTTCTTTCTCTCTGAGAACCTTCTTTTCATCGAGAAGTTCACGTCTTTGTCTCTGGGATTCCGAGGAAATTGCAGTGGTTGGTTTAGCTGGGGGGTGGGGGGGATTAGAAAACTGAATTGTACACTGATTGATGAGAAAAGGTAATACATCTCAACTTGAACTCTGAATAGATTGTATTGGAGTCTGGAGAGAGCATGAGTGACTTGGAGAATTTGAACGTAGCTGAGAGTGTGTGGTTGCTATCGGATGTGGCAGTAGTTTGTGTCCGTAGGGTGCTTTAGGCCTCTTGAAGTTAGTTGGATACGATACTGAGAGCTCGATTGCTTTTGAACTCTCAAGCACTTCAGTTGCAATCTGTTGTGTTAGCTTTTGTAATGTTGTCTAAATCCTTGAAGCATTCACATGCCTTGGAGTACAAATTTTCTCATTCGAATGACATCAGTGAATTTTATTTTGGGATGCGAATTTAGGACAGGATGAGGAACCTTATGGCCAGAGGACAAATCTCGAAAAACAGTTGCCAAACTCAAGTGTGTACATCCTTTGCTGTAACTGATGTGTATCCCAGATGGTAAAATGTTATAGTTCGAGTCCAATGCCTTGTTTATGTTGATGCTTGAGCTGTCTGTGAGGAGTGAGGACATTGATAAATTGCATGTTGTTTCATCTTGTGCATAATGTAGTCAATCCGAAACTTTGAGCCGTTACCTTGGGATGTTTGCGTGGCTGCTTACACCATTGGTTAATGTAACAAACTCTATGTAATGTGGTTTGTGTAAATGAGTATACAATGTGGGAACAACTAATAAAACACACCAGTTTAGTGAAGCTTTGTAACCATCATGGATGCATGGGACTTGTGTGTATTATTAGTGTCTGAAAGGAGTTTAAGGATTTGGTTTGAGAAATCACTTCTGGTGTGGAGGAGCTCAGGCTGCTCATCTAGGTTTCATTGCTTGAGAACACCATAGCAATCAGTGGGAGGGGTAATTGTATTGTTATTGATCTCTTACAATGGATACTGTACTTCCTAATATCATTTTGTATGAGCCTTGAGCCCTTGGCCGAATGGGGTGTTGGTTAATCTTATTATATTCTTTAGGTCTCACCATATTTGATTGGATCTTGCTTCTGTTTTGTCTCCTCCAGCCTTCCCGTATCATACTGAGGATCATCTGCTTTTGGAGCTTTCAATTCTTGGAGTAGCGTCCTTCTGCATGCAGCCTGGGAAGATCCTGTTATTTACATAGATCAAACAGCTGCTTCTGGTTTTGGGCTCATGGCTGACCTTGCTCTAACAGTTATAGAATCTGATATGGCGTTGTCCTATAACCCGCTAGTCATTGGACAACAATTCGCTGATGTAGAAACTTGTAGAAGGACGTTGAAAGACATTGCTATTGCCATGCACTTCGACCTCAGAATAGTAAAGTCTGACCGTAGCCGGTTCATCGCAAAGTGCTCCAAAGAAGGCTGCCCATGGCGTGTTCATGTTGCGAAATGCCCTGGTGTGCCAACCTTCTCCATCAGGACATTACAGGGAGAGCACACATGTGAAGGTGTCCAAGACCATCACCATCAGCAAGCCTCGGTAGGCTGGGTGGCTAGATCAGTTGAAGAACGGATTCGAGATAATCCTCAGTACAAACCGAAAGAAATCCTCCAAGAAATCAGGGACAAGCATGGGGTTGTGGTATCTTACATGCAAGCATGGCGTGGGAAAGAACGCACCATGGCTGCCCTCCATGGTACTTTTGAAGATGGATTCCGCCTCCTTCCTTCATACTGTGAACAGATAAGGAAGACCAACCCAGGTAGCATTGCTTCTGTTATTGCAACCGGACAAGAAAACTGCTTCCAAAGGCTGTTCGTCTCTTATCGAGCCTGTATCTATGGATTCATCAATGCTTGCAGGCCTCTCTTGGAACTTGATAAAGCCAATCTGAAGGGGAAGTACCTCGGCACTCTTCTCTGTGCTGCTGCTGTCGATGCTGACGATGCGTTATTCCCCTTGGCAATTGCTGTTGTTGACACTGAAACCGATGAAAACTGGATGTGGTTCATGTCAGAGCTCCGGAAGCTTCTCGGTGTCAACACTGAAAACATGCCTCGACTCACAATACTGTCCGAGAGGCAAAAGGGGATGGTGGAGGCAGTTGAGACACACTTCCCTAGTGCATTCCATGGCTTCTGCCTTCGCCATGTCAGCGAGAACTTCCGAGACACGTTTAAAAACACAAAGCTCGTCAACATTTTCTGGAGTGCAGTTTATGCCCTTACAATAGCTGAGTTTGAAAGCAAGATCTCTGAGATGGTGGAGATTTCTCAGGAAGTTGGACCCTGGTTTCAGCAGTTCCCACCTCAGCTATGGGCTATAGCATACTTTGAAGGGATGCGATATGGTCATTTTGCACTTGGGGTGACCGAGTTGTTGTACAATTGGGCTCTCGAGTGTCATGAAGTCCCGATTGTGCAAATGATGGAGCATATTCGCGAGCAGCTGAATTTGTGGTTTGACTCTCGTCGTGATTTGGCCATGAGTTATAACTCGGTCCTTGTTCCTTCTGCTGAGAAGAAGATGGCAGAGGCCATTGCCGATGCTCGGTGTTATCAGGTGCTCCGTGCTAATGAAGTGGAGTTTGAGATTGTGTCGACCGAGAGGACTAATATAGTTGATATCAGGACTCGGGTGTGCTCGTGTCGGCGTTGGCAGATATATGGATTGCCTTGTGCACATGCTTCAGCTGCTTTGCTTTCCTGTGGGCAAAATGTGCATGTATTTGCAGAGCCATGCTTTACTGTAGCTAGTTACCGAGAGACCTACTCGCAGGCAATAATCCCAGTTCCTGATAAGAGCATGTGGAGCGAAGTACCAGGTGAGGGAACTGAAGGCGGGGGTGCGAAAGTCGAGATCTTGATACGCCCTCCTAAGACTCGACGACCACCTGGAAGGCCTAAGAAGAAGGCCCTTCGTGTAGAGAACTTTAAGCGGCCGAAAAGAGTTGTTCAGTGTGGTCGGTGTCATTTGTTAGGACATTCTCAAAAGAAATGCGCAATGCCGATTTGAATTCAAGAGTTATATAGCTTCTTCTAGACTTTGCTTTTCTTTTTTAGCGTCACAAAGTCCTAACAGAATCTATGTTTGTAACTCTAATGTATGTTTTCATTAGCCATTGTTTGGAATAGTTTCAGTCTAATCCTTATGATGTATAGTTCATTTATCTACCTTTGTGCTCTCAAGCTTCGTCATCTCTTAGTTAAATGCAGCAGCTGCAGGAATTGCCCTCGTTGCTCTCCTAGCGGTAGAAGGAGCAAAGAATGGCACGTAAATAATCGCCTACTTTCCATGGTTGTCCTCGATGACTAAGGTACGTGAGCTGAGTCGTTGAATTACAGGCTTGATATCGATCTTTTTGCATGATCTCAGCTGGTTTATCTTCTTCTCATGTGCTTCAGAGAAAACCAGCACCTTCTTGCTAGATAGTTACAAGAAAGTTGGCTATGGGACAGAATGTTGAGAAATGAAGAAACGGAGAAAAGATTGCAGCTTTCCATTTATGTATGAATGGTTTGTAGTTGCACACACATCTTGTTTGCCTTGCATAATTGATAATACTCACAACACAACTGTATACACAAGACTAGCCATCAATGCATCAAAACAGCGAGGTGGGCAAACAAAAAGAAGAAGCAAACTTGGGATCACTAATTTTCAGCTTCCATTAGTCCTTCCATAGCTATTATGTACATATAGTGATCCATTATTACTGCATTGCATAAAGCAGGAAGGAAACCACCAGGGTGCCAACCAGCTGGTTTGGTCCACCAAAATAATGGCCGGACGCGCCAATGGCCGACGACCACTCCGACGTGCCGTTCCGGTTGCTGGTACGACTCAACGCCCCGCCCACCACCGCTCCCCTAACGACAGGCCGGCTGCTGCTCCGGCCGCCGCTGCTGCGCCCTCCTTTGGCCTCCGACAAAGTCGACATGAAGCAGAGAACTGCCACGGCGACGACCACGACGATCATTAGAGTTGCTGAGGAACTGGACTTGATCATCTCAGCTAAGCTGGTTAGTTATTGAACGAAAGAATGGAACTATATATGGAACACTTGGTGACAGAGATGGAAGAAGCTCTTTGGATTAGAAGAGGAAAGAAGTAGTGTGGATGGATGAATTGGGTGAAGGAAATGACGAAAGGATTGAATATATAGTCCCGCGTAAGGACGAAGGTCTGACTCGGTTCTTGTTTGGCGTCTATCTCCATCTATCCATGGAGCCAAGTTGATGGAAGCTTGACTTTTCTGGTTTGACGGCTTAAGTCTCTGTCAACTGTCAAGTCTTACACGCGCCGGGGGCAGTGCAGTGGGGTACGCGCTTTTGGTTGTTGTTTGCATGTTTTCACACAGGCAACATCATAGATAGCAACAGGGAAGAAAACTAGTTATAAACCAAGTCCAATTAAGCATGAAATTAATTAAGGATATAGAATGACTTGAGACTATTTCTAAGGTTGGGAGGAAAGTGGAAAAGATAGACATTCACCTTGGAAATCACATGGAGTAACTTATCTTAGGCCGTAGCGCTCTGCTAGGCTGTATGTTTATGTACCTTTAATCCTTCTGATGCACCCAAAAAAAAAAACCCCCCTAGGAAATCACATCCACTCTAGGCTCCACTACTATCTCCGACAACAACCAATCCAGCTAGATCACTGCCTATCTTCCTAAATCCTAGACGCTGATACAAATAAAATTCACGGCAAAAATCAAGATCCCGTCATTAATTTTAATATTTGTATTATATTAAACGATTTTGTTAGATGAAATGACTATATTTGTGATTATGCAAAAAATGACTATATTTCCGGTACATTTTATCTTCGATAATGTGTTTACAATCCTTGCGTTGGTCCAACATTAATTAATATCCCTTAGCATAGTAATACAATTGATAATGCTCACTCATAGTCATTCGGACGACACTATGAGTAGAACACAATTAATAGGCATGGACGAGGATACATGAAATTGAAAGAGGGAAGGGAAAGCAAGCTTTGGACTGGAACTTCTGGACTAATTTAGTGCGTGTAGCCAGGCTAGCTACTAATTATTAAATTATTATGACGCTTACAGCAGAAAGGAAAGCAGCAGCAGCAGGGTCCCAACCACCTGGGCCTGGCTCGGCCCTGCAGCAGCGATATGATGGGCCGAAGACCCAGCGGCCTGCTGCACCCCCTCCTCCACCACGTCTGGGCCCCACTTCTTGGCCATTTCCTTTCCTTTGGCCGCCCAGCCCGCGCCTGTTGCCGCTACGTCTGCTGCTCCTATCGGAATGGGGATGCCCTCCACTGACGTCCACATCAAGCACAGAACCGCCGCTACGACCACCACGACGGTGAGCAAAGCTGCTGAGGAACCGAACTTGGTCATCTTAGCTTGCTAGCTAGAAAACGACAGAATCGAATGGGTTGTTTTTGCAACTGATCAACAGAGATTGATCGAACAAGTTGTTTGGAACTAAAGAAGACTGAGTAGTGTGCATGGATTGATGGATGGCACCGATCGAGAATTTGATTTATATAGAGTTGCGATCGAGCTGGAGCGGGATCCCTCACGCGTTGTACGTACAAAAGTTTACTTGACTCGACTCGACTGAAGTTCCAGACACGGCATCCCGCAGGGCCATAATAATATGAATAGAGCACAACAGAAATACAAGAGCCACAAATCAGCTAGCTGGCCTGGACGTGTTAAATGGGTGTGGAAAACTAACACCAAAAGACAAACACATAAAAACCACTCACTCAAACTTCCAATTCCTGTGTTAAATGGGCTGGGCCTGGACGGGCTACTGATGGGCTTGGTTTTCCCGGGAAGAAAAAGGCCCACCCCAGAATGGCGGGAGCCCTAGCCCCTAGGACTAGAAGAAGAAGAAGAAGACGAGGCAGTGGCAGTGGCAGTGTGGCGCGGCAGCCCTTATCAATCTCAACAAAGAAGAAGCAACGGCAGTGGAGAGGTAAACGATGGAAGGGCCTCATCATCAGGCCGGTACTGCTGCTGGGGAGCAACCGCCGCCGTCATCACCATTGGCGGCGCCGGTGGCATTTTCAGAAGAGAACCTACCGGATGCGGAAGCACCTCATGATCAGGAGGTGGTGGGTGTGGAAGGAGATGGTCAGTCGGCGGCTTAGACTGGGAACTGCATTGATGAGTGCGTTTTAACTAATGCTCTCTAATAGTAATTAGCCAGTTGGTTCTAATCTAATTTCTTCTGAGTGTCGGAATCAGCCAGCTAGCTAGCTAGGGTTTTTGTTTCATGATCGATTAGCTGAATCCGGCTGAATCATCGCCGGCATTAGAGCTACTAGCTACTAGATAGGGCTCGTTATAGTTTGCATTGTGTATTTTTGGCTTTGCTGGCTCTTCCGTGGAATTTTGGGGTTGGTTTGGTTTATCGCCTTGATTTTCTCGTAAAGATTCTGATGCAAAATGCTGGGAATTTTGCACTGCAGTTTTCATTCTGACGTTGATGATCCTCAAGCTTTTGAGATGATGAGAAGAGATACCACCAAGATTGCGACAGAAGCTCTGGAATTCTACAACAACAAGGAGGTTGGTAGCTTGATTTTCATGCTGCTTAACTAATCATCGGTTCCATGGCTAGCTAGATACAATTCCCATTGATGAACTGCTGATAGTGATATAAGTTGATGTCCTTTGTTAATTAGGGTACCAACTTCGTGCTTCGGAAGCCCTTGCTCAGTCGGTGTAATCTGTTTCCAGGCACGCTTGTCATCCACGCCAACTTCACAACCAAGAATATCGTCCACCCCGCTGTATTGGAAAACAACTCTCCCAGTCAGCTGTTTTTCTCTGAGACACTAAAAGTCTACCGGCAGCCAACTCGCATTCTTAACTGTCTCATCATAGATAAGTGTAGTAGTGGTAAGTAATCAGTTAACTTGTATCATCGTCGTCTTAGTAGTTCAGCTTATTGATAGATAGATGGATAGATAGGTTGGTTTGCTTGAAGTTAATGATGATGATGGATGGGTGTGGTGTGGTGCTTGCAGATATACGCACAGGTTGTGCGCATTGTCCGAGCCACATGTGTGACAGAATTTTCTACCATCCTCCATTGGGAAATTCCGACTATGGTGAGGATGAGGAGAAGGATCATGCAAGGTTTGATTATGACGAATCAACGACTAGCTCTGAATCAGATGATGATGAATGACCTGAGAAGAAGAGCAGCACACAGCTGGATCCCCTTTGCTTGCAGACAGGCAACAACTTGTAGTGGTAGTAGTAACTTGTAGTGGAAGGGAACCGGATGAGGAACAACAATGTGGACCATTAATCATACTTACCTTGAAGTATATGCTCCTTGCTCCATGTTCGTTTCATGTATGTGATTTGGAGAATGTACGTGCCGTTACCCAATTAACAACGAATTTAGACGAAATTCGACAAATAAAATTAAAAAAACCAACATAACACGGAGAAAGAAAAAACACATGCTAAACGAGGTGGAAGTTAACATCACACCTTTATTTTCCTCTTGCATTTCATGGTCAATGTTACAAATAACCCCCATTTATGGTCATACACAATGTGGTCATGTCAGAGGATGAATAACTAACCTCGGTTTGGGGGTAAGCTCCCCACAAATTTTTTCATAAACTGTCTTCCCCAAGGAATAAGTTATGACTTAGGATCCAAGAAATCCAATAAAGTCAGACACTTGAGTTGTGTAATAATCTGGTTTGATCTGGTTCGATGGGCTGTGCAGAAGGGTTTCAGTCGTTACACCTGCAATTTTTTTGGACCAGCTTACGAGTGTTACTTGAATGTAATTCTGCCCCATCGAATCCCATTGGTATTAGTTCCAACACGTACCTGAGAGAACAAGGAGAGTCTTGCAGCCAGAGCTTTGTCCAAATAAGATATCAGTGTCCAGTCTATCACCCACCATACACATTTTCGAGGTACTGATGTTAAACCTGCAAAAACAACCGATTCGTCCCAAATTCAGCTGCTCAAACATTGCACGGCCATAACACTCTGGTACGATACTGAGAACAGATTCACCCTAACTGCTGCAGTTGTTTAACAGAGATTTAAGAATGAAATGTTTGCTCTTACTTCTGTAATAGGAAGTCCATCATAAAGGTGGAGGGTTTTCCAACTACAATAGGCTCTCTTTCAGTTGAGCCACGCAAGGCAGCAACCATACAGCCAGCACCTGATTTGCGAATGAGAAATTCGAAGTAAGGAGTAAGGACGACTGCTAGAGTAAACCAACCAGATTGGTTAGTGTGTGAAAGAGAAAGCTCAAACTCCCTCACCGGGCCACTCTTGTAAATCAGTCATGTGGCCAACTGCATCTTGGTTTGTGGCGATGAAAAGGCAACCTGGATTCTCACGCACGCAAAGGGTTGCGTACCTGCCAACCGAAATCACCACATTAAAAATATTATCCATGAAGCAGTGGAGTCACCAACTTGAATAAGAATGGAATTCAGGGGTTTCTTACTGGAGTTTGTGGTAGTTTACATAGGGATCCAATCCTACAACAACTGCTCCAACCTAATCCAATACACAAGTTGCAGTGTCAGGCTAGGGAAAACCCAAGTTAAAGGGTAATAGCTGAAGGAAATTCAGATGAAAAGTTACATTACACTTTTATCGTGTTCGAAGAGAGTATTTGATTTCCATTCTGCTCTTTTTTCAGCATCTTCCTGCAAATATAATTAAACAGATACAGATGAGAACACCGAGATGGAGCGTCGGTAGTTACATGGTGAAAGTAGTCAATCAATTTTCTGTGATTACCAAGAAAACTAAAGAGGGTCCAGTAGTATCCTATCTGAAAAATCAGCAGCTAAGTTGAATGTGCCAACTCCAAGGGAGTAGAGTGTATCTTCTAAAAGTGTAATGGAAGAGGCCATTTTACATATGATTCCCTAATGAGCATTGTCATTAAAGAAGCTCAAGGCCAAAAAGCTGAAGCTGTTTTTGAGGAATCCAGGTCTGTGTAAGGTGATGATGGAAAGATGCTACTGATTCGACGAATGCCAAGTGCACTAGAGACGGAATTTGAAGATGAGAAAAGGGACACTCTGCTTCACATCAATGCATTGTTCAACTACTATGGTGGAGAAGCTGAACCCAAAGCTTACTGACCACCCTCAACCTTCTAACCGTCTTGGATGTACAAATAGCAACAGTGCAATTCTGGTGATTATACAAGTTCAAGTTCCATTCTCCATAGGATACTATGTTGATGAGGTTCTTTGTGATGTCGTGAAAATGAGAGCTTGCGATATCGTGTTGGGAAGATCTTGGCAGTACCACCGAGATGCTTCCCATAAGGGTTCTACAAACACTTGCACATTTACTAAGAATGGCATAAAGGGGACTAGTTTCGCATGAGCTGTGTCAACAAGTCCATGAAGCTACCCCGCCAAGGATTAAAGATTTCATCAGCTAAGCCTGAGGTGACTTTTCCCTCGGTTTCATACCTATCTATCTCTCCACCTCTTAACTATTGTTTACAATCACTCGTTTCTGCTATATGATTTCACGATTGCTCTATGCGCCTTCTTGAGTTCTACGATTCAATATGCCGTCCCAAATGGCTAAACAGCTAAAGGGACTAACTGCTCATTCATCTCATCTCAAATGACACATACAGAAATGATTTTGCAACAGAACAGGAAATATGGAAATACTGATCCACTGTTGAAATAAGCTTTAGGAGACTCACCGGCCCTCCAATGGCTGTAAAGCCAGCCTGCTCCAATTCTTTCACTATTCCTTCCATGCCTATCACATACACCTGTAACCCAATCCCAACATCAACCCCTCAAATACTAAGCTCGTGATCAGGGGAAAATCGTGGACCTGAACCGGGCGATGATAAGAAGAAACCAAACCTTCTTTTCCGGTGGGAATTCCTTAACCTTCAAGTACATCGCCGCGGCGAAAGAGGACGAGAAAATCTCATCCTGAAAATCACGAGGGAAGGAAAATGAGGTGACTAGCGATGAAGAAACAGAAAGATACAAAATTTTCAAAATACTTCACCTCGCTAACTGAGATGCCGAGTGAATGGAACTTGGCGGCGTATTGGCGTCTGGACTTGGTGGAATTATTGGTGACGAATACTAGTTTCTTCCCCTGCGATTCCGAAGTCGATATAACATCGATTTTTCTCTTTTCATCTCTATATAATCCAAACAAAGAAATCAATGGCGAACACAATGGAATAAAGAAGACCTTGGAACGGAGCAAATCGAGAGTTTCAGGGACGCCATCGATGAGCTTGTCGCCCTTCCAGATCACGCCTGCAATGCAATGCCAAAATACAACGAATGAGCAGAGAATGTGAGGGAACAGGAAAGTGGGAAGGAGATGAGATAGAGAGAGACCATCGCAATCGAAGAGGAAAGCTTCGACAGAGTCGACGAGAGCTCGAGCACTGTGGGGATCGAGGAGCTGAGTAGCTGCCGGGGCGCTCATTTTTCCGCCGACGAAGAGACTCTGGGCCGCGTCGCTCAAGAGAGAAGAGCGAAGAAAAAGGAACTCTTTTTCCGGTTGGTTTCCATTTTTGCTTTTTGGTAAGATATTTATTAATTTCTTTTTGAAATATATCAGTGCGGTTTGATTGGAGAATGGAATATGCTTAACGGTTGGTGGCTGCTTGACCTGGCGGGTCCCGCCACAAAAGGTTGGTTGGTTTTTATTCCCTCCATTTCTTTTGCAAGGAGCTGTTCCATGTAACATACAGATTTTGGGGAGAAATGCAGTTCTCTTTGCAGAAACCAACTAACCAAATACATAATTCATAGTACAACACGGTAAAACACTTACCATTGACAAATTGAAGCATACAGATTTCAATTGTTAGAACTGGAATACCATAGTTATACAGTAAAACATACTTCAAGTCTTTGCTTTTCTCCTACAAACATTGTTGGAGAAATGGCATTCATTCATTCATTCATTCATTCATTCTATTCTTCATCAGAGTCGTGTCTCCTTCTCTTCTTCTTCTTCCTGTCTTTGTCCTTGTCTTCCCTGTGGTGTTTCCTCTTGTCATCTGAAGAATCCTGGGTATGCCTCTTCTCGTGTCTTCTATGTTTCTCCTCCTTCTCCCTTCTCTTCTCCTTTTCTTGCTTCTTCTCCCCATGCCTCCTACTCTCTTTCTGTCCGATTTCATCCTTTGTTTTGACTTCTTCTGGGACCTCGGGTGATGGATTGGACATATCGACCTTTGAGGGCTCGGATGCAACATCCGTCCCGAAGGATGGAAGGGTTGAGGGGTCTTCCCAAGGACGGGGTGCCCTGAAACATTAAACATAAAAATACCAAGTTAACAGTCGAGTAGTCTGATGCAACATCTTGATCAATAAAATGTCCAAGGTTGGACTGCAAATGATGAACTACGTACTTCGAGAACCCAAGACCATCAACACGTGCTGCATCAGCGTGCCCAGCTCCCAAGTCTTCTGCAGTGGATCCTCGCTTCACCAGCTCATTGAACTCGTGTTTATCGAGCCGGTTTCCTTGTGGCCTGGCAGCTCGTTTGGGAGCTAAGCCAAGGGCCTCCCTCATGGCTTGTTCCTCCTCTTCCTTGATACTTTTAATCTCTTCCTTTAGAGCATCTTCCGAAGACCCGGAATTCTTGTCCCTAGTGTACCAATGCAGATCTTTCCCTGATATAACAAAAATAGAGAGACAGATTCAGCAGATTTGTCATCCAAAAGAAACCCCACTGTGAGCTTATGCTACGACTCATATACAGGCACTGAGAGCCCATGATCACTTCCCAAATTGCAGAATCAATCAGATTGGAAATCTGTTTTCACGGGTCAATCAAATCTTTCGATAAAGGTTGAAGCTTTTTAGGGGAACAGAAGCAACACAATTTAATCCTCAAGTTAATACAAGGCTGCAAGGGACACAATCACAGGTCGGGATGAAGCATAAAACCAGATGACGAATAGTCTCATATAGGGGAACCTGAACGGAGAAAAGACCAGTGGCAAGTTTCGAGCTTTCAAATAAGACAATTGAACATCAAGCAATAGCAACATACCTTTCTGCCATCTTCCAACTGGTGCCTTGAGACTGTGGCCAAGGTAATTCTCACGATGCTTATCAACCTTAACATCATCCCAGCTGAATTCTGCAAAAGAACAAGCAAGTGTACAGCAAGCAGTTATCAACCACACCATGAATTCTTAATCAGGCACTGAATCAAGTCTCGAGATGAATTGGGTCGAATCGCAGAAAGTAAACCCTAAAATGCAAACAACAGCATGCTGATTGAGAAAGTAAAATCCCCGCCGCAAAACCGCGCGAATTCATCGCGCCAAACATTCAAGCGTATTCTAAGTTGGAGAATTCTCCGCCATGATAGACTGTACAACAAGAATCAGAAGAGAGAGGTCGACAGAAAGCTTACGATCGCGGCCACCGCGAACACCACCACGGGTTGGATGATACATCTGGCGTGGCTAATGGATTAGCGACCTTCCTGTTCTTCTTCAACCGGTAAATCAGAAGAGGGAATCGCCTGAACCAATATGCTAAGTCGTAAGTCGCCGTTGATCGGCTACTCCGCTGGTCTCCCCGATGTTCGTCCAGAAACGAGGGAGGGAAGGAAGAGATCGACGAGAGGATAATCTACGACTAATATAAACAGTCTCATATGTTTCAGGGATCAAAAGAAGAAATATAGGCATGTGTTTGTAATTTTCCAGCTGACACTGCGTCGTTTTAAAGCTAAGAAAGAGGGGACTGATGATCATTCAACAAATCCCTAGTTTCCTTGACCTCGCTTTCATTCGTTCATCATTATACATAGAGAGAGGGAGACTGATCTTGTTTTCATTCAATCCGGAGATCGGCAATCGGAGCTCGTCGGCGATCGGTATGGTTCTCTCCTTATCTCTCTTGTCTTCTATTGTTTCGATGGGAAAGATGTTCGTTATCCTAGTTTTTCATGGCGGGATCTGCTGCCTGCGCCGCGCGAAAGCTTGGTTTCCATTTTGGGTGTCCGATAGATTCGATTTTTCTGCGTAAAGCTTGCGTCTTTCGTTTCTCCAGTTTACTGGGTTCCGATGACTTGTATATGGATTGGTATTTCCGCTCCTTTACGTTGTAGTTTTTAGTGACATTTCATAGCCAGGAGGGTGTATCCGTGCGATGTGCATTTTGATTTGGATGCTAATAAGCGCGGGAGAAATGATTGATTCCGCGAGAGAAATTGGCTTCAGTTCTCCTAAGTAGATTCATATTTCATAGAGCTAAAATAAAGTGTATTTCTTTATGGGGTTTCAGTTGCGGGTTGTGAAATTTGCCCGTAGTGTTCTTCTTATGAATCTTTATGTAGGCTTGGCTTTGAATTGGTAATGTGGAATTTACTTTCCTGCTTGGTCGGATTATTGGGTGCATTGCTTTACCGTGCTGCAATGTGTGTAAATTGCTTCGATTTTGATGTAGTGTTTAAAAATATGTACCTCTCTCTTCTTCAACCAAAGCTCATTGTTTGCCATTGCTTTTGGAATAAAATTGACAGACTTTCTTACAAAGCCTCTCTGGGAGACTTGGTAAACTCTTCTAACCTACAATGTAAGCATTCGTTTCCTCTTCCTTTTCAATCCGTAGTGTAATGTTGGTCCCAATCAGTTATGTTGTTTTACATAGCATACTCATTCAATCTGGTCAATTAGTAATGGACGGTGCAAGTTCTGAAGGAATGCAAAGACTTTCTCTTTCTCTTGTTCCTTTGGATGCTTCAGCCAATGAATAGAAGATTTCTATACTTTGTAATTTGTATGGTATAGCTCAGCCTGATAAATTCCTAGAATCAACTTAGAGAGCTTAAATACAAACACTTTAGGCATATCGATACTTCGACTTGAATTTGTTGTCAGATGTGAATTGTGTCAAATCCCTATAAGAAACGAGCCATTGCATACTAAAGAAAGTTTTTTGTTTGTCTCCCGCCATTAGAGATTCTGTTTTTCTTGATCAGTGGCAACTCTGCTCTCAACTATATATGAGCATATTGCATTTTGATTTTTACACTGCTAAACTTCCTTAAAACCGATCATTTTCCCATTCTTAATTCAGGGCTGATGAGGAACCTGTTGATCAGAAGAAGTACCTGGAAGAATCTTGCAAACCAAAGTGCGTGAAACCCTTGCTCGAATATGAGGTGTGTACTAGTGATATAAATACTGGAAGTACCACATCCTTCCATGGGCTCACCATTGTTATTGTGTTATTCCCTGAATGAGAATTTCTAGAAGAGCCATTTGTATTGCTGATGTGTTTATCCGTTTCAAACAATTTGATGTTTGCTTGTAACACTGTTGACTCAGGCATGTGTGAAGAGAATCCAAGGCGATGATCACAAGCACTGCACGGGGCAGTACTTTGATTACTGGTTTTGTGTCGACAAATGTGTAAGTTTCCAACTATACGGCTATTAGGTCTCGTGTTTTCATTTGCTCTGGGTATATTCCATTATCCGTCAATATCTAATACTGCAAAAACTCAAATTTCATTGCAGGTCGCACCAAAGCTATTCACGAAACTCAAGTGAGGAAGATTTGAGACGAGTTGCTGATATCTTCAGTGTATTTTGATTTTCTTCCCTTTTGGAACTACAGGTGTAATAAGGTTTTAGAATTTTTTTTTGGTGATTCGTACTTCCGAACTAATTCGGATGCCCGTTGAGGTTTTGCTCTTGATTTGTCTCGGGAACTTTGTTTTAGTTATGACGGAATAATAAGAGTGTTGAAGAGACTGTTTTATCCAGGTCATGAGCTATGAGTTTTTCTTGAGCCAGTTGACCTCTAACTTAGAGATGTATTAGCCCCACTCGAGTCTCGACTCAGGTGAGGTATGGTTTTACTTATCAGCTCTAGTGACAAAATCTTCCCTTGTTTGCTGTTGATTTCTTTGGCGCATTTCTCGGCCTCCTCCATGAAAATGTCATGTAATGATTCATCCATTTGTTAAGTTGTCTTGAAAGTGAAGATCGTAGGAAGGTTTCAATAAACTCCAAGACTTTGAAATGTTGTTGCTGACTTTTCAAGTGGACAAACCTGACTTGGTAACGAAAATATACATTGCATCTGTTACCTACTGATGGGAGAAGGATTATTGAAGAAGGATAAGCGCCCCTTTCATAAACGTGAATTGCGACTTTCTGAATTGTATTTTGATAAAGATCCATACATTTCGGTCAACATATTGTTATTTACTCACATCTATCTCAAACTAAATCTCAAATGACATATGTAAGGATCAGCCAAACTCCTCATTGTTGAACTGAAAGGTACTTCCCTTTCATAAATTGTACATCGGTACTTTTTATACGATGTTATTAGCATAATTCATAATATATTGTAATATTATATTCTTATTTACTCGTGTTTTACGAGTTTTAAAAAGAGTGTTTAGACTTTTCCATCCACCTCAAATCAAATCTCACATAATAGATGCTAGTTAATAATTTGAGCAAATTTTTTTGAGAAAGTAATTATAAATATATTCGTTGAAACCAAACAACATCATCCATGACCGTGAACTAAGAAGCTCAAATGGGCAGTTGTTGGAGTACAGTTCAATCAAAATATGAATTGTCTTCAATTCCCTGTAAAATGTAAATCCATCATTCTTCAGAATATAATAAAAAGCTTTAAAGTGCAAGCATGGGGCTAACGTGTGTGTGAATGGTATTTTTGGGGCAATCTATATTATGTCAATGACTTGTACCAAGAAATGCTCCTGTTAGAGGGATTTGTTTTGGATTATATGTCATTGCTTACAACCAAAAATAAAGAAAAGGATATATGGCCTTCCATCTATAAGTGATTGATTATAGGGTAATTGTCGATAAAACATAACATTAACATATGAAAGTCTTTTTGAAGTTATGGTTGGTTTCAATTTTGATACAAGTGTTAGAAAGTCTTATTTGATTCTATTCTATGAAATACATGTTCTACTATTATATAATTAATTTCGCTTTTCGGGACATCTCAACATCTAATCTAATTAGATTTTCTAACTTATATAATAATCTTCACCTGCAATAAATTCTATTTTTTGATGTATCTCTCTATTCTTTTTAGCTTACCCAGGCCAGAATCATTATTTTATTGGACAATTGATCTCACTAGTAGGGAAAGATACATTTGCTAGGAGGAAGATTGAAAAGGCAAGACCGTAAGAACTAATGATGACACAGAGACGCGGAACCGAAAAAGGACAGAGAAGCATAAAAGTATAAAACACAAATCCTCGAGCCAAAAAAGTCCAACATCTTGACGCGCAAAGGCAGTTCGAAAATCCGCACCGATGAATTTTAATAAACAACAACGAAGAAAGCAGTTCCAGATTACTGAAATGAAAAAGCTGTGTAACTTTCCCTGTAGAAATTTCAATTATTCTCCCTCGCTTTCAATTCTCAATTTCAGCTTTAATTCCCTCCTCAACGAGCTACCACCGTCCCGTCAACCATTATTGCAGTAGTTATTCTTCTAGGGTTCTTTCTAAATCTTTACCGCCTTCCACAGCATCTTCCTATCATTTATGTCATTCAAAATTGGGGTTTGGATTTATTTTTTCAATTCCATTTCCTCCGCTCTCTCTGTCTTTTCTTCCTCTCTTTCCTGCCAGTCTTGATACTTTCTGCTCCCTTCTCTACTAATTTACCACTGGGTCGTCATTCGGGGAAGCTTCGTTCTTCGGCACGATTCCTGCATAAACCCCGGAGTTTCGAACTATTTGCTTTCTTCAATCCTATTCCTTTGGGGTTTCTTTCATGTGACGTTTCAAATTGACTTTCTTTTCCTGCCGGCGCATCATTTTTCCTTTGTTTGAATTGAAATAGCTTCTGGATTCAACTCATACTGAGGTGGGTTGGTTGAAAGTTTAGGTCTTTCTAGAGGGAAAGAGAGATGAGGCTAGTGGTTCGAGTGATAGAGGGGAGGAATTTGCCGCCAATGGATCCCAATGGGCTGAGTGATCCGTACGTGAAGCTCCAGCTAGGGAAGCAGAGGTTCAAAACTAAAGTGGTGAAGAAGAACTTGAACCCAACTTGGGGGGAAGAGTTCAGTTTCAAGGTCGAGGATTTGAAAGAAGAGCTTGTGATCTGTGTGTTGGATGAGGATAAGTACTTCAATGACGACTTCGTTGGGCAGCTTAAAATCCCAGTCTCCAAAGTTTTTGATTCCGAAAACAAGTCTCTTGGCACTTCTTGGTACTCTCTCAAACCCAAAACTAAGAAGCCCAAGAACAAAGACTGTGGTAAGTAATGACTGCTACTTTTTTTTTTTTACTCAAGGTAGCAACTTTTCATCTGTCTTTCTCTCTTCACTTGTTCTTGCCTAGGTGTTTATAACTGAAAGTCCTGACTTTTATTGAGAATATGCGTTTCTGTTATTGGCTGTAGGCTAAAGGGAAGTTGATGCTTTTAGTAAGATTAAAGAATTTCTGGACACTTTTGATTGTATATTTATGATGTGCAGGTGAGATTCTTTTGACGATACTGTTTTCGCAAAACAATGCATTTCTTGAGATGGATGGCGATATTGACTACCACAGTTCGAGCTTGAAGAAGAATGGAGATGTTGTTGGAACAGAATCACCATCTAGGTCGGTGAGTGGAGGATCCAACATTTCGATATCTTCATCAATATTACAAGAAGTTTTATCCTCCAAGGAGGAGAAGTTGCCTCCTGCTCCAAAGTCTTTTGCCGAGAGAATTGCTCAAATGTTCAACAAGAGTTCTGATGCTACTTCGGCATCCACGAGTAAAGCTACTGATGTCTCAGAGCCTCAAGAACCTGTGGTGGCGCCTTCTGAGGTCCCTGATGAAAACAAGATTGAGGATCAAGAATTATCTGGTAGCTTTGATGAGTTTATGAAAGAAATGCAATCCAGAGATGTTGGAAATGAGACACCAAGCAATTTAGCAGGAGGTGTCCTGCTTGATCAAGTATATGCCATCACACCCGAGAAATTAAACTGGATTATCTTCTCGCCTGATTCATGTTTTCCCAAAACGGTGGCAGAAGCTCAGGGTAACACTGAGCAACAGTTTGGTCCTTGGAAGTTCGACAGTGGCAGTGACAGCTTGAAAAGAGTGGTCACTTATATCAAGGCTCCAAGCAAATTGATCAAGGCTGTGAAAGCAACAGAGGAGCAAACATATCTGAAAGCAGATGGGGAAGTCTTTGTCGTCTTAATTAGTGTCAACACTCCGGATGTCCCTTACGGAAGCTGTTTTAGGGTTGAGTTGCTTTACTGCATTACTCCGGGCCCTGAGGTGGCATCAGGAGAGCAGACTTCACAATTGACAATATCCTGGCGTATGAACTTCTTGCAGAGTACTATGATGAAAGGAATGATTGAAAATGGAGCTAGACAAGGTCTAAAGGACAGCTTCGAACTATATGGTTCTGTGTTATCACAACAGGTGAAGCCGGTTGATTTGAAGGACATGGTATCTAACAAGGAACAGGTTTTGGCATCACTGCAGATAGAACCTCGGTCGGATTGGAAGTTGGCTTTACAATATTTCGGCAATTTTACAGTGGTGTCCACGGTCTTTATTGGTGTATATGTGCTGGTTCATATATGGTTAGCCATGCCTAGCTCGATTCAAGGGCTAGAGTTTGTCGGGCTGGATTTGCCAGATTCGATAGGTGAAGTCATCGTGTGCGGTATCCTGGTTCTTCAATGTGAAAGGGTGCTGGAACTGCTGTCCCGGTTCATGCAGGCCAGAGTGCAAAAGAGTAATGCCCTCTCTCATTGCATGCACACTGTCTAACAATACAAATGCTATCTTTTGTACTTGTCTAGAGAGTTTGAGGTGTGATATTATACTCGGAAATATTCCTTAAAGCTTTGATATTCACTCTACAACTCTAATTGACAGGCAGCGATCATGGAGTCAAAGCACAAGGAGATGGGTGGGTGCTCACTGTTGCGTTGATGGAAGGAAGTAATCTGCCTGCTGTTGATTCAAGTGGGTTCTGTGATCCATACGTTGTGTTCACTTGCAACGGGCAAACGAGAACCAGCTCGATTAAGTTCCAAAAGTCTGATCCACTCTGGAATGGTGAATGTTGATTCCCAGCAGCAATTTCCTAAGTCGCTTTCAGAATTTATTAATTTAATGCCAACCGTGACATTTGCTCATGGAGTGATATATGCTTGTTGTTTTGACAGAAATATTTGAATTTGATGCCATGGAAGATCCACCTTCTGTGCTGGATATGGAAGTGTACGATTTTGACGGGCCATTTGATGAAGCTATGTCTTTGGGATACTCTGAGATAAATTTCTTGAGATCTGATATATCAGATCTTGCTGATGTGTTGGTGCCTCTCAAAGGAAAGTTAGCACAAGCTTGTCAATCTAAGCTCCACTTGAGAATTTTCTTGAACAATACAAAAGGCAATAATGTTGTGAAGGAGTACTTAAGCAAGATGGAGAAAGAAGTGGGCACAAAGGTATGAACTTCCACCTTGTTGAAAACCGGTATTTGACTGCATCTATTCGTTGGAGTCCCAATGTAAGTTATTTTCCTTTGCAGATAAATGTACGTTCTCCTCAAACAAACTCTGCATTTCAGAAGCTCTTTGGGCTTCCATTGGAAGAGTTTCTCATCAATGACTTCACCTGTCACTTGAGACGCAAAATGCCTTTGCAGGTTTGGTTGCTTTCACCATTTGGTTGAAAGCTTTTACTTTTTTTTTGTTGTTCGAACGAGCATTTGGTTCTTATGTTCTAATTGGATTCATATTGTGTCTACAGGGTCGACTCTTTCTGTCAGCAAGGATCATAGGATTCCATTCGAACTTATTTGGCCACAAAACAAAATTCTTCTTCCTTTGGGAGGACATAGAAGACATTCAAGTTTCTCCTCCCACTCTCGCGTCAATGGGCAGTCCGATTGTCGTTATAACTCTTCGCAGAGGCCGCGGTATGGATGCTAGACATGGGGCGAAAAGCATGGATGCCGAGGGGAGATTAAAGTTCCAATTCCATTCATTTGTATCATTCAATGTTGCACATAGGTAATCTTGAAATGATTTTATTAAAGGGCTTATGTTCCATTTGCAGCAGTCATAGATGCCCATATGAACTGTTTGGAGCATTGAAATTTAATTTATGTACATTGTAACAGGACAATCATGGCATTGTGGAAGGCCAGAGCACTAAGTCCGGAGCAGAAGGTGCGGATTGTTGAAGAAGAATCAGAGACCAAAGTCTTGCATTCTGAAGAGTCTGGTTCCTACTTGGGTACTGAGGATGTCAGCATGTCAGAGGTTTATTCATCTTCCTTATGTGTACCGGTAAGCTTTCCTCTTCCTTATCCGTTCACTCCATCTCTTTTATGCTAAGTTCATTGATTCACTTGTAAAAAATCAGAAGCTTCCATCGTGGCCTTTAGATAGAACAAAAATGGAATATTTTATGAGTTTTATCGGGATGATTTTGACGACCATGGTGGTCTCTCCGTTTTGTAGACCAATTTCTTGATGGAATTGTTTGGTGGCGGTGACTTGGAGCGTAAAATCATGGAGAAAGCCGGTAGTCTTAGTTACTCGTACACCCCATGGGAGTCGGAGAAACCTGACGTATACCAGAGACAAATCTATTTCAGATTCGATAAGAGCATATCACGCTATCGAGGAGAGGTCACCAGCACACAGCAGAAGTATCTACTTCCTGATAAGAAAGGTTGGATGGTGGAGGAAGTTATGACACTTCATGGTGTACCACTTGGCGACTATTTCAATGTACGGAATGTCTATTTATCGTAGCAATGTCCTTTTGTTGGAGTTATTCGCTTTGAAATGCCTGTTTGAGAGTGTTGTTTCATCATCATTTGCAGCTTCACTTGAAGTACCAGATTGAAGACTCGCCCATAAGTCAGAAAAGCTGCAATGTGCAAGTTCTCTGTGGGATTGAATGGTTGAAGAGCACCAGGCACCCGAAGCGCATGACGAAGAACATCTACTCCCATCTGGAAGATCGCTTGAAGGTTATGTTCAGTGTCCTCGAGAAGGAGTATGCAAATGTATAACACATGAATGCCGGTTCTTCTGCCTTCTGCAACATTCAGTCTGAATGAAAACTGAAATATTCCATTAATCATGTGGATTGAGAATCAGGGGGAAAACGGCTTACAATGGTCAGTAAATATCTGTACAGTTGACATCCATGGTCTGCAGCCTCTTGTGTGTTGCACAGGGAAAACTTATATCTGGGTAAATGCGGGTTTTCCAGCTTGCGAGTGATGGAAGAAAGCCAGGGCTGGAGAATAATGTTTGTTATCATGTTGTTTGTAGGTTAGTGTATTGAGGTTGTTGTACTGTAAATTAATTTAGGTTTTAGATTGCTTGTTGCCGTTTGCCAACAATATGTTGAAGTTGTAATTGTGAGAGAGGTGGCATTTTCATGAGGTACTTCCACCATGCTTTTCATGTATAATAGAGCAATTTTTATCGTAGAAGGGTGGAATGAAATTTTGTAGTTATAGTTAGACTTTTGTATAAAAATTGATATTACAAATTTTCCACATTTTAATGTATAATAATTTACAGTTATTTCTTATATTTGACTTTATCGTGATCGTCAAAATTATACGAAGTTAAAAAAAAAATCGGAAAAGTTTTTTGTTTTTATTAAAAAAGAAGCAAGGGTGTATTGATAAAGAAAGAAATAAGATTCCAAATGATATTTGTCTAAACACCAATTCAATGTTCAATGGAATTATTGTATGTCAATCCAATTAACTTTGTAACTTCTCTTTAAGTTCTTCAATCTATGAATAAAAATAACCTTAGTTTTTATCTTTCATTTATTGGATTCCTATAACTCATTTTCAAAGAATAACACTCCAACTTTAACGAGTAATTGATCACTTCAACTTTCAAATTTTAGTAACTGAATCACTATTTGTCGTCCTAAATTTTAAATTTTATCGCCCTAAAAAGCATTAAACTGACATTCTTACCCCTAGTCCCAATTTTAACATAGTGGTCGGCGAGTCGAGCTCTTTCGTCCTCTGACCGCTTCTGCCTCCTGCCGTTGTCGGATTCTTATCTCCGGCGCTGCCCACCTCAACCTCATTGTCGATGATGCTCTTTTTCTACGACGGGAGTTGATCCCAAACAGGAAGAGGAAGAAAAAGGCCGCCCCACCTCCTCTGTTATTGTTGTCGCTGTCGGAGTTCCTCCCAAGCAGGCGGAAGAAGAACGAAGAAGAAGGCCGTAATACTCCTTCTGTTGGCGCTGATGAGTAGGAGGAAGAAGGATACAAAACAGCTTTCATGTATATATTTACTGTTACCATTTGTACATATACTTATAAATATTATTAATAATAATTGCCATTATGGTTTTGCAGCAAGAGCATCGTGTCCTACATAAAAGGCAAAACAACTTTGAGTACTTGATTAAATGGTAAGGAGAATGATCGTTCAGAGCTTTGGGATTGAGAAATACGTGGATGAACACCTTAACTCTACAATTTATCGGTTGAGAATGATGAAATACAAATAAAGTAAATTTAAATTAGTTAGGACGAAAAATAAGGAATTTTAGAGCGACGAATAGCAATGCTCTTTAGTAATCCATCCACTTCACCAATCACTCGATCAAAATGAAGCCTTAATTATTAATGAGGCTTGCCAAGTGGTATAAAAGGACTTAATTGGATCATCAAAAAGTTTAAGGAATTGAATCATCCATAATCTAAAACTTAGGGGACTCGTGGCCTCCCTAACCAGAATATACACGGAAAATTTGCAAAAGTTCTCCTGCAAGGGAGTTCTATCATCTATGGTCTGTCCGTAGTCTGCACTACGTTTCATCGCCGACAATCCTCTTGTCCCCGTCTCCCTCTCTCTCTCAGGTGACCCTGAATTAATGTCTCTCTCTCAAACCCTAATTCGAGATTCCAACTTCTCATAATCTCAGAAAAATTCAATTTCCTCCTTTCATCTCCGTACGCAAGAACTTCCCGCGAAAAAAGAAAACGCCTTTCGCTCTCACTCTCCTCCAATCCGATCCAGGTTTTTATTTGTATCGATAAATATGCAGAGCTTTTAGCAGTGTTTATGTTGATTGCTCATGGAGTTCCAATGCAATCCTTAAAATTATTTTTGTGGTTTCTGTTTCACCTTCTCCCGGTCGCTCTTCATAAAGTTGAAAGCTTTTCCACTTTGGTTAGTTGGAGTTAGGGTTTGGATGTGTTCATTTTGATTGCTTGATGGGGACTTGAAGTTACATTCGCTACTTGGGTTTGCTGTTAGTTGCTCTTTGTGTGGAGCTGGTTACAACGAAAAAAATGTATGGTAGAGCTGGTCTAGAGCGATTCAAGAAAGCTCAATCTTCGGAACCATTCTCAGTCTCAGTGAGCTCAGCTCCCAAAACAAGCAAAGCTCATATCTTGGAGTCTTCTTCTTCTTCCTCTGCGACCAGTTCTTCAGTTCAATATCCGCAACCAAATGTTGCTCAAAAGCCTACTGTGCCCGAGGCTGGGCCATTGTTGGGTCTTGCTGCTCAGCAGCACACTCAAGTTGGAGGCGGGCAGTCGACTTGGCAGCCACCGGACTGGGGGATCGAGCCTCGATCGGGGGTTTATTATCTCGAAGTATTGAAGGATGGTGAGGTTATGGACCGGATTAATCTCGATAAGAGGAGGCACATATTTGGAAGGCAATCCATTACCTGCGATTTTGTGCTGGATCATCAGTCTGTGTCTCGTCAACATGCTGCTGTTGTCCCTCACAAAAGTGGAAGGTTTGTTCCTCGAAATGTCTCTCGTGTATTGAATTTGGCATTAGGGCAATCCAGCATGTTAGAAAGCTATCTAATTAACATAACTAGATCTGATACATTGAGAAGGATGCAGTAGAACTTAGCTTGATTTGGTGATTTGACGTGCCTTTTTTCAGAGGATTCTTATTTTGAAGTTCTGTATTCTGATTAGCGAAGAGGAATTTTGGCTGAATTCTTCAAATGAAAGGATGTCAAACTATAGATGCCATGTAGAATCATATAGTAGGTAGAATTAGGAATCTCAGAATCGGAAGATACTCAGAGTTGTGCGAAATAGCTATAAATTTTGAAACTTTTTTGTTCATATTAGGGTGATGAAGATCAGTCTGTGGAAAGCATCAAACTTATGAACTATCACCACTTTCTCAATAACGGTACATTGATCTTATCCATATTCTATATCCATTAGGCTTAACCCTGTTAAAATATCCAATCGTCAAAACTGGGGTAGAAGCTTATAAAAGCTTAAATTCTACTCCCTGATTCTATTGTTAAAAGCCTTTAGATTCCAGGAACAAAAGCTTTTGCATAGTATCATGCTACATTTGGTTGATCAACAAATAATAGGATAAGCTTTTAGGGGCTGACTATGGATTGGTAATTGATTTATCTCCTTCGATGTGGTTTATTGACTTTGCAGCATTTATGTAATTGATTTGGGATCTGCTCACGGCACATTCGTTGCAAACGAGAGGTTAACAAAAGACACGCCTATGGAGCTCGAAGTGGGGCAGTCCTTACGGTTTGCTGCTTCAACAAGAACCTATGTCCTAAGAAAGAATGATGCAGCTTTATTCACGAGCCTTCCGCCTCCGACAGAGATCATCTTACCACCATCTCCTGATCTAAATGACGAAGAAGCAGTTGTAAATTACAACACTCAGATAAACCGGTACGGTCTGGAAAAGCTTTCTGAGCTCCCAGACTTCAAACCCAGTAGCCATTTAATCAGAAAAAAACATGACAGCCAGCAGCAGTCAGAGAGAGATGCAAAGAGGAGAAAGAAAGCAAGAGTTATGTTCAAAGATCACGTTGGTGGTGAGCTGGTAGAGGTTGTCGGGTTTTCAGACGGTGTAGATGTAGGGACGGAGCCTGGACCGGTTGGGGTCAAAGAAGGAAGTCTCGTGGGGAGATACGAATCCCTCGTGCAGAGTGTGATGATACCTAAAGGGAAAGAAGCGGCTACTTCGTCAAAGGAAAGTAGTGGTCTTTTGCAGCAAGGGGTTACTAACAAGCTGCAAGAAGTGTTGACTAAGGTCAAAACAGCTCCAACTCGGCAGAAGGGGTTGTATGATAGCCTTTATGACGAGTCGTTTTCTGGAAAACTGGGTTCATCTTGGGCGAGTTCTTTGGCCAAAGATGGTCAGGCAAAGACTATCAGTGGTTTGAGTGAGAACTCTCGGAGTAAGTTGAGCTCGTATGATGATGATGAAGATGATTTATTTGGAGACTGATAAAGGGAATCCATCTAGAGGCATGTGTTAGCTTACTTATATTTGAACTGAAGTGGAATGTCGGAGAATTGATTATTTTCGAAATTGTTGTGAAGCTGAAGCAGCCTTCAGTCCCCGGGTTCTTTTGTACATGGGGAAACTTTTTGTTGTAGGTTCATCAATCATCATGGGAAACTTTTGTTTGTAATTTGGGGTTGATGCACTTTGAAGATTTGATTCAAGCTCAAAGGACAGGAATGAAATCAAACTGTGCCACTTGCAGTTGGTTTTAGCTAGACAAAATTTTTAGCGTCTATTAAGGGCTGATTGTATTATTTCACCAGCGAAAGAGCTAAGTCATGACGTCACTCACTACACTTCCCGGGGAAATCATTACCGCGAAAATTAACAGAAAGCCAAACTAATTAACGCCATACAGATACAGCATTCCTCACCCCTCTACCTCTACGAGAAATTTCAGAACAGGGGAAGAAGGCCGGCAATGGGCTCTCTTCCGCCATCTCTCGATCTTCCTTCTGATCCCAAGCACCGTAAGCAGCAGATCGGCGAATCCACCCTCCTGGATCTCTTCAAAGCCCAGCAGAACCACCTGAATTACTTCTTCCGCTACCAAGAGGGGATCTTGTTTTGCATTCTTTCACCATTGACCCGAGGAAAAAGAAAAAGAAAATTCTTGTGCTGCCTGTATGTATTGTACCCTCCATTTTTGTATAATCATCTCATTTCTAGTTCATTCAGAGGCAGATTAGATAGATGCACAAGGAGAGAGGACTTGACTAATACCCAAAACCTATATTATGGTCCTTTGTACATAACTAGTAGTTAAGCTCCTTAACCATAGCCCTAAAAACTGTGACTTAAGCATGAAATAGACAAGCCATGGATCTCATTTCCAAGAGTTGTGGGCAAACTTTCCCTTTCTTGAGATGTTGACATGGGCTTTCACAAATACTCCAATCCTAACTAACACAAACAGAAACAACTGAGATGGAGAGTCAAGATTGGTGCATCATGGATGACACCACAGAACTCTTTTTCCTTCTAATAAAAAACATCGTTTTGAAATAAACCCCAATAGTTGGCTCTATTGACAAATACGGCATATTGTTTTCAAAATGATAAATATAATATTTGGAATATGCTTTTATTGAAAATCAAACTCAATACGTCCTACTTACTAAACAGTTGATTCAACGTGTAAGCAAAAATCATAACAAAACATTTATGTATATCACTATCGTGTAGCATTGTCATACTCTTTACGAATACAAATAAGTGGGCTATTGAACCCTTGGCAAAGATTTAGCTACTTAACAAATGGATTACATGGGTTTGGATCCCCCTCGAGATTTTATCACTTAACACCTGATTGTATTACATTTTACCTCCAGACAATATGCTTCCAAGAGGAATCTTGAAGAGAAAAGCAAGAAGCCAAAGGGGGGAGGGAATATTGCTGTGAAATGCATAGACAAAGACAAGACAAGAAACCTTCCACACACACACAAATCCCTCGACAGCATCAAAACACATATGTAGAAGAAGGCAACTTTATTGGGTGGGAAGGGATATATGTAAGAGAGAGTACTGAATTGAATGTTGCTGGTGCCTGCCTGCCTGCCTGGTGGTTTGCTGCCTTGGAGATATTTGGTATGAGACTACTGAGAGGGAGTGGTACTGTGGATCCCTAGCTAGGCTAGTAGGGCCTAATTTTGGCAATTTGGTTTGGAGTAGATATTGACCAGCTACTCCAATTTCTCTTCAAGCTTACACATGTAGTTGGTGACAACCCATAGTCATCCCCTTTCTCCTCCCTCCTCCATTTGCTTGTTGAAAACTTTTGGAGTCGACGAGAAGTACCAGTTAGGCAGTTACTAAGTTGCAATAACTTGAAGTTGTTGGAAAAAATTTAAAAGTTGGTCTCATTCATATATATGGTCGTTTGCACGTTTTGTTACATGAAAATCTACCCAGTAAACTTGAATTTGTGTGCCTTAATATTTCAGTCAACTTTAATATTGGAGTATTAATTACCTCTTACTCTTAGGATTCAAATGTCAACTCTCTTAATGAACAAATACTAAGCTAACATGTCAAGAACTTACTTCATATTGATAAATTGAATCCTTACGAGAGGCACTATAAATAACTCATATGTTTACATGTTATGTCAACCAGATGAAACTGGTCGCTCGAAGAGTGCACATGAAACTTTGGACAATAAGGAAATGATGTTATCTTTATTGTTGGGATGGAATGCTAGAACCAACGATGGAAATTTGGGATTGGGTTTCAACTGACTAGCTAGGCAGAGCTACAAAGCAAAGATAAATGCCATAGCTAGGTAGGTCTGAGAAAACTCATGGAATAATAATATAGAAGGAAAAGAGGAGCTAGGGCTTGGAGTGGAGTGGAGTGGAGTGATTATCCATCCAACTACACTCTTTGGGTTGCCTTGTCGGCCGCAAGTCCCCAACTTAGTTTAGTTACACATGTGCTTGTCATTTTTTACGTAGCTATGGAATCTACTTCTTCCATCCCCCGCATACTTCTTTTTACAAGTTAAAAAGATAGTTTGGGTTTCCTTGCTAATCAACCACTGTTTGATGATAATTACATTAGTATCATACGACTTTATAAGGAGATTTTGCATGCATGTATATAAGAAGGTATGTAGTTGGTTATTATATATGTTCTTGGGGCTAGACCTTATAAAGTGATTAACTCTATGCTTAGAGTAGCTCAAGGTGTGTGGAAAGCATGTTCTAGTCTTGTTGTTTGGGGCTTAATAATTCAGAGAGCGAGACTTGTTGAAAGTCATATGAGAGAGATGTGAATGTCTAATTGGTTGGAATTAACATACAATGAAAAACTTGTAAGATGATTTTGAAGTTAAGTGTATCATTCTACTTGTGCGGGTGAAACATGAAAGAAAATATATAAGGAGAAGTGAGAGCGAACTCACACCATATATGCATAAGAATGTATATGATCAAACAAAGAGAGATACATATAATCAGAATGTTGCTTTTAGAATTAATTTTTTTTAATCTCTTCACGATGAGAAGGTAATTTCTTTTAAGTTAAGCATATCATTCACTTCTATCTAGGGCTGGGAAAATAGACCAGACCATTAGAAAAACCGTGGTCCACACCGTACCGCACAGTTTGGTCCGGACCGTAGACCGTTAAGTATGGTCTGGTCTGGTCCATGGTCTGTATTATCTTATGTTTTGATCTCTTGGTCTGTTCTAGACCGCGGTTTACCGGACCAAACCGTGGCCCCAACTGACTTGTCAATACGTGTTAACAGCCCATTCGACCACTCTCCCAACTCCTACAACGACAACCAAGTCTGAACCTTAGTTTTGTGAATCTCGTCCCTCCTTCATTCACAACCACATTTAACCAGAGAGTAAAGATAATCGTGTCTCCATATGACATTATGTTAATGTTTATGACGTTATGGTGCAAGTTGGGATGCTTTTACTTTGTATCTTTGTTATGTACTAAGATTTAGAGTATCAAAATTATTCATGCATGTTAGGATTAATGATTTAAGGCAAATAACAATTATTTTTCCTGGTTATTGGTTCAATTTTTTGTGTGGTTGACTAAACAAATTATTCATTTTTCGTTGAGAGTGGTCTATGTGGACCAGACCAGACCGAACCAGACCGCACAGGCGTGGTCTGGACCAGACCGTATAGTCTGTGGTCTGATCTGTGGTCTATACTTTAGCCTCTCGGTCTGGACCATAGACCGTATATATAGTCTGGTCTGGACCAGACCGCACCGTTTCCCAACCTTACTTCTATCCATGTTGATTACATTATGCACTACTATGATCGATGTTTTGGCCAAATTTCCAACCTAACTAAGTGGGTAGTGGGTACAGTTCTGTAGGTGGGGAAGAGGAATGGGTGTAGGTGAGCATCATCTTGTTGGTTAAGCATTAGTTAAATCTCTCTATTTTTGCAATTAGGTGGGCACCTTTTGCTTTGATAATTGATTAACATAGTACCATCAATCCTCAACTCCAAAAGGGAAAGTCAAAAGGTAAATTTTTCATAAACAGAATTATGTTTGGTAGTGCTGGTGGTTATAAATTAAATTGGTCATGTAAATAATCTCCTATCACCAATCACTTTTTCCCTTTTGTCATTGGTGCATAATTCTAAGCTATGGACTAGCTTATGGGGGCCAGAGGCCTTTCTTTGGTTTTCATGCATCTTTTACCATGGTGAAAGGTAATGGAAGGATAAGGGATATTCTAGTCGCAAAGGGGAACCAATAGTGGAAATCATATCAACTTCAAATACTGATGCCTTTGATTGACATGTGTGCTCAAAATTTGAAAGATCACTTAGATAACCTTAACTTCTTTTTTTAATGTCAAGAGATTAGCTAAGATTGTCTCTCTCCTTAATAGTTATTGCATTTTGTTTGCCAAATCATATGAATCTAATATAACCAAAAGAAAATTTCAAAAGTGAAAACAATTTAATGCAAAGTTGAACTCGAATACGATAATGATTACATAACTTAAAGATATGGATTAATCTGACTTGGACATTTACATTGAACCATAGTAGAAAAACACTATTTGCTAAAAGGAACTAACCTGACTAGTAACTGTACAACAACTTTTGGTTCTTGAAAACTTTAGAAACCATAAATAAAAGAGAAGGGGGGATTAGGGGTGGTCTAGAGAGTTGTTATTACAATAATGATTGTGATGAAAAAATCTATCTTGTGACTGCATAAGTTGGGACATTGTGATGAAATTAATGGATGGGAGAGGCCCCATGCATTTGTGCAATGATAATATTCTCTCACACTAATCTCCTCCTCCATTTTTCTTCCCTTCTTCTTCTTCTTCCAAAAGCCAACATCTCATCTTCTTTCATTCATTCTTTCTTACTTTTGTATTAACCCTTTCAAATCAAGTGGGTAGGAAAGAAGAATCTGCAACCTATCAACAAAATGGAGAAGGAGAAATTCAACTGAAATTGATGAACACAACCCTATGTAGATTAGTTGTAGTAAGGATTTCAACACAGATTGGATTTCTCCTTTGTCATTCAGTATCTTGTTAGGAATTTGGGATTTGTAATATATTGGTCATTAGTGTTTTTTTTTTTTACTGATAAAAATGGTATCATGAAATTTTTTATCATGACAGAAATGAAATCATAACCATTTTACAAACATGGAACAAGTCATAATTAATGGAGTAACTGATGGAAGCTATGTAACTTGGCTCTTACTCTAATAACTCCAAAACAACCGAAGACTATTGTTAGGTTCATGTGATGCTCCTTATTCCATGGAAATACAAGTTAACTAAAAATTTATTTTCTGATTAAGTTAAGACATACATTATTTTGCTTCATCTATAAAATTACCACGGAAAGATCTTATGAGTACACTAATGAGGACTTAATATGCTTAGCCAAGTACTCGTTCATATGAGAAGTTGTACCCCAAGATTGTGTGTAAAATAGGACACTTGTAAGTTGTAACTACCAACATCTATAAAATTCCCATAATATCAATCCTCGAAAAATTAATCTCACCATCGTCCTCATTATCATCCAAAGTCAAATCCACAGATAGACGGCAACAAGACAGGACACGTGGCCGACATTCAAATCAAGAAGAGCAAGAGAATGAAGGACGGAGAATATACCCAAAATTAGAGATGACAATTTCGACCTGACCCGTTTTACTCGACATGTTTGACCTGCGTTCTCGACACGTTCTTGTCTAAATTACATGTAATCTTAGTCAAATTACTTAGAATTTTCCTTTTATTGCATCATATTTTAGCTATAATAAAGTTGTAAATTAGTAAAAACCTCAATTACTCCAATAATTCAACTACAATTGTCATAATAGTGTTTGTTTTCTTAGTCTTATAATAAAAATAACGAATATTTCTAATGTTTTTTCATATAAATTGCATGCTCATTGTGTCGACCTGCCCCGACCCGCGACCCGTGATCAATTACCCGACTTGTCACGGGACGGGTCTGAGTACCAAGAAACCCACCCCGAACCTACCCAATTGCCATTTCTACCCGAAACAAGATAGTGGTGGTGTGGGGGGACATGATGAGAACAAGATAGTGGGGGGAAACATGATGAGGTGAATTTGGAATAGAGGATCCTTTTGTTTCTCATTTGTTTGTACATTTTGCTACCCTATGAACCCCACACCAGAATAAAGGTGTTGGAAATGGAGGGGAAAGAAAGAAATAGATTGCACAAATTATTTTTTGATGAAATTAAAGGAGAGAACATAAAATGGAAAAAAATGAAAGTTGAAAGTCGTCAATCTCTCACAGGCAAATAGCAATTGCCATTTGCCACCCACTTACAATTTTTGTTGTAGGGTTCTTGAGATTTTTTACTATTGTGGGAGGACCTAAAAAATTTGGGTGTCACACATTTTCAATTGGACAAAAGAGCATAATGGAAGAATATAAGGTGGTTTCATCATCCCTTCATGTTTGCAACGATTTTAGCATGCATGATATTAAAACATGCCTCTATTGAGTTCAAATTTGGGATCTTTTTGAGGTGCAAAGTTATTTTAGCCACAACTTAACTTATATTTTTATTTTGATTATTCGAGAGATAAATAATAATAATACAATAGCAATTACTTATTGCAAGGTGGGGAATAATAAAATTTCCACCAATTTGATATCACTGAACTAGTGATATAATAGGTTAATACATTTTTGCAACAAATTGTTTGAGATGCAAGTTAATATTACTTGGGTTTATTTATTCGTATTTGTAAGAATATTTATAAACAATGTTGTAACCCCGATTACCTTACAATTAGAAATTTGGAAAAAAAAAATTAAATTTCTCATTCATCCTCATAAAAGAAACCCCCAACCCTTAATATCCTTATTGACTAATCCCATCAAGCCACTCTCTTTCTTTCCCAATAATCTTGGGGGTGACTGTGACTCCGACTCCGTGAGGCATTAAAAAGAGTGACTCGACTCCTATAGTAATGTCACACAGACACCAAAGACTCACAATTCACAAACCATTCCATTCCACCACCCCAAAGTTCCTTCCTTTTTCTCTTCCCTTTCCCCCTTTTGCCTCAATTCCTCGCCCCTTTACTCTCTTCTTCCCTGATTTCCATGCATGAGATCCAATACTCAACATTTCTTCCTTTCGTAATTCTATCTCCAGTTTAAGTCGTGAGTTCTTCATGTCGTCGTAATTTGCTCCCGTTACAGTTATAAGAGTATACTCTTTAGCAGCAGCCGCCTCTGTGAACTGGGCTCTGATAAGGAATTCGACGCCGGCAGTGGCAGGGGACGCCGGTTGTGGGCAGGGCCGGGGGAATTTTGATGATCGGTGGTGGCAGTCGGCTCGCAGCTATGTCCACGAATTTCATTTGGTAGATGCTTGGCGCGAAACTCTACAGTGCCTATAAGGTGTTTGTGGTAAGTTCCCTGTGAGTGAAATGTTCTTGTTCGTTTCTGCTGTGTGTGCTGTTTATGTTTTTTGGTTTGTTTCAAGAACAGTCCAATTGGTGATGGCTTCTAATTAGCTTCTGTTGGGTGTTGGGATATATATATATATATAATTGAGGGTTTGATTTGATTGACAAATAGAAACCAATCTCTGGCTTGGTCTCGTTATAATTGTCTCCCCACTCAAACAGCCAACGCACAAAAGCCTCCAAGGCACTCTTTTGTTTTGTTCTATGCAGAAGAAGATTCTGCCAATGCTTTGCTACAGGAATTGTTTGTTAATATAATGGAAAAAGAAACAAACTTTACTTCATCGTGTTCTTTTCTGAGAGAGAAAAATTCTATCAGGATATGGACAAGGAGAAAAACTTTGTAAACTCTCTGGGTCCTTATTGACAACTTTTCTTCTTTATCAAAGTTCAAAAGGGGAGCTGCTAACAGAAGCAGCTAAAGTCTGCATATTCCCAGTGTGGTTTTGGCCTTTGGCCATGATTCTGGATTGATGACCATGCATGACATAAGCATTTCAATTCTTTTGATCGCCTTTTCTTTTGTTAGAGTTTTCTGTATGGTATTGTGAACTTATGAAGCTGACTAGCTATATCTGAATAATTAAGCCTAAGTTAGTTTTCAATTTTCTTGTTAAGAATCAAACCTCTTGCCTTTTTCTTCAGGATCTTTATGCTTAGCTATATCAGCTCTGGCAGCTGCCTTTAATTTTCTAACCCACCATTGATGGCTTAGGTTTCCAACCAATGAATGGTGATTAAAGCACCCTGGACCAGTATATTAGCTAGTCCCAACCTTCTATGGACCACCTAAATACAATGATCATAATCCGAAATTCTTCCATCCTGAAAACTGAAAATAGGGCAATTGATGATGGATAGACAGATATCTATATTAGATTCGATATGGATGAAGGATGATGGTTTCTTATGTGATCCTCTTAATTGTTGCAAGTAAAATTGTACTTAAATTTCAGCTACTTAATACAGCATTCATTGGAAAGCTAGCAGCGCATTTTGCTCCAACTTCTCTTCCTTCTTTTAGCCACCATGTCCAAGTTGCCCGAGCCCCTTGAGATGGGCACAAAAGTAACTTCACCCTTGCCCTCAACCTTTGTTCTGCCGTTATTTATGTGGATGTCATGCTTAACCATGCATCCCTACAACCCTTAATAGAGTAGGATAACTATTTTAGCAAAGCGGGACAGAGATGTTAATGCTTCCTATTTATACACAAGTGACCACAAAAAATTTTCCTGGTTCCATACTACTGCTCCATCATTTATGAACTTTAAGCCACCAAATAGTCATTGTGTGATACCTCAACATGTTTTCGGTTCGTCCTAGATGCTCACACTGTTAAATGAATACTTGGAAGGTCAAGTTCAGTATGCTAGTAAGATCTTTAACCGTATAGAAATGTCATACTATTTGCCAATAATCACGAGATGTTATTTTCTTTCATGTGTGGTTGGTCAGTGTATTGCTTTCACTTCAATCTTCCACCATTTATTGCAAGTACGTAGATATGGTTGTCCTATTGGTACTATTTTGTTGGAGTGTACTCATCAGTCACCAACATTCATCAGAATAATTTACAGTATCAAAATACAAAATTATATTTTGACGGAAATTTGAGAATTATGGATGCTAGTGGCTGATTGGGTGATTGCTGACGCCAAAGAAAATTTATTAAGGTGCACGGCCGTTTTTTGCAGCCACGAGACAAGGGGGTTTTCAGAACGTTCAGTTCCTTTGTTTGAACTGTGTCAGGAGTTTATAGCACAAGAGTGCACAATGTACACTAGCAGCCAAAAGAAGAGCAATTTAATGCAACTCCAACCCCATATTTCTCTAGAAAGTTGAACTTCTTTGTAAGCTCCGCAAGAGCTTCATATGGCATTGCACGCACTTAAGTCTTGAATAGAAATTACCTGAATTTCTTTTCTTTCGAACAGATGAAGCTACGATGTTCCATGTATGAAAGGTTTTCTTCTTCTTCAGAGACTGGTGAAGATGATGGCTTTGTTTTTGGCCTAAGCTTAAAGAAGAGGTAAGGTCTCTATAACTTTGTTCGTGAATTTTGAAGGTGAATTATTCTCAACTTGCTACGAAATTTGTCATTTCTTTCCTAAATCTCTCTTTGTTCATGCATATGAATGATGATGAACAAATTCCCTAGAAATATTAGCCATCTGGTGTTGCAGATGCTAGATCACCTATATTTTGTCCCTTTCTAAATGGATTGCTTCGAAACTTTTGCCTATCATTATTCTGTCTTACCTTCTTCAAACCCAGGAAGCTGCATTAAATAAGTTCAATGAAACTGCAGTTGCAAGTTTGAGTTTTGACAGAAACCGCGACTTTCTTTTTTGGAGAAACAATTTAAGCCAAGTTTTCGTCTTTCTTCTTCATCTTCTCTCCCTCTCTGTCACAAGCAACTGTTTCAGTCAAAGGTCATTAGATAGCTTTTCCTTGGATGATTGTACATATTGAACCGCTAAATGCCAAGCTGTCCCTTCCCAAACTCACTTTTTCTCGTCCTAATCTTCTTTGCCTTACTTTCTTTAAGATTGTGGGGAGCAAAGTTACAGTAAAGGTGGTTAATTTTCTTCAAGATAAAGCATATTGCTGGCTGGCATGCCCTCTTAATTGATTCTAGGAAAAGAAGACTCCCAAGAGAAAATGAAGTTTATGAAACTTGGAACCCGGCCAGATACCTTTTATACAGAAGAGGCAACAAGGTATACATTACTGTCTTACTGAATCTTCCAAAAGAGCATCAGAATCAGGAAATTCTTATGTTAAGTGAATCTGACTGCAATGCTATATGCCTATATCTACTCAGATAAATTGAATTTGCTATCGAAATGCAGGTCCTTGGCATCAGAGATCCCCAGTGACCTTGAAATCAGAATCAACGGCGTTACTTATTTGCTCCACAAGGTACGAATTGATAAAAAAAATCACAATGCTATCTTCTAGATTTTGGTATCCCTATACTCACAACTGATTTTGCTGTTCTTAGCTGCAGTTTGCACTCCTTCCAAGATGTGGGCTCTTACAAAGGCTCTGTTCTGATATTCCTGAATCCACCACTGTCACAATGGAGCTCCACGACATTCCTGGAGGGGAAGAAGCATTCGAGCTTTGTGCCAAGTACTGCTATGGAATAACGATCAGTCTCAGTGCCCACAACTTTGTGCCGGCATTCTGTGCTGCTAAGTTCCTTCGGATGACAGAATCGGTTGATCAAGGCAGTTTTGTGCTTAAGCTCGAGGCTTTCTTCAACTCGTGTATCCTTGAAGGTTGGAAGGACTCTATCACAGCTCTCCAGACTACGGTGAAGCTGAATGAATGGTCTGAGAATCTGGGGATCATCAGGAGATGCATCGACTCCATTGTTGATAAAATCCTCACGCCTCCTGCTAAGGTTGGTTCTGGCAGGTTTCCATCCCATCATCTCCCTTTCTTCTCATTGTTTTAGTGACCATACAACCACAACACCTTCAAAAACTTTCACCCTATTGGCTTACTGCTATTTGGTGACCAAAACATTGCAGGTCAGATGGTCATATACTTACACAAGACCAGGGTTCAACAAGCACGAGCAATCCGTCCCAAAAGATTGGTGGACAGAAGACATATCAGACCTCGACATAGACCTCTTCAGATGCATCATCACAGCCCTGAAATCAACGTACCTGCTGCCACCTCAGCTCATTGGAGAAGCATTACATGTGTACGCCTCTCGTTGGCTTCCAGACACCACAAAAATTCGCCCCTCGGAAAGCTCAGAACCCGGAGAAGTAGTGTCAGACAAGGAAAGTCAGAGAAGAGTCCTTGAAACCATCGTGAGCATGATCCCTGTGGACAGGGGCTCGGTATCCATCGGCTTTCTTCTCAGGCTTCTTAACACTGCAAATTACCTGGCCACGTCTCCTGCTACAAAGGCAGAGCTCATAAGGAGATCAAGCGTGCAACTTGAGGAGGCAACTTTGAGTGACATATTGTTCCCTTCACATTTGGGTCAGCAGGTTTATGATATTGACTCAGTTGCAGCTGTGCTTGAGAGTTTCTTGGTGGTTTGGAGACGTGTGTCGCAGGAAGCTTCTGTGGAAGAGAGTCAGGTTGTGGCATCAATTCGGAGGATCGGAAAGCTCATTCATTCTTACCTTCAAGTGGTGGCAAAAGATCCTGACATGCCCGTGTCAAAGTTTGTTTCTCTTGCTGAAGCTCTACCGGATGTTGCAAGAAGAAACCACGACGAGCTTTACAAGGCCATCAACAACTATTTGAAGGTATGCCATATGTCTCACATTATGCAAAATACACTAGCATTTAGCTATGTGGAAGAAACAATGCAAAAAAATATTGGTCAACCCGAATGACTTATGTCTGAATCATATCGAATCTTCATCCTTAGTATCATATTTCAAAAAGTGCCGATATATGCTTATGAACAAAAACTTTCTGATCTTATAAGTTTCTAACTTCCCGATTACTTTCAATCAATGGTTAATCAGGAGCATCCTTATTTGAGCAAGGCAGATAGAAAGAGACTCTGCAGGACGTTAGACTGTCAGAAACTGTCACCAGAAGTTCGAGCCCACGCTGTCAAGAACGAGAGGCTGCCGCTAAGAACTGTCGTTCAAGTTCTCTTCTTTGAGCAGGAGATCAAAGGTGGTGGTGGTGGTGGTGGTTCGAACAGCAGAATGTTGTCTCAGGAACTTTCCTTTAACGGGAAGCAGCCGGCACCATCAGCAATGGCTGCTGAAGATTTGAGTAGTAAGCTACATTTGAAGAGTTCAACACCAGAGAGCAGTAGCATAAGGAGTAATAAGCATGAGAGGGTGAAAAGACCAGATAGTAGGAAGGGGAAGGTGGAAGATGAGAGAAATATCTTGGTGAGAGGGGAAATAGAAGAAGAGGTAGAGAAAGGGAAAGAAGGAAGCAAGTTGGACAGGAAGAGAATAATGGGGAGCAGAAGTGGATCATCAACCCATGGAAGGGATAAAGGTAGGGATAGATAGGTTAAGGTAGCAGAAGTAGTTGTTCATTTTGAGCGCCAAACTAATTTCATAGTTGGTAGTTTCTGTTCTTTCGTTTGTGTAAAAAGTGAGGAGGGGGGAAAAGAGCAAGAGAGTTATTCATGTTGGGCAGTAAAAGAAAATGTAGAGTTCCTTTTTATATGATGAGGCCTTGTGATCGGATTGATCAATAATTAATGTTCAAACTAGTTGTTTCTAATAGAGACTGTAATAATAATACCATAACCAATTTGCTATCTGTTTAGTACACAATTTAACGGATACAACTGATCATACGACGAACTCAATCGTCGTCGGTTAGAGGGATGTTGTTAGCCCAGCCTTGATCAGCCTGTGCCTTGACGAACTCTGCCAACATCTTGATCTCTTCATCCTTCAGCCGTGGTCCAAACGTGCACTGACCTCTTGGACTGCAAGTCTCCCCAAATCCCTGCAACGGAACCAAATCGCAGCATAACCCAAGTAGAAAGCGTGAGATCAGATCATGTGCAATTAGGAGAGGTTCAGGGTTAGTCATCATTGTGGGCGAGAGGCAGTACCGGCATTCTTCCTTTGCCGAAGTAGGTAATTTGGTAGATGGCGTCTTCAGTTTCTACTCCATTTCTGCAAAACCATTCGAAAGCCAACAGCAGAACAGATGATGCCCTTTGCTTTGCTTATTCAACTCAACCTCCACCCCTTCTTCTTTTTTACCTTTGCAGGTCGTTCGTGAAGAGTGATGCGCCCTAGACATTTGCAAAGCGTTACCCACGTATTTAAAGTTACGCATAACTCAATGCTGCAATCTTGACTGCACTCGCTCACCGATTTAATGATGTTCCCGCCGCCATCGTGACACCCGATGCAACTCCGTCGGAACAACGTGGCCCCTCTCTGTATTTCCGCACCACTCATTGCTGCTGCCGACACTACAACAAAACGCAATTAAATACGACGGCGAATGAAGACGACGGAGAATCTGGAGCGGGGCAGGAGGATACCGGGGGAAACGGGCGCGAGGGGGGATAAAGCGAGGATTGCAGCGATTACCGGAGGAGCAAAGCGGGTGATCAGTATATTACTACTATTCCCTTCCATTTCTGCCTACGAAATCAGCGTACGTAAGCCGTAACTATTCAAAGCAACCACCGTGAATTACCCCGGAAAGAGATAGAGAGGATGGAAGGAAGTACCTTTGGGAATCGGAGGCTTGAGCTTCCGGGCGCGACGGCCGATGACAGGAGCCACATCTTCGCGCGGCCGGCGGCGATGGATGCCAGAGCAAGAGCAGAGAGAGAGCAGCAGTGGTGTGCCAGTGTCTGTCAGAATGTTGAGGATAAGAATTAACAAGGTTTGGTTTTGGTACCCGCGTTTGGGCTTTTGGGTTCGTATTTGGGCTTGGACTGAAGTCGGAATATCCAAGCTCTAAAATGGAATCATGGAATATTTGCATTGGATCTGGGCCTGCTAAATTGTCATTCTTGTTCAAATCATGAAAGGTTTCAAGGAAATAAGACTCTTGGCTGCCTGATATGATAGCCCTTCAATTCTCATGTGGGTCTAAACTTTCACCCAACCCTCTCAACTTCAATGAGTATCTACCAAGGTTGTCCGGGTTGAGGAACCGATCGAGCTAGTGGGTCAAGGGTTAATGGGTCAACCGTTTTAGTCCGGTTTGGTCCGGAAATATGGAAAGAGTCATTATATTGTACTTTCCTTATAAATTATATCAAATCTTATCTAACATATGAGCTATAACATATATTATTATACCAAAATAACATATCGTACTTAGATCTAGCATAAAGTGAAAATTCACACACGTATATACATCAATATTCAAATATTCAACTTAGGATTCCAAAAATTGAGTTAGGCGGAAAAAAAAATCGGAAAATATGCGCATTTCGCAAATCAAAGAAAAAAATGACACAATTTGACCTTCAACCCGGTACCGTATAACGGTCGACCCGGCAGGTGTGTGCGGCCCGTTTTTCTCACCGAGTCAGGGTCAAAGTGGTCGACCCGCGGGTTGACAACCTTGGTATTTACTTTCAACACCCATGTGTCATGTGTGTGTCTTCAATTTTGATGTGCAACCACTCTTCTCAAGTTCTCAGTCCAATCAGAGAGAGAGAGAGTACAACCAATTGAGCCTGATCTTAAGTACTCTTTTTATAAGGGTGATACCACTATATGAATTCATTGATGTGTTCATAATTGAGCATATGATATGATTTTCTCATACTTTTATATTAATACATCATGGATTCATTATCATATCACAGCCGTAGTACAATTTTAACATCAACCAATTAATAGGTCGATTTAAGTAGTGTTATAATCACATAATTGCATTGATTATTCTCTTTTCTATAAGGAATACAAATACATCCAACAACTCAAACAAATACAATTTCCAAATAAACAAACCAAAGCCAATTTTAAAGATAAAATAATTGGACAGAAGAACAAAAAAAAAAAAATCAATGAAAACCATCATTTAATAAAATTCTATAGGTAGCGGCTGCACTGTTTTAATTAAGACCAAGAGCAAAGCCCTGTCTCAGTCTGCCCTCTCCAGTTTTCTTACTGTTGTTTGCATCTACGTTACCTTTTACCTTCTTTCCCCCTTTATTCAATTATTCTAAGGAAAATAATCCCAATAAAACAATCTCAGTCCCAATCATTTACTTGCTCATACGTCAATGGAGGAATAACAAAACACAACTTACAAATCTCCTTTCTTTTTCCCCCTTTCGCTTATTTTATTTTATCTCTTCCCCCTGCCGTACATCTGCCCCAAAACCTTCTCTTCCCCTCTCGATCCATTGAGACACCGAGAAACCGCAGATGTCTCAGACTCTCAACTCTCCCCCTTCCCTTCTTATCTCTGCTTCTGCTCAAAGGTGTGCCCTTTACTCTCTCTTCTGCTCGGTGTTGCGCCGTTTCTCTTAGACGGGTCCTCTCAATAGTCTCTGATCCCTTGTGGGTTTGTGTGATTTTGGCGGGTTGTGTTCTTCTGGATCAGAAAGTTTGTGTCTTTCCCCCGGTGGATGATCGTAGGCTATTTCGTTAGGTTTAAATTGAATTGGATGAATTGTTAGTCTCGAACGCTGTGATTTTGGTTTTTAGCTGAGATTCGATCCATCGCGTACTGAGATTTCCAGTTGATCGTTTGTTTGGCTCAATTATGGATGAATGATGTCTGTGGAACTCAAATTTTGTGACAGGTATGGATTGTGCTGATATTTGGGGACGAACATGGAGCAGTTCCTAGACGGATTGAAGCATTTGTGTGCGGCAATTGCGAATTGTTGTGATGCTGATTTGTATAAGCAACTCAGAGGGCTGCAAGATCCAGAGGCTCTTGCAAGAGAAACAGTTTGTATGTCTAACTAACTAACTAACTCTTTTTTCTTTGTAAATTTATCAATCTTATGGGCAGAGAGGCTGGGTAGAATTTCTGGTCGTCTGTGAAAATTGTGTCTAGTAAATGTTATTGCTCACTGTGGCTGAATTCTAGGCCATTGAACGAGGTGGTGTGCTTTTGGTGAATGCAGTTAGTGTTAGCGAAATAGAAGCACTTTACGAACTTTTTAAGAAGATCAGTAGCGCGGTGATAGACGATGGTTTGATCAACAAGGTAAGCAAAATTACTCATAATGGAGAATTAGTTGTTAGGCCTTTAAACATTTATTGCTCGTTGAATACAGCAATCACTCGGTATTATGAACATTTTTGTTGCAGGAAGAATTTCAATTGGCCTTATTTAAAACGAATAAGAAAGAGAGCTTATTTGCGGACCGGGTATTCTTCTTTTCATTTAACCTACAGACTATCACTTCTTGTTCTGTCCACTGTTGATGTCCTTTCCTTTCTCTTGTGTGATGTTGAACTTTTCTCACCAGAGTATAACTCTTTTGTTCATATCTGAATCTTTTGAAGGTATTTGATTTGTTTGACTCGAAACATAATGGTGTGCTTGGTTTTGAAGAGTTTGCACATGCCTTGTCAGTCTTTCACCCCAATGCACCTATTGATGATAAGATCGAATGTAAGTGACTAGATTCATGCTTCATGTAAGTTACATGGTTTTTTTTTCACACACGGCCCTTTTGTGCCTGCAACCCACCTGTTATGTTCTGGTTCATTGATCTCTTGAATTCTCCAAAAAATATTTTGCCTCGTTATAATACTTGGATGTATCTAAAGATGCCACACTTGTTATCTTCTGCAGTTTCATTCCAATTATACGATCTCAAACAGCAAGGCTTCATTGAGAGGCAGGAGGTATGAAACGCTAACACTCATAATGAAACTTCAAGATACAGCAAAATTTGATTTGAAGCAGTTCCATTAGATTGAGTTAATTTCTCTTCATTATTCATGGTGAATCGCTTGAAAAACTGGATGTCATCTAGCTCCAAATTTATCAAGATTACAACACTTCAAAATTTCGTCAATTATGCCCTTTTTCTTGTTAACCAATGATTATTGCATGTGAATGGCCTGAAAGTTTCCAACTTCCTTCATTACAACATCAATGCCTTAGAAATCCCTTTGATGATTGTCAGGATTAATTTGTGCAGGTGAAGCAAATGGTAGTGGCCACACTTGCTGAATCCGGTATGAATTTGTCGGATGATGTGATTGAAAGCATCATTGACAAGGTACCACTACTCTTATATAATTAATCTATTTGAATGCTGCTAAATTGTTCGCATGTGTTATCAATATGTCATGTTCCTTTTGTCGCATATACTACTCAGAAACTCGGGATCCAGTATGGTTGTTGATGCATGTTTTGTATTTTAGACGTTTGAGGAGGCCGATACCAAGCACGATGGTAAGATTGACAAGGAAGAATGGAGAAGTCTTGTCTTGCGACATCCTTCACTTTTGAAGAACATGACTCTTCAATATCTCAAGTGAGCTTTAACTTTTCAAATTTCCAGCTTTTTGTGTATACACAACTGGTCGACTAACCAACTCCTATCGTTTCTCTAATAGGGACATCACAACAACGTTTCCAAGTTTTGTGTTTCACTCACAAGTCGATGATACATGATCTTCAAGTTGCATTTTGATGGAGAAGAGAAAAGTAGGAACCGCGAGATTTTTCGTTCTGGTTTCTTCTTTGGCGCAGAGGTTCGCTGATAGAGAGAAGCAAAATTTCATTCGTATTTTAATGACCGGGGTCTTGGATTGAATGGGAAGGCATTTTATGCTCTGATGAACAAATGAGATGCAGTTCTTTCTTTCTTTGTTTTTGGGTTCATTATGTAATGCTTTGTAAGGACAAAGGCATAGAAATTTAGAAAGCTTTGTAGTTGCGTGGGATTTTTTTGTTACTATGTGGAATAGATTGGAACAACATCACCAGATTTTTTGGAGTGAAAACTGTTATCATGCTCATTCAAGCAGAAGGGCTTCTATAATTTAAGACCAGATGGTGAATTATGTGATTGACCAGGACGATGAAAATCCGGCCGAAAATGTATTTGATTTGATTTATATGAGTGCAACTCAGTCTATTTATCTGTGTAGCCAGTCAAATCTGACTCGAATGTTGATTCGAGATAGCTGAATTTCTGCTCATCCTAATCCTGCTTGAACTTTGTAACACAGCAAATGAGAGGGAGGGAGAAGATGTATCAAAATGGAACATGATCTGAAACTTCTCTTTTATTGATTGTGTTTACACAATATAAAAGGCCTGGACTGCACTTCTGTCAAATGAAACTACGATATTGCAGCAGTCAAGGGAACTCAATTCATTAACCGGGGAAAAAAAAGGGAACTCAATTCCCACTTTCCCAGATTGGAAGCTTAACTCAACTACACAGCAACATCTGATATCCTAATCCAGGAACTTCCTAGCCCTTATTATGAAAGAACTGGCAGCGCCTCAGTATACATTATTTTAAGATATCAGTAGTCAAGGGAACTCAATTCCTCTTTCTCCACATACTGGAAGCTTAATTGAATTGCACAGCAACATCTTCTCCTATTCCAGGAATTTCCAAGCCCTCATTATGAAAGAACTGGAAACGCCTCAGTATACCTTACTTTAGTTATCATGTAAGCTTAACCCCTTCGCTAATAGCAACAGTAGCTGGCTAGCTGTAATCAACAGAATTTGGCAGGGGCTAGTTTCATCTGTGTATGCTACTCACCCATATAATCTCTGATGGTTATTGATAATCCCTTCTTCCTCTACAGTCTCTTCACTTTTTTTATGCAACCCCATACTTCTCTCCAGAAATCCTCTCTTCATCAACCTTGCATACTTCACCCTGACATCAACAAGAGGATGCTTCTCCTGGAGCTCTCCACGATCATATCCTTCTCTGAGAACAACAGTCTGAGTATCGCACTTCTTCGATATGTAAAACACGCCAGGATGGCGCTCGAACACCTTGGTAAACTTCTGAGGCAAACGCAATGATGTCCTTAGATTGCTGACATTCTTCCTCTCGGTCATCTTCTCCAATGTCAGATGAAGCAGCTCATGAAACACTCCCACAATCCTCTTCTCCGACACATCTGTCCTCACATCCAAACACGATGGATCAACATAAGGCGAAGTATAAGGAAGCTTCTGCCACTCTTCTAACCAAACCATGCTCTTTCTTTTTAACCCGAATCCTCTGGTGAACCCAACTGGAAACCTTAAGCAACCATGTTCTAGCTCTTTTTGGGGAGCCTTCCTCTGCAACTGCGAAACAGCGAGTTGATCATCCCATATTCGGAGCTTCAACCCTAGACGATCATCAGGGAAGCGAATCAAACAGAACTTATCGGGATGGTGCAATGCTAAGGAATCATGGTAATGGTAAGGCAATCCCAAGTCCCATTTCAGCTGGTCAATGGTCTGGAAAGGTAGAGACCTGTCCTTGGTGAGCATGAGAAGCCTGCAAAGCCTCTCTATGAGATCGTTTCTATTTTGATCCATTGCATTTAGCTCTTCCTGGTGGAGATCCAATGCCTCAGGAGTCAATTGGAAGGAAGGTACCCGTGTTCCACCACTGTCGAGAATGTGGTGTTCATGGAATATTGTTGGGTATCTCCTAAGGAAAGTTGAGAGCTTGAGATCGAGAGGGAATCCTAATTGGCCACGATGCTTGATGAGGGAGTAGACAGGGAGGGAATGGTTGGGAGCAGATGAGATTATGGAAACGAGAAAGCAGACAGCTTTCAGATCTCCGTGGCCAGAGACGACCCTGTCCAGAACACTATCTTTAACCCATTTCAATTTGACGTTCACTAAGCTGAAATTCTGCTGCAAGCTGAATGCTTTACGACAGGCATGGAGGAAACCGGGAACTTCCCCCCTTGTCAATGAAAACATGTGAGCAATAAGAACTACTCACCGGTTATTGGCGAGCATTGAAGATACGAAACCTTAAACGGAGCATAATGGCCTTCTGGATTGTCGGTTTAATCGGGAAAGGAATGAACCTTGGTGGGAACTGGGAAGGAGCTGAGTTTAGGCGAAAAAGTTAATCTGCTATATGGGTTAGCACTTAGCAGATACTAACACGGCGCAGGCCAACCTAAATGTGATCTAAGTGAGGAGGATTGCGGGCTTGTGGTGGCTCACTCAAATGAGCCGGTAATGGACTTTTTCATGGAAGCCGGCCCAGCATGTGAGCTAAAGAAGAACCGAAGGAGGTGGCTTTGTGAATGTGGGCCAGCTTCGGTTTAAGCGGATTTTGGAGGAGAATGATATGCTCGGGCGAAATTTGTGATATGTAACTTCAAAATAAAAAGAAAATGACATTTCGGAAGAATCACCATAAATATGTGATGATATCCCATTGGAATCTATCAAAAATGAAATCGGAAGAAATCCTCCAAAATCGGTGCTTAATAGACTTAAGCATCGTTGAAGAATAGCCTCGGGCAGAATACATGATCTTTAGCCTTCAAAATCCAAGTAAAATGGCCTATCGAAAAACATCATCCAAAAATTTACGAAAATGCCATCCCAAAATATATTGGCCCAATTCGGTGCTTAATTGACTTAATCATAGGCGCAGAATAGGATCAATAGACTTTATTATCGGCGGAGAATAGCCTCGAGCCGAATCTGTGATCTGTAGCCTCCAAAATTGAAAGAAAATGGCATTTCGGAAAAATCGCCCGAAATCTGTGATGGTACCCCTTTGGAGTCTACCAAAAATGGACCCGGAAGAAATCCGCCCAAATTGGCCCTGGATGGACTTAATCGTCGTTGAAGAATAGCCTCAGGCCGAATCCACCATCTTTATCCTTCAAAATCCAAGAAAAATGGCCTTTCGAAAAAAATTGCTCAAATAATTACGAAAATGCCATCCCAAAATATATTCGCCCAATTCGGTGCTTAATTGACTTAATCATCGGCGCAGAATAGGATCAATAGACTTTATTATCGGCGGAGAATAGCCTCGAGCCGAATCCGTGATCTGTAGACTCCAAAATCGAAAGAAAATGGCATTTCGGAAAAATCGCCCGAAATCTGTGATGGTACCCCTTTGGAGTCTACCAAAAATGGACCCGGAAGAAATCCGCCCAAATTGGCCCTGGATGGACTTAATCGTCGTTGAAGAATAGCCTCAGGCCGAATCCACCATCTTTATCCTTCAAAATCCAAGAAAAATGGCCTTCCGAAAAAAATTGCTCAAATAATTACGAAAATGCCATCCCAAAATATATTCGCCCAATTCGGTGCTTAATTGACTTAATCATCGGCGCAGAATAGGATCAATAGACTTTATTATCGGCGGAGAATAGCCTCGAGCCGAATCCGTGATCTGTAGACTCCAAAATCGAAAGAAAATGGCATTTCGGAAAAATCGCCCGAAATCTGTGATGGTACCCCTTTGGAGTCTACCAAAAATGGACCCGAAAGAAATCCGCCCAAATTGGCCCTGGATGGACTTAATCGTCGTTGAAGAATAGCCTCAGGCCGAATCCACCATCTTTATCCTTCAAAATCCAAGGAAAATGGACTTTCGAAAAAAATTGCTCAAATAATTAAGAAAATGTCATGCCAAAATATATTGGCCCAATTCGGTGCTTAATTGACTTAATCATCGGAGCAGAATAGGATCAATAGACTTTATTATCGGTGTAGAATAGCCTCGAGCCGAATCCGTGATCTGTAGCCTCCAAAATCGAAAGAAAATGGCATTTCGGAAAAATCGCCCGAAATCTGTGATGGTACCCCCTTTGGAGTCTGCCAAAAATTGACCCGGAAGAAATCCGCCCAAATTGGCCCTGAATGGACTTAATCGTCGTTGAAGAATAGCCTCAGGCCGAATCCACCATCTTTATCCTTCAAAATCCAGGTAAAATGGCCTTTCGAAAAAAAATTGCTCAAATAATTACGAAAATGCCATCCCAAAACATATTGGCCCAATTTTGTGCTTAATTGACTTAATCATCGGCGCAGAATAGGATCAATAGACATTATTATCGGTGGAGAATAGACTCGAGCCGAATCAGTGACCTGTAGCCTCCAAAATCGAAAGAAAATGGCATTCCGGAAAAATCGCCCGAAATCTGTGATGGTACCCCTTTGGAGTCTGCCAAAAATTGACCCGGAAGAAATCCGCCCAAATTGGACCTGGATGGACTTAATCGTCGTTGAAGAATAGCCTCAGGCCGAATCCACCATCTTTATCCTTCAAAATCCAAGTAAAATGGCCTTTCGAAAAAAATTGCTCAAATAATTACAAAAATGCCATCCCAAAATATATTGGCCCAATTCGGTGCTTAATTGACTTAATCATCGGCGCAGAATAGGATCAATAGACTTTATTATCGGTGGAGAATAGCGTCGAGCCAAATCCGTGATCTGTAGCCTCCAAAATAGAAAGAAAATGGCATTTCGGAAAAATCGCCTGAAATCTGTGATGGTACCCATTTGGAGTCTGCCAAAAATTGACCCGGAAGAAATCCGCCCAAATTGGCCGTGGATGGACTTAATCGTCGTTGAAGAATAGCCTCAGGCCGAATCCACCATCTTTATCCTTCAAAATCCAAGTAAAATGGCCTTTCGAAAAAAATTGCTCAAATAATTACGAAAATGCCATCCCAAATTATATTGGCCCAATTCAGTGCTTAATTGACTTAAAGATCGGCGCAGTATAGGATCAATAGACTTTATTTTCGGTGGAGAATAACCTCGAGCCGAATCCGTGATCTGTAGCCTCCAAAATCGAAAGAAAATGGCATTTTGGAAAAATCGCCCGAAATCTGTGAATGTCCCCTTTGGATTCTGCCAAAAATTGACCCGGAAGAAATCCGCCCAAATTGGCCGTGGATGGACTTAATCGTCGTTGAAGAATAGCCTCAGGCCGAATCCACCATCTTTATCCTTCAAAATCCAAGTAAAATGGCCTTTCGAAAAAAATTGCTCAAATAATTACGAAAATGCCATCCCAAATTATATTGGCCCAATTCAGTGCTTAATTGACTTAAAGATCGGCGCAGTATAGGATCAATAGACTTTATTGTCGGTGGAGAATAACCTCGAGCCGAATCCGTGATCTGTAGCCTCCAAAATCGAAAGAAAATTGCATTTTGGAAAAATCGCCCGAAATCTGTGAATGTATCCCCTTTGGATTCTGCCAAAAATTGACCCGGAAGAAATCCGCCAAAATTGGCCCTGGATGGACTTAATCGTCGTTGAAGAATAGCCTCAGGCCGAATCCACCATCTTTATCCTTCAAAATCCAAGTAAAATGGCCTTTCGAATAAAATTGCTCAAATAATTACGAAAATGCCATCCCAAAATATATTGGCCCAATTCGGTGCTTAATTGACTTAAAGATCGGCGCAGTATAGGATCAATAGACTTTATTGTCGGTGGAGAATAACCTCGAGCCGAATCCGTGATCTGTAGCCTCCAAAATCGAAAGAAAATGGCATTTTGGAAAAATCGCCCGAAATCTGTGAATGTACCCCCTTTGGATTCTGCCAAAAATTGACCCGGAAGAAATCCGCCCAAATTGGCCCTGGATGGACTTAATCGTCGTTGAAGAATAGCCTCAGGCTGAATCCACCATCTTTATCCTTCAAAATCCAAGTAAAATGGCCTTTCGAAAAAAATTGATCAAATAATTACGAAAATGCCATCCCAAAATATATTGGCCCAATTCGGTGCTTAATTAACTTAATCATCGGCGCAGAATAGGATCAATAGACTTTATTATCGGTGGAGAATAGCCTCGAGCCGAATCCGTGATCTGTAGCCTCCAAAATCTAAAGAAAATGGCATTTCGGAAAAATCGCCCGAAATCTGTGATGGTACCCCTTTGGAGTCTGCCAAAAATTGACCCGGAAGAAATCCGCCAAAATTGGCCCTGGATGGACTTAATCGTCGTTGAAGAATAGCCTCAGGCCGAATCCACCATCTTTATCCTTCAAAATCCAAGTAAAATGGCCTTTCGAAAAAAAAATTGCTCAAATAATTACGAAAATGCCATCCCAAAATATATTGGCCCAATTCGGTGCTTAATTGACTTAATCATCGGCGCACAATAGGATCCATCGACTTTATTATCGGTGGAGAATAGCCTCGAGCCAAATCCGTGATCTGTAGCCTCCAAAATCGAAAGAAAATGGCATTTCGGAAAAATCGCCCGAAATCTGTGATGGTACCCCTTTGGAGTCTGCCAAAAATTGACCCGGAATAAATCCGCCCAAATTGGCCGTGGATGGACTTAATCGTCGTTGAAGAATAGCCTCAGGCCGAATCCACCATCTTTATCCTTCAAAATCCAAGTAAAATGGCCTTTCGAAAAAAATTGCTCAAATAATTACGAAAATGCCATCCCAAATTATATTGGCCCAATTCAGTGCTTAATTGACTTAAAGATCGGCGCAGTATAGGATCAATAGACTTTATTGTCGGTGGAGAATAACCTCGAGCCAAATCCGTGATCTGTAGCCTCCAAAATCGAAAGAAAATGGCATTTCAGAAAAATCGCCCGAAATCTGTGAATGTACCCCTTTGGATTCTGCCAAAAATTGACCCGGACGAAATCCGCCCAAATTGGCCCTGGATGGACTTAATCGTCGTTGAAGAATAGCCTCAGGCCGAATCCACCATCTTTATCCTTCAAAATCCAAGTAAAATGGCCTTTCGAAAAAAATTGCTCAAATAATTACGAAAATGCCATCCCAAAATATATTGGCCCAATTCGGTGCTTAATTAACTTAATCATCGGCGCAGAATAGGATCAATAGACTTTATTATCGGTGGAGAATAGCCTCGAGCCAAATCCGTGATCTGTAGCCTCCAAAATCTAAAGAAAATGGCATTTCGGAAAAATCGCCCGAAATCTGTGATGGTACCCCTTTGGAGTCTGCCAAAAATTGACCCGGAAGAAATCCGCCAAAATTGGCCCTGGATGGACTTAATCGTCGTTGAAGAATAGCCTCAGGCCGAATCCACCATCTTTATCCTTCAAAATCCAAGTAAAATGGCCTTTCGAAAAAAAAAATTGCTCAAATAATTACGAAAATGCCATCCCAAAATATATTGGCCCAATTCGGTGCTTAATTGACTTAATCATCGGCGCAGAAATGGATCAATAGACTTTATTATCGGTGGAGAATAGCGTCGAGCCAAATCCGTGATCTGTAGCCTCCAAAATAGAAAGAAAATGGCATTTCGGAAAAATCGCCTGAAATCTGTGATGGTACCCATTTGGAGTCTGCCAAAAATTCACCCGGAAGAAATCCGCCCAAATTGGCCGTGGATGGACTTAATCGTCGTTGAAGAATAGCCTCAGGCCGAATCCACCATCTTTATCCTTCAAAATCCAAGTAAAATGGCCTTTCGAAAAAAATTGCTCAAATAATTACGAAAATGCCATCCCAAATTATATTGGCCCAATTCAGTGCTTAATTGACTTAAAGATCGGCGCAGTATAGGATCAATAGACTTTATTGTCGGTGGAGAATAACCTCGAGCCGAATCCGTGATCTGTAGCCTCCAAAATCGAAAGAAAATGGCATTTTGGAAAAATCGCCCGAAATCTGTGAATGTACCCCCTTTGGATTCTGCCAAAAATTGACCCGGAAGAAATCCGCCCAAATTGGCCCTGGATGGACTTAATCGTCGTTGAAGAATAGCCTCAGGCCGAATCCACCATCTTTATCCTTCAAAATCCAAGTAAAATGGCCTTTCGAAAAAAATTGCTCAAATAATTACGAAAATGCCATCCCAAAATATATTGGCCCAATTCGGTGCTTAATTAACTTAATCATCGGCGCAGAATAGGATCAATAGACTTTATTATCGGTGGAGAATAGCCTCGAGCCGAATCCGTGATCTGTAGCCTCCAAAATCTAAAGAAAATGGCATTTCGGAAAAATCGCCCGAAATCTGTGATGGTACCCCTTTGGAGTCTGCCAAAAATTGACCCGGAAGAAATCCGCAGAAATTGGCCCTGGATGGACTTAATCGTCGTTGAAGAATAGCCTCAGGCCGAATCCACCATCTTTATCCTTCAAAATCCAAGTAAAATGGCCTTTCGAATAAAAAATTGCTCAAATAATTACGAAAATGCCATCCCAAAATATATTGGCCCAATTCGGTGCTTAATTGACTTAATCATCGGCGCACAATAGGATCCATCGACTTTATTATCGGTGGAGAATAGCCTCGAGCCAAATCCGTGATCTGTAGCCTCCAAAATCGAAAGAAAATGGCATTTCGGAAAAATCGCCCGAAATCTGTGATGGTACCCCTTTGGAGTCTGCCAAAAATTGACCCGGAAGAAATCCGCCCAAATTGGCCCTGGATGGACTTAATCGTCGTTGAAGAATAGCCTCACGCCGAATCCACCATCTTTATCCTTCAAAATCCAAGTAAAATGGCCTTTCGAAAAAAAAATTGATCAAATAATTACGAAAATGCCATCCCAAAATATATTGGCCCAATTCGGTGCTGAATTGACTTAATCATCGGCGCAGAATAGGATCAATAGACTTTATTATCGGTGGAGAATAGCCTCGAGCCGAATCTGTGATCTGTAGCCT